AGTATATACATCTTAAATGACCCAGAAGATTAAAAATTAGATTGATATGTGTTTGTATTAAGTTAGTGTTTTTTATTGTGTTTTTTTCAAGAGCGTGTTTAATCATTGAGTGATCCTAAATAATTTGGGTCCTTTTTACATTTTTAAAGGAACATAAACTAACAGAGAAATAAAATGTATTTTGCACCAGTTGAAAAAAAGAAATCCTCTGGAAGCTTGTTATATATAGAAATTTTGTCTTAGCTTAGTATTTAGTAGAGAGCTTAAACCACTAGCGGATCCAGGATTTAATTTGGGGGGAGGAGCTATTTTTTCATAAAAATGTCGATAACTATTTTGGAAAAAAAGAAAGAAACTAACTACTTATATGAAATGGTGTTTAAGTGATTCCTAAAGTACTTTTAAATGTAATTACACGAACAATAATACTTTAAGAGATAATTTTTTTTTTTTTTCCACAAAACATGGTTATATTTTACCATTTTGGAGAGGCTTCAACCCCAAAGCTCCGCTCCCCAATAGATCCGCCCGTGGCTTAAACAAACATCATTGCTAGATGCCTTCAGCACTGATATAGCGTTGAGCTGATATTGCTCATATGGTAATCAATTACTGTTATTTTTACTATAAGAAAAGAAAAAGTTAGGTAAATGGGTGACTAATAAAAACTCTAAATTCGGTATGATCTATTTATTTAAATGAAAGGATTTATTAAGGAGGAAAATTCGGTATCAGATATTGTTTGTAGCTTTTAAGCTATAAATTTATTTATAAAATTTGACGACTATATATTGAAATATCCTGTAGATTGTACAGAGAGACTGTATGAAGAAAGTAAAAGAGAGAGGCCCATTACTTAAGGAATATTAAGTCTCTACTCAAGATCATGGTACCCGATAATAACGAATGCTTATGCCAATCAGTAAGAAAATAAACGTTGCCGAACTAAAATGGAAATAGAGAGAAAACAGAGTTGGATGATGCGTATAAGATAAAACGGGTATAAGGATAAGATAAAACAAGCGAAGCATTTCAAATTTTTAATGACTCACCTAAATGAATGAGTGATTAAGGAAAGAATAAAGTCAGCAGGAAGGTACTTCGGCTCCTTCAAGAGGAGATTCTTAGACAAAAGAGAAGTTCCAAGCGCACAAAAAGTAGTATACAAGAACATTTTTATAGTCATATATGTCACTACTAAACATAAATGCAAATTCCAGGCAATGGAGATGCGCCATTTGAGAAAAGTTTAGTGCAGGGCGAGAAGAGACACTTACTTAGGAACATCGGTACAGGTGGTTGGATGGGCGTGTCGTAAGAATGTCTGAGGAACGCGTGGCCAGAGTAACATGAGATGGAAATGGAAGGAAGGAGATAAGAAGACCTGAGAGGAAGGAGTCATGAAGGCCTGCTAGAAAAGAAAACAAGTCCTGGAAAGGACAGAGATTCTGGAGAGAGACCACTCACACTGTAATGCGGTAAATAGGGTTGATTTAGAACTTTCCATTGTGGTTTGAGAGGGAGGGAAGCCATGGGCCTTCCAAACAAAATCTCGGGTATTTATATTATGTATTAAAATTATGAGTGATAATTAACATAATTATTCGAAAACTAATAATATAATACTATGTATAGAAATAAATTAATATATATGTTTACGTATTTTTTTTTCGTATATGGGAATATTTGAAAATATGGTAATAAAGCAATTGAATATATTACATGTTTTTTTATTTTTATTTAGAGGTTTGAGGCAGTGAGATAAACTCTCAATTTCCGACGCTTCAAATTCGCCGCGGAAAATGTGATCAAATGTTCGCCTAAAAAAGTGCAAATGAATGAATCATAAAATCCCAGGATATTTTGCTGCATATAATTATTTTTTAATATAAACTAAAATGTCAATAATAGATCATAGGGCGTGGTAAAATACTTACCACTTAAAATACGTACCTACTTCTTGGTACCTACTTCTAGCGACCTAGTTGACTTTTTCTATTTTTTTGGTTGATTTCAGTTTACATATTTTATTCATTCATGTAGATTATTTGTTACTGATTTTTATTTGATTTTTGTTCTCCTAAATATTGGGGGAGAGAGCCCTTATCGCTCCCCCGAAGTCTGCGCCTAAGAAGAAAAACATGTATATAAATATATTTCTCAATCAATAATGTATAGTTCTTTGAAAAACTATACAAATGTTGTTTTTAAATAGAATAATACTGCAGAATGGAAAAGATTTTTATATTCAAATTATTTACAACAGTAACAGTTTCTAATAAACTCTATCCAAAAAATGTTTTTGGTTATTTACAATATTTTACATATGATTATACCTCATCCTTAAAATCAAACAAATAACAATTCATCAACAATTTGTAAACATAGAAATACATATAAAATATTTGTAACAAACATAATTTTATAATGAGTAAGAAAGCCGTAACCAAATTGTAATTTACATAAAAGTAGTCTGCCTAGTAAGCTCTTAAACATACCTAAGAAAAACATTACAAAAAAAAATAGCACCTGCTCAACCATTAATTATTTGAAAATATGAGCTATATAATTGCATTCGCTATTTATATATATCTCAAGTTAAAAATATTATTTAACCAAAATGAAATATACGATTTATATGTAATTTAATATCTTCAGCTAATTGATAAATCTTGGCAGCCGTTTCTTGGATTTCTACGAACAAAATATTTAAGAGTATATTGTAAAACCAAAATAGCAACATATTATAAAATTTAGCAGTCGGAATTAGTCCGATTTCATCAACAATCTTTAAGGTTCTGATGCAAAAATAATCAGTTCATGCAAATTAGTTAGTCCATGAGATTATTGTTAATAAAAAACGCAATAAAATATAAATATAAATATTAAAAAAATTATTAAGAGAAAGATTAAAATGAGAATACTTAAGAAAATAACAATAAAAACAAAACAGTGGCTGTCTCCATTTTGGCGATCTTCCAGCTCTGTTTTATTTTAATCTATAATTACATTCATATTGATGCAATATCTGTTTCTTGTTTTATTTTATTTTTATAATAGCCCAAACATTTTTTTTTATTTATTTATTTTATTTTTTTGTAATGTCGATGGATACGTTTCGAAATACCCACAAGATGGCAAATATGGCATTACATTAAATATAAATATTATAAATGCATGGCTTATTTTTTTTTTACAGATCAGGACAAACTAATAGTTCTTTTGGGCAAAATATGTATTAATTATGTTTACAGACATCAGTTCAACATTTTAATGTCCAAAATGTTGTCTTTGATATGCTTAAGAAATAAACATTTAGACAATTATATTTATTATATAATTAATAGCTAAAAGTAAAGTTACCCGTGGGAAATTGAATTTATAGATATATTTAGTATAAAGTAAACATTTTAATTATTTAAATTCAACAGAACATATTGCAAATCAACAAATACAAATCGTTCATATTTATTGGCTTATTTCACAGTTTCAAAAACCAATAATTATTTTAATAATTGCGTATAAATTAATTATTTATAATTGATTTTTTACGGCAACTGACAAAACGGAAAAAACAATATGTAATGTATTACTCATCTGCCTTATTTAGAAGATTTAAATATACCGATTAGCTGGAAAATTTGTTAAAACGTGTTTAGACATTTCACCAAGGTAGATACAAATATATAAATGATTATTTCACTATTCTTGTATTTTTGTTTCTTGTTTTTGACATTTTCCATCAGCTGTCGGTACCAGGATAAATAAAATAAATAATTTGGAATAACAATAATGTCGCTATTAGTTAAGTTAAATAATTTTGTTTCTCATAGTTTGTAAATTGGTTGGCTTCATGTTAAAGTAACGAATATTAATCTGCTTAACATTGCACGTTCGTTACTTCTAAATGGTGCCGACGAAATGTATAAACGCCCATTTACAAATTATACAACTTAACATTGCAGACAGCGTTCTAAAAAAAAAATTTTATTTTATAAATCTCTAAAGAGTATCTGGTGGTATTTTACATGTCATTTTTTTAAACACTATTTCAAGCTAGAAAATACATAAGCCGTCAGAAGTAAAGAACCAAGGACCACTTTTAGTTTTAATAAGTATTTAACAACGAACATCTGACACTAATTTTCATTTTGAATGTTGTCCTTTTAGAACTGTCCTCTACTATTGTGATTTACTGTTTTGAAATCCAATGTTAAAGCTGCTTAAAAAGATTCGTCAGTCAAATGAATAAATTTCCTATAAAAAAACAAAACACAAAAAGTACAATCTAACAGATTGAACTTATTTTATTGTGATACCATTATTACAACTTTGACTCATCTTCAACTAACTTAATGCTGTGGGAGAACTATTGCTGTCTCATTCGAAAAATGCTATGAGAAAATAGAGCTGAGAATTCCACAAATGCACCATTACACAAGACTAGTCGTTTAGCTTTTCAAATTAATTTATCGTGAGCAAGCGGTGAGATAAATAGCGACTATTTAAAAAACAATTCGAGATCCTTCAAGACGATATATTTAGCGAGATGCTCCAGATAATAGATGCGCATTATTTCGAGATGGCAATAGGTTGCTTAAAGGCAAGTGGACAGAGTGGGGAAAAAAGGGCATATCATTAGCCAAGAGAAGTAGTTCCATGGCTCGACTAATTTTAGCGTTTGAGCCGACTGCCAACCAGCTTACAACCTAAATGACTAGATCGCACTTCCTTAGGAAATGAGCAGTCCGTCTCCCAGCTCTGTCACCTATAGGTCGGTCATTCCTGCAGGACATCGAAGGTCTCCGACGTACTCCCACCACTTCAGTAACGAAGAGCATGCCAGGAGCGGTGGCACTCCTGAAAAAAGGTGAACTATCAATCCATAACTTACTCTTTAAAATGCTAATTTTCCATTGGTCGCTATCTATTTTCTATTTCGACGAGCGTATATAATAGGAGCCCCATTTATAATTAGACTCCACAAAGCCTTTGATCCCATTGTCTGCCAGCAATAACAGTGGTGAGGAATTATAGAGCTATCAGGCTGGTATCATACAGTATGTCCTTTCTCCCTTTCATTACCAACGCTTTTTAATTGTTTTTATTTAATTATATATTTTATATTAACGAAATCTAACTAACCATCCCTTCTGTCATTTTGTGATAACATTATCATACTTGTTTTTGTATTCCAGATGGCCTATACACCTGGTCAATACAAGGGAATAAGAAAATACTGAAATGGCTTCATACAAGGATCACATAAAGTTGCATCTTTAATAACTGTAGGTTCGGCTTTTTCTTTGTTTAATAATAACTAATTAATTATAATATAGCATTTGAATTTATAACTGTAACACCATTTGTGTATCGTTAATGCGATTCTCTTCAAAATATGTCTTCTCGCTTCTGTGTTGTGAATATTTGTGGCTTATAACCACTTTAATCAAACATATAAACAGAAATAATTTAAATTTTAATTCTTAATTTCTAAAATAATCCAATCAACATAAAAAAACTGTACCACATTATTTAAGAAAATCAAATATATAAAATGTTCAACTAAATTTTAAAAGTGTATTTAATGAATGAATTCAAACTTCCTAGGCTTAATATAAAAATACACAACATCGTATAGAAGAAAATTTAGAAGTTTTTGTTTTATTGAGGAAACGTGGATAAAATCTTCCATTTGGTCATTTTATGATTATTTTCTTATTGAGGTCATACCTCATGATGAGAACCTACAAACATTTTAAATTTATTCCACTATCATCTATCATTTAATCATATATGTACACAAATGTGTATGTCTGCGTTCGTCTGATGATTCCTTTGGATTATAAATAAAATTAAACCATGATTTTATTTTATTTACTTCAAACACTACTTAAAATATTATCCTTAGATCCTGGTCAAACGTTTTATATCCATTTAAACAAGTGTAACTTTGATAATAAATTTTTATCATGACATTTACCAATCTAAAAATTAGGCAAGGAGCATATTAAAACAATTTTTTACTTTCTATTCTAGGAGGATATTACTTATATCTACTCTCTTTGTTTATATCACTGTAATTACTCCTCTACTCTCAAATAAATAATTTACGTTATACCAGGAACTTTACTACAAAAAAGTTCCTTAGAATTTTTATTTTTAAGATATTTTTTCCTAAAAAGTTTCACAGAAACTGTTTTTAAAAAGTTCCATATAAGTTCCAATCCCTGATGAAAAAATTTAAAAAATAACTCTTATATTAACAATAAAATAAAAGAGCAAATTAAATTCCATTAATAATGTTTCAGTAATTAATTTTTTTTTTTTTTTTTGGAGGAATGGATCCTTTAGAAGTGTTCCCACCAGAGATTTGCTTGCGTATCTTCGAGTTTCTTGGTCCTGAAGATTTCTGCAGTTGTTTGGCTGTCAGTCACCAATGGCGAAACTTAGCAAATACAGAATCATATTGGCAGCATTTTTGCAACAAGCGCGGTTTGATTCAGTCGAATGAAGTCAATGAAGCTGGTAGATTTTTCATTATCAGTAATGTTAATAATAATAGTAATCAATAAGCTATATAATTCTTACTTTTTCTTAAATCTATTACTTTCTATAATATATATAAGATAAGCCCCATCAAATAAAACAGAAATTAAAACTAATTAATTAATTAACAGAATTAAAACTGACCACATAGGTCACCTGTTGACTAATTATAATAATTAAAAAAATTTGGTGAGGGCAACACACAACTTTCACTTACCTCTCTACTTTGAATAGAAATTATTTTCTGGCAATGTTTGGGTGTTTTAGAACTTTTAAAAACTTTTTAACTTAGAAAAAAAACTTTAAAAGTTGACATTTAGTAAGAAAATTTCATTTAATTTCATTGGAAACATGTGATTTACATTAAATAATGTTAGTTTTCTGTAATTGTTATTTATATTTTTTTCGTCACTCTGCGATACCTTCTATAACTTTATTTATTTAATATTATTTTTTCTAAAAAATTTTCAAATAACCCAAATAAACAATTATTTTTTAAGTGAGACCCTCATTACACATCAAAATGTTTGAAAAAATAATTTATCCAAAATAATGAATTATTAAGATAAGGGATAAAAATTAAAACAAATTTTGTTATACATATTAAGTTTGATTATTTATATATATATAATCTTTTAATTGTTTTATAGTTAATAATCAGTCACCTTGCTTTATTCAATAAGTAGCAGTAAAGTAACAGTTATATGTACATTTTAGGTGAGATGCCGCTTTGTCCTCAAGCTGCAACTTACATTAGCTACATGAACAGGCTGGTCAGAAATTGGAAACAATGCAGGTTCAATAGCTTTCAGCTCCCAAAACATGATTGGTACTGTTGTATAGCTGGTTGTAATAGAAATATCGCCATCTACTATCCCCGCACAGCAAATATTCATATCTATCACATTTCAAAAACTGTAGACATCGTATGTGACATTCATGTAGGTTTACCTTATGGAATATCCATTCCAGATGTGTTCATTAATGAATATTTTCTAATTGTATCAAAAGGTAATGTAGTTCTTATATATAAAAATGACAAGGGATATTCTTTGTATAAAGTAGTTGTCGGCAATGAATTCGGCTTAACAATAGCAAGTCACATATTTCCATATGTCGAAACTGACAAGCGATTATATGTGAAAGTTATCAATGAAAACACTCTCTGGGTGGAATCTAATACAGTTTATGTAGTTGACATATTATCAGATACGTACAAAGCACTAAATGATACATTTAGATGCTTGAGAGTAGATGGAAAATATATCTATGCGGCTAATGATGTTGTGACATGTTATAATTTACAAGGTGATAAAAAATTTAGTCTTAACATAAGGTACGTGGAAGATATGTGGGTAAAAGATCAACTGCTAGTTGTTCTAATAGGAGGCAATAGTCAGTTACTTCACTTGTGGAATTTAAAAAGTAAATCTATGATAAATATAATACAAGTTGAGAAAGACCCATGTGTATCCATCAGCTCTGAATTAGACAACCTCTATGTATTAGAAATAATCAACAAGTTGTATGCAATAACATGTTACTCAACTCGAACAGGCTCTCTTGTCTGGCAACATAAGCAACAGTATGAAAGAGATATATCCATTCATCCAGAAATACGAATTGTCTGTGATAGATTCATATTTGCTAGACCTTCTCATACATGTGATACCAATTTCATACTACTGGATTCTAAATCTGGCAGAGTACTTTATGATAACATAATGCCTCCCTGCCTATCACCGCCTTGTTATATTTATCACTTGTCAGATGAGTTTTTAATCACAGCTGAAAGTGATAAAGTTCATATAAGGAGATATGTATAAAGAGAATTATTAATTTAGCCAATTTGTAAATAAAAAAATATCTAGATTTTATACAGATTTTAATTAACTAGACAATGTTTTTTTTTTAATTAATGAAAGAATGGTTATAATATATTATATTAAACATGATAAATATATAAAAAATAAAGAGGGGTAGATAAAATTTACTCTTAACTTTATTTTTTCCTACTTTCAGATTTGGGTCACACATTGTTGGTTCATTGCTGTATGAAGCTAATATTTTAAGTACATGTTTGCCAATTTTCATATCAGTTATTGATTGATGGGAAGGCTCATTGAGTGCTCTAAAATAACATTAACCCTTTTATATCACAAAAATAGGCACAATAAGTTTGTATGTTTTTATTTCACAGATAGAAAATTAACTTAAGTACTTATTTATTAAATTTAATATTTTTCTAAAATGTTTCTTAATGACTTTTTGCAATAAACCGACAAAATCTTCCTTCGAACCTTCCTATCCAACTCATGTAAAAAAAATTTGTCATTTCCTTAGTGAGGATTCAGGTTGTGTTTATAAGAAATCTGAGTCCTGAAAAATGGATTTTCACCTGTGAGAGTGTGGTACCTTAGAAGGAAAATTAAAGATGATATAACATGCATGTCATAATAATTAAATTAAACTAGGTAAAATACTAAAAACAACATGTATATCCATTAACAAACAATCATTTCAAAAGGAAAATATATATACAAATATATTATGGTATATATTTATCAATCTATTCACCAAACCTTCTGTTGATGTTTCACTAAAATCTTTGTTCTTGATCTATCTTCTTATTGCATAAATGTTTATGCTAGATCAATTTTTCAATTTCTATTAATTAAATGAAGGAATGCAATTGGTATATACAATTAGATCTGACATCCAAAAGTTTATAGATTAAGTACTTGATTGTTTGCAAAATAATTTCATATTATAATTGAGGAATTCATAAAGGTCAAAAAATTGCAACAAATTAAACTTGATAAATTAAAATCTGCATAAAAACTTAATACAAATCAGTTATTCAAACATTTAGTTAACTTTAATGAAAAGTTTTGGTGTTTTTCATTTACCCAATGTGTTCGTTTTCTGTTACCCAGTAAATTATTGAAGATTTACTGAGTATTAAAAAAAAAAAAAGAAAAAGAATAATAATAAATAAATAAAAATAATACTAACTAGGATTTATTCAAAATTTTTAGGAAAAAATTTGATATTTATCTTAAGTTATGTTAAAAAATTATGTGATTTCAAATCCTATGATCTAAAAGTACCTGGGTTCTCAGCAAAAATGCCTAGATAAAATTATTGCTAAACTTTTATTTCTTGTTTTTCCATGACCTGGAATGAATTATAATAAACTTAATTGCTTACTAACAATTAATTTAGAAAAAAACAAATGTTAAAAATAATGATTTTTTGTATATTTATCGTCTAAAGTTGTATAAAAACTGTAGTTTTAACCCAGATATCTATTATAGGTATTTCTACATATTTAAAAGGGACCAACAAAATTTTTTTAGACCTCATATTTACATTTAAAATAAAGAAGCCTGCTGATAGCTTCAATCATTTTCATGAAAATGAAAATATTAGGATTAGGAAGATTTAATTTGTCACTTATAAATACGAATCAATTCCTATAGTAGAGATCAGGGTAAAAACCACAGTTAATATACAACTTTAGATTTTAAATATGCGAAAAATCATTACTTTTAATAATCTTTCTTTCGTAAATAATCTATTTTCTTTCTAGTCATTTTTGCTAAATACATGGGTACTTTTAGGGGACAGGATATGAAACCACAAATTTTTTTTACATAACTTAAGGTAAATCAACTTTTTCTCTGGTAAACCACAACTTAATTAACATGGACTTAAAGCTTTTTAAACGAGGAAATTTTTCTAAAAGTAGGGTGGTGAGGGTATAGCTGGAGGATGATAAAAAAAATCTCGAATAATTTATGATTTTTTTTAAAAACAGGACTTGACGGCTTAGTTTAGCCGCTTAAAAGTTCTCTTTAAATGGTTTTAACAATGACAATTTCTACTTTCATTTGAATTAAATTTTGTATAGTTTGCTGTGGAGTAATTGTTCGTTTTCTTAGTTTAGTTATCGCTTCCCATTCGACAAAAAAGTGACATTTAAAAAACACAAGAATTAAATTTCTTGCTTTTCTGCCAAAAATCGGACCACTGTTTATATAAACTTTTTTGTAGCTCTTGAGGTCTGTTATCACTCCAGTAAATATTTCCCTCTATTTATGAGACGCTCTGTATATATATATATATAAACTTAAGGGTTTCATATAAAAAGGGTATCAAACGATTAAAAAAAATTAAGCTATAATGAATGGAGGAACAAATTGTAAAAGAGAGATTAATTTCAAAATGAGGTAATCGAATAAAACTTATGTTACTGTATTAAAATCTAAAAAAACGAATCAAAATGTTTTTTATTCGATTCAAGCGTAGGATCTCTTATAATTTTATTTTCCCTTTTAGATAAAGTAAGGATTTACCAAGAAAACAAAATGTAAAGGATGAGATCAGATATGAAGTGTTTAATATCTGTAAATGAAACATACATTATACAACACACAGATTAAGGTATTATATTTTCATCTACACTAAAATATTCTAATGAATCAATAGTTATGTTTTCTATTGTATTTTGACAAAACTATCATTTATTACGTCTACAATGATAGAAATAAGCTCATTTTATAAGCGATATAATACATGCCACCGACATATTGAAATAGAACATTTTTACTATTAAAAAAAAAATTAAATCCAATTATTGTATTTACAAATCCCAAATAAAAAAAATAAACAAAAAATGCATTTCCTTTTTTCCTTTATTTATAAAAATAGAATCTATACATATAAATGATAATATATAGATAGTTACATTTATTTCAAATTGTCAACACAGAATGAATTACCTGGGAGAGGAAATCATCGACAGTTTCAAAAGCTTTTATTGATATTTTTTTACTTTTTCTTTTCTTTTTTAAACAATAAACAAGATCAACAAAACTAAACTTCTTCCTCTCAGTAAGTAAGACATTGTAAGCCTCCATAGTATACATCTAACTAAAAATATTTATTCTAAAATGTTTATAACGGAAACTTTAATTTTGCAATACATTACAAACATATAATAATAATAACTGGAAACTAATGCAAAAGCACTAGAACAGATTCTTTATAGTATACACAGGCACAATGAGCAAAGTGTAAAGAAATAAACAATAGCAATAAAAATAAGAACATCATAAACAATAGAGAAACTTGAAAGATAATAAAAACAACATTAATATCAATAGACATAGTTAACGGTGAACATTTAATATATTTTAAAAAGTTATATAAGTTTTATGAGCACATTATAATAACAGATATAATTGGTATTTATGATACATAATAATTAAAATACCTTCTTCATTTGTGTAAAAAATGTTTGATTATTGAACTGCGAAAGGCAAAGCAAGAAATTTCTTAGGTAAAACTGAAACCTACATAGATTAAGAAAATTAGCTGTGTGTTAATACACACTTTTCTTAAATGATATTCTCTCCACAAAAGGAGAAAAGTGTTCCTTTCTCTCTTCCCTTGCCTTTCACATCATTCCAGACGGTTTCCCTCATCATCTAGTCATATTCATTCACACATTAAAGATAAATACAAGAATTGTGATAAAATATAATATAAAGACATAGTAAAAACCATCCTGCTCAACCCGAAATAAAGGTTAACAATGAAACACAATTAACAAAATTTTTGATATTGTATAGAAAACTATAAATATGACTAAATCATGAAAGAGATATAATGCACCTCGGGGACTTAAACACTTATCTTAAAACAACTTGAGTTTCTGAATTATTTATGAATATTTATTATATTGTAATATATCAATCTAGCTACAAAAGAAATAAATAACACATTGTTTTTCTTGATACAACTATTTAACTAGAGATAAATTCTAATTGTACTCCTTTATGTAGCAAATCAAATGAACACACTCAATTATACCAATACATATTCGCATATATGTAAAAACGTATTCACAAGTGAAATAAAAGTTTTGTTGATAAATTACAACTAAAATTTTTTGATTTTTAAATTTACATCAGAATAAATAAAAATTATTTATGCATAATTCAAAGCATCCAATATTTCTTATAACTTCTTCACTAGAAGAAAAACCTATTCAAGTCTTGAAACATAAGAAATAAACTAAAGTGGTCTAAAACATAACACCCGATGCCTGATGAACTTATAAAATCCAACTTATACAATGGGATGACTATCAGCTGCAGGTTGCCTGTCAGTAAAAAAATATTATTAATTAGTTTTAATTATTTAAGCCAATAAAAGAAACAAATACATATACCAAATAGATACATATACCAACACATACACATGCAAAACACTGTATTATAGCATTTGAGAAAATCCTTTATCTTAGGCTGTAAAATTCACTGAGGACGCAAATGGTCTTAAAGAGGCACAATATGAATTTTGGAAACAACAATCTATAATGGATGCTACTGGAGTTGTGCTCAAGATTGTCCTTAAAGTAATCGCAACAATAAGCTGGAGAAGGGATACAAAGTGTTATGTAGAAATTGCCACTCTATATGTCAAAAATACTTTTAACACAGGGAGATGTGGTTGTGAATTGATTGCCCTACGTTTAACTATCGCTGTGGCTACCAATTTCACAGACTGCTTCAAAAGTTATCAGATTACTTCAACGATAGGGTTCTGTTTAATGTTTCAGACATCAGACTATTATTTTCAAGGAAAAATAATGCTATCAGTGGTGCTCATGAAGCTCCACTTTAGAACCTCATTTATGGAATATGATATTAACTAACTATCACTACAACTCGGAGACGAGTCGGCCATCATCCAGTTCCTGACTCCCACGACATCCCTTGAATCTCACCATCGGACCATCTTAGTTCTGGTCTCCTTCTTCTTCTTTTGCTGTAGAGAGGTTCTGTCAGGATCTTCTTGTGGATTGCTTCATTCTCCATCCTTGCCACGTGGCTAGCCACTTGGACATTGAAAATCGAGCAAATTTTGGCGTTTGTCATATACAACAGGATGTTTGGACTACCATTGCCAGATGGTAGAATGGTAAATGGTGTTGTTCCAGACTGTTATACCTTCAATCCTTCTACATGAAACCCCAAATAGGAAGGCCACAATGCATTTATCTCATGCATGGGAGACTGGCACCTTTAATGAAGGTACATTGAAGGACAGCTGTAGCAGTCTCAAGTGACATGGGCTCCTGGGACAGTGGACTGCTCTAGCAATCCAACTTTTTTTAAGCACATTTCCAGTAAACAGAGATCTGGGAGCAATAAGATTATGGAAAAATCTTATGCTATTTTAGGAAAGTTGTACTACTTGATGCTGACACTAGATATCGTAAGATTTCAGATAATTCAGAGATCTCTGGAACTCAACTCTTGACCCCCATCAACTATAATTTTTTTTCTATTTATGATACCACTTTTTTTCTAGCAATAATTCTATAAATGATATAGGAGTGTAAGAATAGAGGGAGGAACTAAAACAAATTAAATTAACCTATGCTACTCAGAAAACATGGTAACGATATTATATATATATATATATATATATATATATATATATATATATATATATATTTTAAGTTGAAACTACTGTAAAATAACAATATCACAGACAGAGTGGTATCCATAGTCGTTCATCTAACTTCACTGTTTCTTTAACTCTGTTGTTCCTCTAGCTTTAATTAAACCATAGTATCCAATGAGAATCTTGTAAGTTCCTCTAACTTCACTGTTCATTCAACTATACTGTTCCTCTAACTCAGCTTGAAAGATAGTATCACTTGAGTATCAAGTTTGTGAAGGAGGAAAATGCTAGGCTATTTCAATTTATAATAATGTCCTTGTTTAATAATTATCTATGGGTTATGAGTGACTTAATAAATATTTAGTGCAGAGATAATACATTTTCTTACACCATAATTTTTAGAAAGGGTGGCAGTTCTAGAAAACATGAAAACTTAAGAAAAGAATGACATTAGCTGTAACATTCTTATCAACTGTACCAGTGGTTGTATAGAAATACAGTGTTCTCATTTATTGCCGAATTTTGCTTATTTCTGATTAATTTTATTTGTTGGTGTTCTTATATAGTATTTGTGTACTTTGCCATACAATGGTTAAATAATTAATAATTCAAAAATTAAAACTGGATCCCTGTTAGTCTCAAAGAAAAAATAAAGAAATAACAGTTTTCACAAATATTAAATTAGATTATAAATTTAACATTGTAACATTACAACATCCTACTTTCAAAAAGACAAGTTCTATATATGCACTTCATAGCTCTCAAAAATGTTCTATAAAATTCATGTTGTAACGTTATTGCCTTTCCGATTTGCCAATTTTCAAACAAATTCTATGATTGTACACCCGATTATAACAGGTATTGATGAATTGGATTAAATAACACTATAATGTTTTAGCCTGGTACATCAAAAAAAATCTATGAATGTACAACAGAGTATAATGCGGATCCTATAAGGAGATTTAACAAATAAGATTTTCCTATTTTTAATGGTATCTGCTAATTAGACTTCTTCCCAAATTAATTGAAAAAATTATTAACATATGTCAAACAACTCACCTCACAATGACAGATTTCCTATGAATCATTGGAACATTGCCTTAAGCTCTGGCGTAGCCTCTCATTTTCATGCCGTAATTCTTCAACTTTCTGAGACAGCTTGTCAACCTCAGCAATCAATTGTTCGTTTTCCTTAGCATAAACCATGAGCCTCTGGTTGGAATCGCGCAGCTCTGTTATATAATCACATGCTTTTGCAAGTATTCCTCCTTTGCTCTAATAACATGTGAATATCAAATTAACACTTAAATTTCAACTATCACAAATATATAATTAATAAAATACTACTGATTATATCTTTAAATAAAAATTAAAAATAAACTCTCAATTTAACATAATTAATAACAATTTAACTTAGCAAGATCAGATAAATAAAAAATGAACGAGAATTTTTTTCCCTACATTCATATAAATGTCCACCTTTAAAAAAATAAACCTGGAGCATTACGCGCATCACACAACTTTTACTTACCACCCACTTATTAGCAGAAATAAGTATTTTGAGACAAATGGGAGTGTGAAAGAAAAAATTATAAACACTATATTGATTTATATTTCATGAAGGTATTTTTATTTGTATAAGTACCCTTATATATACATATATATATTCCTATATAGGAATACATAGGATTATATATATATAGGAATACATGGCATTCCTATCAAACTAATAAAATTATGTCTCCCTGAAATCCTCCCAGCACTCCTTTTCATCTACAATTTCTCCCTGCAGAATTCAATATTCCCGACATCTTGGAAAAAAGCCATTGTCCTTCCTTTAAACAAAAAGCCTAATCCATCCTCTCCCGAAGATTTCCGCCCAATATCAATCCTTTCCAATCTTTCTAAACCCCTAGAAAAGTTAGTGCAATCCCAAGTTTCCAACTACCTTGAACAATCCAACCAACTCGATCCTCTCCAATCTGGCTTCCGTCCTGGCTACTCTACACAATCTGCTCTGATTAAAATTACTAGCGATATCCAGACTGCAATAGATGACAAAAAACTAACCATACTTATACTGCTTGATTTCTCCAAAGCTTTCGATTCCATTATCCATTCCATCCTTTTCAACAAACTAAAATCATTATCCTTCTCCAATAGTTCCATCTCTTGGTTCCAGTCTTTCCTCTCACAACGAACCCAAGCAGTTTCCATACCTAATCAACCTCTATCTGCCTACCTTCCTTTATCCTCAGGAGTTGCACAGGGTTCAAGCATGTCTCCTCTTCTTTTCAGTTCTTATATTAATGACCTAAATGATTCAATTATCCATTGTTCCCACCACCTATATGCCGACGATTCTCAAATCTATTTATCCTTTTCTCCCGCTGAGTTATTGGTGGCATTTGCCAAAATTCAAGAAGATTTAGATCGAATTAGTGCCTGGGCCAACTTAAATGGATTACGGCTAAATGCTGCCAAAACTCAGGCCATTCTCATTGGTTCCAAGCCCCTTCTTAGATCCCACACCAACTTTCCCTCACTCTATCTAAACAACTACCCCATCACCTTCTATCCCTTTGTTAAAAATTTAGGCTTTCTCATAGATCAAACCCTTTCCTGGAATCACCATATCTCTCATATATCCCGCCGTGCAATTTCTACCCTCAAACTATTCCATCACTTCCGCCATCTTCTACCCCAAAATACCCGTAGACTCCTAGTTTCCTCTCTCATCTTTCCCCACTTTGACTACAGCTGTGTGGTGTACGATGGCCTCTCGGTGGAACTGCGTGATAGACTCAAAAGACTTATGAATTGCTTCGTAAGATTTGTAATTGGAACCCCGAGACGCTCCCGTGTCTCCCACCACTACACTGAGTTAGGGTGGCTCTTCCCCTCCTTAAGAAGACAATATTTCCTTGGCACTTTCCTTTATCAAATCATTACCGATCATCGTCCTTCTTATGCCTACAACCTTCTCCAATTTAAGTCCTCAATCCATTCACTCACTACAAGATCCCGACCCTCTGACCTATACATCCCTTCTCATAGATCTGCCTCATTCCAAAATTCCTTTATAGCCCGCTCTGTCAACTTTTGGAATTCCCTCCCGATCAAAATTCGACATGCCCCTTCCCTATATACATTCAAAAACCTCCTATTCCAATTCCTGTTCCAAAAACAGTCTGATACCAGCTAACGATTAATATTATATATGTATTGTGTAGCAATCATATAATCATAACACTTGGTAAGAGATAGTACATGCATTTCCTACTATCGACGTAGGAATTTCAATACATACATTTTTTTTATTTTTTTTATTCAATTATAAGTAACTGTTTATTTTTATATATATATTCAAGTAAAGTTTTTGTTTTTTTTTTGTTTTGTTTTTTATGAAATGAACTCATTGTATCTCTTTTTCGTTCTTCATTTCTCAAAGTGTATGTTTATGTTGTTCAACCCTTAAATATAATTTTGTTCATAGTTCAAGTGATTCGTTCATTGTTTTAATTGTTTTGTTCATAATTTTAAATGCTCTGTACATAGTTTTATCTGTATTGTATATAGCTTGTGCACCTAAGGTTTTCTTTACTTTTTATTTTATTTTATCAATTTTATTTATTGTTTCAACATTCAGGCCAGTAATATTCTATTATTTTGTACATTATTGTTATTCTGAAGGGACTTAGTCCCAGAATAAAGTTTTTTTTTCTATCTATCTATCTATATGTATATATTAATTATAAAAATTTTAATATTTATATCGCTGTAATCTATACAATTAAATATTAAATAATATCAACAATAGCATTTATGAAAACATAATACACATAATTTATATTTACATAATATTGTCGGAGTCCTTATTATATTAAGCAGTGCCAGCCTTAAGCATTCGGTGCCCCCCGGGCAATGAAGTTATCTTCTTCCTTCCCCCCTTAAAAAATTTAATTTATTTTTTTAGCAGTATTATGTAATATTTGAATTTTATTTCTTTTAACATTTCTTTCATACAGTTGCTTTATTGGTAGGCTAAAATTAATTATTTTTATACATTTTGTATTTTTTTTTTAATTTCTAACAAGTGGCGAGCAACCCTGAAGATCCGTTGGTGCCGCAATAAATGCCTCTCCAGTCCGGCAATTATCCCGGGTGCCCCATCCAAAGGCCGGCACTGATATTAAGCTCATGTTACATATGGAAGCGTGTTCTAATCTTTCGGGCGAGCTCAGCGTATTCCTTTGGGTTCCTCAATTACAACTATTCTCCGTAACAATCTCTTATTTCTCTTTCATAGTTTATATTTAACTATCTTTTATATTAGAGATTAATGTGAAATGGTCAATTGTTTCAAATAAAAAAAATTAAAGATATTTTAGGGGAATCTAATATTGGAAATTAGCAATTTAAGCCCTGTTAGAGAACATAAATCAGAATAAAACTTACATTTTATTTAAAACTGCTTAATTTTACAGAGATATAATGAATTTAATCATCGTTAAGAGCCATTTCGAGAAAATTATAAAAATGTGTTTAATCCATGATATTAAGTGCCACTTCTGGTTGGCCAATTTTGACGAAAAAGTTGCTGTAACATCTCAAGCAAATAAAAACCTTAAATATGCAATTTCACTTTCGTACAACTTTTTGTTTTTGAGCTAGACTGTTAATACACACACACACACAAACAGTTTCAACGATCACAACACTTTCCCTTACTATATTTACTATTTCATATATAGGTAAATGAAAGTAATACTAAATACTAGACACCATTGTAAGCCAAATGTGAATAAATACCCTTATTACTAGCATTACTAAGCAACCTCTTAGTCTACCCAAAACATTTTCAAATCATGTGGTGAGAGTTTATGACTATATAGAGTGTTCTGAAAAGTATCCCATAAGATATAAACCAAATTTCCTATAACTTTAGATTATCAAAATTTCATCCCGAAGAAGACTATCATATTTCGAAATCTAAATAAAAGATATTTATGAAATTTTATGCTATGAAATAAGAATATTTTACCAAAAAGAACATTACAAAACTTGTGTAAATGGTTTCCACCTTAATAATAGCCCACACTCTCCAACATATTTAACATGACTTTTTTTTCAGACATGATAATCTTCTTCTTCTTCCTGATGAATGATTTGTAGTAAGGACCAAAACAAAAAACTATTTAGGTTGTCATCTTCTGCATATGTTGTGGTCCCAAATAAGTTGCCCAAACGGCAGTTGTGTAGGAAGAAATTGACATTTGGTAGTACTGTTGTTATTCTCAAATGTTCTCATTTGCCACGTGGGAAATGGTTATGGCAGATTTAAAGGAGCAAAGAGTGTATTAGAATTTTGTTTTCTGCTTGAAAATTAGAAACTAATAATAAAAAAAAATACAACAGAAGCTTAGCAAATGCTTCGACTCTATCAACAACAAATGATCAATTTGAATTGGATATTGTGTGAAAAATGACCTGCATATCAGAAAAACAACACAAAGTTATTTTACTCTATGATAATAGTGACTAAAAAAATAAAAATAAAAACAAGAGATTATTTCACCAGAAAGTGATCTTTATTTTTCTTTATTGGATAACTGATATTTTTTTAATCTTAGAGAACAAAATGCAATTCTCACTCTCTTATCATTATTACTGATGTTATCATTATTACTGACAGAATGTAATATAACTCACTAAATAAATAAAACTCGATGGTTATCAAAATATAAGTGGAAGTTAATACTTCTATCTAATATGTTTTTAGATGTTTGAAATTGTCAATTATTAATGGTCACGTCTGAATTTTCCTTTAAAGTTAAAGAATCCTTAAACATCAATGGCAATGGCTAACAACATAACAGGAAAGTTATGAACAACCAACATCAATTGTTGATTGAAAGATATTTGGTGTAGTGTGGGTTAAGACTCTTCCCCACAAATCAATATCAAAGAAGCCCTTGTAGTTAATAATTCGGCTATTTTTTAATAAACTAAAAAAGAGATTGAAAATATTTCGATAATACTTAAGTGATTAATAAATCATATGAATAATATAATAGGAATGGATAATGTGAATTATAAATAAAGAAATAACAGACCTGGGCTTCAAAATTACCCTTCGAAGATTCATTTTTACACTCAGGAATTATTTTACTTAGTTTAATGATCCAGCTATTAATTTTATCTCTCCTTCTTCTCTCGACTTCGTTGTGAGTTGCTCTTCTTCTATCATCTCTCTGTAACAATCATCCCAATTATAAATTATAGTACTAAAGATGCATTTTCAAATCATAAATTAATTGTGAAATTAATAGATGATCTTTATGACATGTTAAAATGAATTTTTTTTCATTACTAGTTGTTATTCCATTTATTTCCTTTAAAGGAAAAGAGAGATGGATGAGTCCAAAGAAAAGATCAAAAATAATTATAGAAACTGTTAAGTTAAAATTTTTTTTGAAATTGTTTATTTACATACTAAGGAATCCCGAATAAAGTTTACTTTCACTCACATATTCATTCAAGTTTTTAATGCCCATTATTTAAAAAGCGATTTTTTTATGAGTCATCAACAAAACTTAAGTGTTACTACAACCTGCCATTCAGAGAAAAAATTAATAGAAAAGAATATCATGAGATGTAAAACAAGGTAGAGGACTGGTTTATATTCTAAATGAGCTTGGTTATTTAAAAAATATAAAACTTACTTTTTCAGTTGTATTCACATTATTACAGTTTATTTTTCAGATTATTTTGCGAAACTACTTAGCTCCCAGATGCTATTCCGAAACTTAAAAATCAGAATTTACAAAACCATTATCCTTCCTACGATTTTTTATGAATGCGAAATATGGCCGCTTACATTAAGGGATGAGCAACATCTTAAGGTTTTTGAAAATAAAGTCTTGCACAGAATATTCGGACAGAAGAAGGGTGAGTCAACAGGAGAATTTTGGCGGTTACACAACATTTGAATTGAGCGAACTGTACCCGGTTAATATAATTGAGATGATTAAGTTAAGGCGAATAAAATGGGCATGTAAAATCGCTATGCTTAGTATTGACTTTTTTTTTTTTTCTGTTGGCATTACAGACCATGTAGATCTTTTGCCGCCTTAACAAGCCTGCTCCATCTCTGCCTGCCTTGGGCTATTTCTTTCCAATTATCTGCACGCAGCTCTGTTGCATCTTTGTTGATTCTATCTATCCATCTGAATTTTGGACTTCCACGTGGTCTTTTGCCTTCTATTGAGGTATTTATTGTTGCGTAAAGGCTTCAAAATGGATTGCTACGAGCTATATGCCCGCCTATCTTAACATCTGTGCTTTCATATCATGAGATATTGATTGACCAGTTTCTGTAAGCAGTTCCTTATTGGTCTTTCTTCTCTGTGTGTTAGTACTCTGATCCCAGATCGCTCCAGTTATCCTGGGAAAGATTTTCCACTCAAATCTTTCAACACTTTTTTCTAGGGTGCTGGTTAGTGTCCAGGTCTCATAGCAATATATTAGAACTGGCATTATCATAGCATTGTACACAATTAGTTTGAGATTTTTGTGATTTCAATACCTTTAAGAGGGAGAAGAAAGCTCTGTTTGCGCTAGTTATACCCTGGTCTATTTCTGCCCGTTGGTCATTCATTGAGGTTATAGTGGAGCTGAGGTATTTGAATTGTTTTTACTCTCGGGAATGCTTATCCAAGGATTTTATGATTCATTCCGACATGGACCCCTCCATTTTCCTGTGTTGTTGCTCTTATTACCTTCTCCAGGGCTAAGTTGAACAACATCAGTGATAGTCCATTTCCCTGTCGTAAGCCCGTTTAAACTTTGAAGGCTTCAGATACTTCTCCTTTTATTAGGACTCTACATTTGGAGTCATTTGTACACATCTTTGTCAATCTCACCAACTTACCGGGATTTTCCAAAAACAGTTCCTGTCCACAGAATGATAGAATTCCTAAAACGTTAATATGTACCATGCTGACTCGCAAGTGTCTTAGGAGTAGGCCGAAGCAAAGGTGGGAAGACAGCTTTAAGTCTGATCTGGTGGAGTTGGGCTTAGACAGCGTCCAGAGGATGGAAGAATGTAGACATCGATTGGTGGTAACAGCATCAAACCTTCAGGTTCGCTAGGCTTTATTATCATTATTAACACATACTTTTTATATTTTAACAGTAATTGTGTAAACATACTACTTTAAAATATTATTTAAGCATGTAAAAAGTAAAAATATATCATTTCCATAATTCCCAGTACTATATTATACCGAACCCGACAAAACACATCGCAAAAATAAATAATAAAAAGAAGAGGGATTACTTTTGATTCAAAGTTTAAGACAGTGGTTTATTAATATTACTTCAATTAAATACTAAATATATTTTAACAATTAAGGCTGAAGCATAAATAACGGCATACATTAAAAAAATGAGTTTTGATAAATGAACTAGTAAAGGTTACTGATGTCCTTAGAAAATTCCTAGTAGGCTTCCCAAAAACTGCTGTCATACCAATCAGTAATTCCTAAACCAGTATTGAAAATTCATCTCAAAAGTCATGTCATTCCAATTTGGTTGAATTAGTGCTTATTAGCAAGTTAGGGCCTGCCTTAACTTCCTGAAGGCTCATCTTGCATAAAACATTTTATTGACCTTGCAATAAACATTTGTATTATATTAAAACTTACAGCAGTCAATAATTACAACTGAGGAAAATACTTTAATAAAATAATAATACCTATGCTTTTTCTAAAAAAAAAAATAATAATAATATATTGAGATTGAAACAAAATAAATATAACCTTGAGTTGGAAAAAACATGATTGCATTTTGGATTCTCAAAAATGAAAAAGTGTTGACTAACTTTATGATTCCTTCATGTGCATATGAGGATACAAAGAGTACTATTAACTTCATTTACTTCTTAACTGGAATAAGATTTCGAAGAGATATTCTTGATATCTTAACGTCACAAAACAGCACATTCCTCACACACACAAAAAAAAGACTAATAAGCACTAATTTCAGAAACAGCCTTAATTGACCCTTTAGAATCAAGGTGAAATGTATAAGCATGATAAAAATTTGCAATAAAAATTAAAAAAAAATAATAAATAAATTGATTATATACCCGACAAACAGTGGTGGGTCTGCTATTTTCCTCATGCACCCTAGATATTATTGTCTTTTGGGATGTTGTGTTTATTGGAACAACTTTCTGTGGAGCCCCAAGAACGAAAATGCCTAAAAATACATTATAGTTATAAAAATAATAAATAAATAAAAAAATTTATGGTTCATGATGTTTTCTACAACCATATACAAACATCACCTAGAGTGGATACAGCTTATATTACTAAAATAAGGGCAACCAACTACAACTCATGACAATCACATTACAGTAATGTGTTAAATAAATATATAACATTTCTTTTTTCCACGTCCTACTACAAAGAAAAGAATCAGAAATATTTCGATCACAATCTTATTAGATAGGATTATTTTCATTACTTTGGAATTTAGAATAATAAATAATTTCTAAATTTAGTCTCATTGATCCTGAAAGATATTTCTTAACAGCTGATGACTTGAATCCAATTCTAATGCACATCTCTCTAGCATAATTTAAGTGTAATTCACTCTAAGTTGACTAAAAAATCAGTAGTAAAATAAAAAAAAAAAGGATATTTACTTACCACCATTCATAGGATAATTATAAATTGCCTGGACAGAATGATGACCAGAATCTGTTGTAATGGTAGCAGTAGCTTCTGCAATATCAGGAGTAAGAGTTTCAACACTATCAGATGACATCTGCATTACTCGATAGGTAACTATATAAAACAAGGAAAAAATTCAATGAGAAAAACTAAAATATGAAAGAATAAATTTAATTTAAAAGGCAAGCTCTATAAACTGGACTGCCCACTAACAATATTTTATATTAACTGGTAAAGCAACCAAAAAGTAATTAAGAACAGCTTATTAACACTTTAAAATAATCAAAAATATAAACATTTTTTTCTTCCTTGGCTCACTACCATCACTACAAGCTAATCATCCAAATTTAGCTGAACAGTAGTGTTAGGTAATTGTAATATACAGAAGAATTATCATTACTAAGGGGAAGCATGAGAAAGCAGGAAATCCATTGAACAAATATTAAATATAATTAATACACCTTATAGAGGATAGCCTTCAATCTACAGGATTAATGGGATCTGCAGGGGAAGAATAATAGAATAAAAAGAAGAAAACTAATTTAGCTCAAAATTGTCTAAGCATCCCCTGACACCTTGAATGTAAATAGAAAAGGAAGTTCATAATTTAAAAAATCATTAATTAAATATAACATAGAATACTAGTCACAAATAGAGATGCAATTAATCAATTTTCAAATAGAATTGCCATTCATGCAACATTTCATATGATAAAGACATCTTATAATTTTCAAAATGTAAACGTAGTGTGTAACAAACAAATAAAAATGAATATTAACATAATACACAAAAATAATAATAGTTCTTACCTCCATCTTCTCGAAATTCATACTGCACATCATCAGCATCTGTAGTATCAATATTAGTATCTAAAAGGGAAGAAGGAATTTCAACCTCCTGTTCTTCGTGTTCTTCCCCAAGAGATCCATCATCTTCTACAGTCATACTTAACACTGGTGTTAGTATTTCTTCGTCAGATTTCATTATTTTTCTATCGCTACAAAAATTGAATCTATAAATTATATTCCAATATTATATTTCTTAATAATCTCGCCTTTAAGTGAGATTAGCACAGAAAATAACAGGTCTCAATTATGATGATAAATAATGTTTAAAATCAGCTTTAAGAAATAGTGTGCACAGTAAAAAGGGGAAGTTTTTACCTAGTATATAGGGTATCATTAATCCAAAACTAGAATCAATTTTTTTGATGATATAAGCTCCTAAAAATAATTGAATGGTTGATTTGGGAATGAACTCTCATTTAAACTATTAGCTGAAAATAAAGAAGTTAGTTTTGGACTAATGTAACCTCACCAAGTGCTTAACAGGTCATACAAAATAAATTATAATCCCATAACCTAGAATAAGCTAAAGAAAAAGTGGCATAAATTGTAAAATGTAAACATACAATCAGTTAACATAGCGAAAAAAGTATATGATAACCATAATAATTACTTATAAATCTAGAAGCATTAAAATTGAGCTGTCTTCTGTTTAGCGATTTTTAAGAGGTGAACTTATTGCTCATAATGAATAATGCAGTTATAAAGTTAAGAACATAAAGTACTCGCCAAAAATAAATTATGTATACAGAATTAAAATAAACATTTAAAGCAATAACTTATCCATATCAATTATTTTTCAACAATCACAACCTCAAAAACAGATTAAAAAAGAAATTGAACTGTCTCTATCTAAGAACAATTAAAGACAACAAAATTAAAACATAATATACAAGTATATTCCACCAGAATCAATATCTATCAATTTCAATCATAAATTATTAAGACTCATTGGACAAATGTTAAATAAAATTTGAAAGAGACCCAGAAATTATCATGAGTACAAATAATAAATAAACTGAATTAGGTCATAGATATTCAACAATAACTAAATCCACATACCTGATTTCTAATGGGTCAACGATGTCCATTGATAAAAACACTACACTAGACAATATTTGAATTTGACTGGGAAGCAAAGGAAATAACGGGGAGGGTCATGTGAGCTTAACAGATACGAGTTAATAAGTTGATGTCAAAAAACAACCTCCCCGTTACTTGTACGTCAAATACTTTTGTTTTCAAACAACTATTTTACCAATTAACAGCTTGGATCATGCTGACTATTTATAGATTTTATCTTCATCACAAACTTTAATCTGACGAGATGAATTAGTAATACAGATAATTAATTGCAGGCTGAGGTTATCTTTAATTTATCACTGATGATAATTTTTCACAAGATACCACTGATGATGTGACAAACAGGAATGTTAATTTACAAAGATCTTGCCACGACCCTGTTATATTAAACTTGTATTTAATTTTTAATTATTTGCCATTGTCAATTTTATTGCCTAAGAACGATGCATTCTATCAGAATAGGAAGGCTTTGGAAATCCACTCTCTTCCCACCCCCCTCATGTGATTGCTTGTACCTGCTATGACGTGTTTACAATTGAGTTTAGTGTAGAACCCAAGCAGAGGTTACACTTGTGATTAATCAGCGTAGTAATTTTGTTTTGTTTTTCAAAATGTTAGATCTGTTTACCATTTTTAGCAAAGGTGGTATTGTGCTTTGGTATTTTCAGAGTACCAGCCAAATTTTCACGCCTTCAGTGAATGCATTAATTAAATCAGTCATATTGCAGGTAAAATATTGTCTGTTTTTCCTGGTTGAAAAATCATAGGCTTAGGAGACAGTTCTTTTTTTTGTATGTTTTTCATATGAAGAACATTTTTTATTAATTCTTAGTAGTGACTTTTTTGTAATTGACTTAAATCATCTCATGTTTTGTGAAATTATATAACATTATTGATCCATATGTTATAGGAGAGGACAGGGAACAATAGTTTTGACCACAATTCTCTCACTCTGAAATACAAACTTGACAATGAATTTGAGTTAGTATTTGTTGTCGCTTATCAAAAGATTTTGCAGTTGTCATATGTGGATAAGTTTTTAGATGATATTCATCTAGAGTTCAGGGATAAATATAAAGATGATCTCCAAAATAATCAGCATTTCATTGTAAGCTCAATAATGCTCTAGACATTTAATTTAACTTCATTAATCCTTGTCATTTATTGCATTACATTGTGTAGAATTTCAAGTTCGACAATGACTTCAAAGAAGTTTTACGAGCTTGTGAAGAATGGGGGAAGACACAAGCTCTTATTCCAAAACACATGAGATCTTTTGAAGAATCCCTCAAATCCAAGAAAACTGTTGCTTCAATGATCGAAAGGAAAGGCGATGACAAAGAAAATAAAAAGAAGGGTATATAAAATCAGAATACTTAATGACTCTTGACCTTCAAATTTCTAAACTAATTTGTATTGTTTTCTTATCAGCAGTCTTTGTAAATCTACTGTTCCCTTTGTTTAGTTATGTTTATTTATAATATTACTTTTATTAATTCATGAACTTTAAATAAATAAATTACTCCATATTTGTTTTGTATCAAATTGATAATAATCATGAGTTTCATTTTGCATATTTAATCAATGTTTTAAGTTTAAAATATTTGTATAAAGTCTCTCTTACCGTACTCTATTAACATTATTGATTCTAAACGAAATTACTAATATATTAAATTGATTAATCACTAACCAGGCTTGTTTGAAGTAATAAATTTTTTTTAAAAAAATTGATTTTGCCGAATTTTTATTTTTATATTCTTTTGGTTTGGTACATAAAAAAAATTAATCTGGTGCTAATTATAATTTACTATGGTTTGATATATTTTATTATACCTGAGTCTATTGATATATTATAATTTCCACGTATAATATAGTATTTATCCTGTACATATGTATATATTTGTCAAATATTTTAGTTAAAATAGCACCGGAAGAACCAAAAATAAAAAAAGAACCTGCTGCGGTTGTGGAAAATGGTAATATTGCACCAGATGATATTATCATGCAAAATAGAGCAAAACTAGCTCAAAAAATGGGCTCGCCAAATCAAAAGAAACCTAAGACGTAAGTCATTTCAGGTTTAATTTTTAATTTCATGCCTACATTTTTTGTAAACAATGATTCTTTAAATAATTCACAAAAATGGTCTTTAATTTCTATAAAAATATTCATTGTGTATATGCATTGAAACAAATGTCTGTCTGTTTGTCCTTTATGCATTACGACACAATTTTTCCAATTGCCATGAAACTTTAGGAAGTTGTTGCGTACACTCCCGTAAATGTTTCTATCATAGTACATCTATCCTATGGTAATTTTATATGTGCAAAAAAATAAAATGTAAATGTAAATTTTTGTTCAAAACTGCTAATTCCCGAAAGTTCTTCACCGATTGCTTTACAATGTTGTAATCAAATTCAGGAGTGTTTATATGAACATTCCATGGCCATCCGCCCTTTTGTTTCAAAATGAAGGCCGAAAAAGTTTTGTAGTTACTGAAGTAACTGAGATTATCATTTAAAGAAGTGATACAATTCTCCTTATTTAGGCAACAATATTATACACTTTTTATATACATATTTATATTTATACTCAACTGTGTTTGGGAAGTAAGTATGATACATCTTAAATATTTGATATGTAATTATTTAAAAATAGTTAAACCTTAAGTAATAATTATCAGTATTTATGGTCTAGATTCCTTTGAGAAATGAAATGAAAAGGTTTTTCTTAGTTTTCAGTTTATTAAATTATTTTCAGTAACATGACATAAGGCTGTGGCGTTCTTTGTAGGGTTTATTTTTCAATTACAATTTTTATAACTCTATATTTAATCGAGTTGTTTTTAAGAAGAAGCGGGCAATAAAATATCTTAGGAGTTATGAATGCTGTGGTAAATGGTATCATAAAATATTTTGAACATCATATATTGGTTTTACATGCAACAGATGGTGTTGTTTTAATAAATATATATAGTTTTACCTGGCATTTTATATCAGTAGGTATATAAAACTATGTGCGTATTTAAATGCAAGATTAAGTCAAAATTCCAAAGCAATCGGTGAAGAACTTTCCGAGATTTAGGATTTTGAACTAACAAAAAAAAAATACATTTTTCTTTTTCTTAAAAACAATCAATTCTAAGTTAAACATTAAACAGTACATTAAATATACAAATAATTAATTATAAAATTTAATATATGAAAATATATTAGTGGACTCATTTCAAAGACGGACATCTGTCATTTTCAGAAAGCGAAGAAAAAGTCAATTTTTGTTTTATAGATTCAATTCAAACTTTTTATGATAATTTTTTATCAGGGACGGTTCTCGACTTGAACCCTCGGTTCTTGTCGTCCCTCATCGACTGCGGATGCTCAGGCACCCTCCTGCACCATCGGCAGTTGATGTAAAGCTGTAGTGATTGTATCGATCACGGAGCCTGAGACCAATCATGCTCTGAGGTTGGATAAGAATTGTATCTGATCAAATTGGTACTACAGGGCATCTCTGGAGACCTGGCAGCGCTTTGGGTGGACGACAAGAGTGCTTGCACTACTTGGCCGTGGCGGTTGTAGTGGTTGTGTGTTTGCAACTGCTCACTGTACGACACCAGTGTTCAGCTGGTCGTGACTGAGTTTCGGCCATTCATCTGGTTTCAGTATATTGATGAGTTGTGGAAAGCTCTGATATTAGGGCTTGGCCCTTTCCGTGAGCACCATTGGTGTTCTTGCATCTTAAGACCTGTCCGTGGTGTGAGGCTAGGTTGGGGTTGGTTAACCTTTGGGTTAGGTACGACCCCAGCCGGTGCCGCCCGCACCTCATAGAATAGATGTATGTTAGTTGATAATTTTATTTAAGAATATTCAAGTTAATTCCTGAAAGTTACAGCTATGTTATAGAAAATTATTTTTCTTAACTTTTTAAAAATGAGAGCGAGCATACGCCTGGCTCGAACCTAACCCGAAGGTCTTATTCTAAAGGGACTTGTTCCAAAATAAATAAAGACTATATTGTTATTAAAATTGAAACAAAAATTCTATAATTCAAAATCAAAAGATTATAATTTTCACATAACGACAACAGAAAGTAAACCGAAAATTCCACAAACAAAAATGTATCCTATAAAAGTGATAAATTAGAACACTGTGAAGAAAATCATCAGTATTTCTCAATTGGAAGCATTATTTACGATAAGATCATGAATGTTAAGCTTAATGCAGCTCAAATCGGTTTCTAAGATCTCTTCAAAACAAATTGCTTTTGTCTTATAATTGATACATGAAATAATAATTTAGAAAACAAAATTATCCCATATTAAAAGTGCTTAACTAATATTTTTATCCATGAGATTTTTGAAAAAGATGACTTGAAATTCATTGGTGCTGTTTTATTATTTTTACTATTACTGGTATCAGTTGGGGGGGGGATGTAACTTCAACAATTTAGATCCAAATAAGCTATCAGTTTTATAAAAATTGGTGCCCTGAAGTCTCCAACTTTTTGAAATAAATGTAAAGGCAAACAGCTTAAAGGAGACTTATGAATGAAAATTAAGCTCAAATCATGAGAATTATAACATCTTTAATTTTGATTTGTTTTAGATTTACATTGTTTCAATTGCATCGGCAAATTTGCTTCTAACTTAACTGTTCTTTCATTAACAAAAAGTTGAGGTTCTGAGCCTAAGTTATTTTTCTATAATAAAAGGGTCCCCTAAAGTTATTTACCTATTCATTTATACCTGACACATTAGAGGTAAAAAGTTGTTACATATTTTCTGAATCAATTTATTTCTATATATTAGAAAAAGCCCGAAGCCAGCTAAAGAAGGGAAAAAACCAAGAATTTGGGACCTTGGAGGTACTAATAAAGATCTTCCTGATCTGGAAAGAACTAAACCTGTTGAAGATGGAGAGGTTGTGAAGACAGTTTGTGATACCTCAGTGAGTCTTTAAGTTTTATAATTATTAATCCCAATCTTGTCAGTCATTTTGAAAATGTCCATTGCTGTCGATTTCAGTTTCATTTTCTTAATATCCATATTAATGAATAACACTAATTATATCTGTGGAAAAGTGAACCATTGTTTTTTTAACGAATTTACTTCTTTTTTCTTTCAGATTGTTGGACAAATGGTTGGTGGAATCAGAGATTTAGAAGTGGACAGTGATTCAGATTCTTATGAAGAGGAAGAAAATGAAGAAGAAGCTGTTAACGGTAAAAAACAGCAAGCCAAATCCAGCGGTGTATTTTCGTTTTTCAAGTAAAGATCATTAACAAATTTTAATTTTTAAGTTAGTACATATATGGGACATTCTTCCAGTCAAATGCTATCTGAAAGTTATTGCCATTTCCCATTGTTTATTTAATATTGAAAATAAATATCTCAATAAACTATCAAACTTAGCCTATAATCGACATTTATTAATAATTTGGATAAATGACTCTAAATTTAGAAAAAATGAGTTTTAAACATTGAGATGTCATTTGTTACTCTTCTCCAGACCTAACCTTTCTGATTTAGCAAATCTCTATCAGATTCTAGATGTTTTATTAAAAATTTGAAACCTGCAATTTTTATTGTCTGAATAATAAAGGAGGAGCTGAAGCAGTTTGATGTCATTCTTTCAGCACATCAGTTTTCTATAATTTTTGCTGACTCGATTCTCTCTCTTAACTATTCCAGGCTAAACTAATAGGTTATTGGTTTCGAAAACCTTTGTAACTATTAAGTCAGTTGTTTCTTAATGTGCAAAAAAAAATCCATGAATCCTAAATATATTTTTATAGTTTTTTATTAACTAGGTAAGACATTTAAAAATTGAGGTTTTAAATTCATCTATTTAGCATTGAGTTATTAAGCTGTTTGTACATCTAGTTTGTTAAAAATTATGCAAGGAATATGTGAAAAACAGAGGAAAACATGTGATGTCTCTTGCATTTACGGTGGCCTGAATTTCAACATAAGGTCAATTAGTTTCATGTAGGATATTGCTCTTTAAATATCCCACAAAACTTCATGCTTAATATCTTCATAAAATTATCATTTCTATCTGTTTTCAATGAGATTCATTACATGATTTGTACTTTTTGTTTTGTTTTTAATTCTATTTTTTCAATAATGGGTAATTTTCCAATATTTACCTTCCTTTATAGATTTATCTATATGACAAATTCTAAAGCATCTCGTAACATTTTTTTAATTCATTAAATTAACATATTCTTGTACAACTGGCAACCAAAATTTAATGGGATGCTTCAAAAGGCAATTCTTGTTTTGTTTTTTCAGAATTTAATTGCTATTCAACTTTTTAAATTATTATTTTTACAAAAAACTGTATTTGTATTGACACTTTCTGAGAGAATGTCACATATCAATTTATTTGAGAAATTAATATATAAATTAGTAATATTATTAATATATTAGTACTGTGTTTTTCAATCTTTATACTTGTGTGACCATAATTTTTATTTTCTTCTTGTTTATTGTTAAGACCAAGGCTTTTTTAACGTATTGAAATTTTCAAAAAAGTTCTTTTTTAACATCAGTGAAACATTTTAGGGGTATAATAGGAACTTTGTATTTAATAAAAAATCAAAGAAACTGTTTTGTAATACAGTCTTGGGTTTGTAATAAAAGTTCAATTTTTATTTATTTAATGAAGAGAAGAGTAGTTGGGGTGATCAGTCAAATAAGAATAAATGATACTTTTTATTTTGACATTAGCCGACATTTCGACATGAAGTTCAGGCCATCATCAGGGCTAAGAAAAGAACCAGATAACAAGGTATGTGAAACATAAGTAGTGTAGGTAAAAAAATTAAAGTAAAATTCAGTTGTTAGAATAATGACAATAGTAAGAACAAAGAGATAAATGACTATGAGCGGTACAAAGTGTGGAATGATGAAGTAAACATAATCAAAAAAGGTGACATAAGTATTAAAATGGGAATCTTAGAATAAAATGTAAAAACAGAAAAATATGAAGTTATATAAGAAATAGAAATAAACAGTAAAATTAAGATATTGTGAATAGAATAGTTAGTTAGAAAATTGAGATGTTGTAAAGTCTATCAAGATGTATAGACAATGTATAATATAATACAGAGTTAAAATAGAGCAGAGGAATGAAAGGAAGGAGGAAAGAAACTGAGAAGGCTTAAATAAGAAAGAAGGAAAACCAACCTGACTGCGGAGATGTAAATCTAAGCAATGAGCGTGTTAGTCAGGGTGGGGGTGGAGAGAAGGGATGTGTCATCTCCAACGGTTATCTGATGAAGTTTGAACTAAACTACCGGAAGCGTAAATAAGGACGAGAGATTATTTCAACTATTCTTCTCTTCATTATTCACGACAGTTTACCATTTACCAATTATTTATTTAAGTTCTTAAAAAAAAAATTACCTTAAATGAGAAATATATAGTAATTAGGCTTAGATTACAGACATAATTTATCTTGAATGAACGACCTGATTCTTATATTTCCTTTATTTGAGTTGCTGTGATTGTATTGCTAAATTACCATTTTTATAATATATTTTATGGTTATTTAATATACTTTTGCTATTATGTTTGATGTTTCTTTATTAAATTATAAAAATCAATTTAGATAATGATGTTAATTTTTATTTTTTAGGGGTCTTGTTGGCTCAAAAAATCTTTCTCAAAAAGATATGGAACCTGTTCTAGAAAAACTCAAGGATCATTTAATTGCAAAAAATGTGGCATCAGATATTGCTAATAAGTTATGTAATTCTGTGGCTGCTAAATTGGAAGGAAAGGTAATCTAAAAAAAAATTAATATATTGCTTCCTGACTACTGAAGGTAGGGAAGCATTGTATTCATGCAAGAGGTTAAAAAAAATGTGCTCAGAATCAAAAATTTCTGCTCGTGTTTTATATTTCATACATCAAGGATCAAATTTTGTTCGATGTCTGTAGTCAAATCGATGTAACAGGCATATCACCTACTACCATTTATCCGATTTTCATGAAATTTTCAGGAATTGTGTGGGTTGGTGTCTAGGTGGTCCCATATCAATTTTATTACATTCTAACCAGCATTTCCGCTTACGCATGAGCAAACGCATTTTTGTAGATATTCCAATATTTCGGAAACGGTATGTTTGATTTGGCGTATATAATAGTGTATAGTCATTTTTATTGAATTCTGTCTATTCCTTTCTCTTATATATGCCCAAATGTCTATATCCTCTATACATCTATATCTCTAAAACCGCAAGTTCAATTTGGAGGGAATTTAGGGATTGGTAAACGTTAAATGTAATAGTCGTCAGTTTTATCAAATTCTATATAATATTTTAAAAAAAAAATACTTCCACTTTCAGATCAGGAAATGTGTTATTTGATATGCCTGTAGTTTGAAAACAGTGCATTCAATTTCGCCCAAACTTGGAGGAAATTTGGAGAACAGTATAGAAATTACTTAGTATCAATTTCATTGAATTCCATTAGTAATTAAAATTAAATATAAATAATTGTTAACAATATAATGGCTGTGAAATGTGGAAGGCACTGATCATGTGGAGTGGGAGTTACGTTACTACAATATGAGGTTATAAAATTTTAGGTTTTATTCGAAAAATTAATTTATGCTGTATTGTTTGGTCGATTCCAAACGTTACTGGCATGAAACTTAATGCCGTTAGTTAGATTTCGTGTAATTTTCAGTTAATTAAAGTAATTTTTACTCTGAATTTGTAAAAAAAAAAAAAAATTAGTCTTATTTTAAAGGTTTTATTTGGGATTGTGTTTATTTCCATTGAAGTTCATCTTGGTCTCCTTTTTTATCGTTTACAATTCCTCCTTAAATATCGAAATTGTGTAAACTTCGAAGAAGTAATATGCATGTTCAGTATGCATTGGTATTTTTTTTAAAATTAAGAATCATCAAATATAGAATCTTCAAATCCGGCATTCTTTTGGATTTTAATGTTAGCTGCTAAACAAAATTCGTGGATACCAAACCCGCCAATGTTGAAGGGTAACTGTATTTCCGAATCGGCTTCTCCTAGAGATTTTATTCTCATACGAAAAATTGTATACCTTGTAATATAGATATATTTTAGCCAATGAAAACAGTGAGGAAGCTATACTGACCTAACTTGGCAGACATTTTTTTGTTAATTTTGCAATATTGACTTAATTTACTCTGATATGTTATAATTACAACTATACCATATACAAGGTTTGAGGACTCATTTGTGAATTGAGAATTTAATTGAAACTAGTGTTATTATGAATCACAGTTACAATTTTGAGACTTATTTTAAATTATTAAATTCTTCTAATATATTCTTGAATTATAAAGGATTTAGAAATAGTTTAACACCTATTATTAGGATATTGCAATACTAGAATTATTATTTAAAATAAAATGATGAAACTGGAATAATCATCCACAATAGTTGTTTTCCTTCTTCATAATAAGTAATAGGAGTTTTATAATAAAAAAAATGTAATTTTTAGGTTTTAGGAACATTTGATAGTGTAGCTCGGATTGTCAAAAATACCATGACTGAATCTTTAGTTCAAATTCTAAGTCCTACAAGGCGTGTTGACATTCTTCGAGATGCCCTCGAAGCAAAGAAGGCTGGAAGACCTTTTGTTATGGTGTTTTGTGGCGTAAATGGTGTAGGAAAATCCACTAATCTTGCCAAGGTAAATTCTAAATCAGGTAGATATTGGTAAATTAGTTATACAGATTTTTCAAGACTCCTAATATATTAATTTTGCTGCAGATATGCTTTTGGTTGATTGAAAACAAATTACGTGTGATGATTGCAGCCTGTGACACTTTCAGAGCTGGAGCGGTAGAACAATTGAGGACACACGTTGTCAGTCTTAATAATCTTCACCCACCTGTTAATAGCATGCCTCAAGTACAGTTATATGAGAAAGGATATAGTGAGTTGATATTTTAATCATTGTTGAAATCTAATTACAATTCCTGTTGTCGCATTCTCGCCTATTTTAATTTCATACAGAACAGTATACATTTCTTTTTTTTTTTTCAAATCATCCAAATCAAAGCCAAAGAATAGAGAAATAATTATTGAAAAAAAAAGATCAGAAATTTTGTTAAAGGATTTTATTAATTGTTAGCAGAAGATTTCATCAATTTTGATAAAAATGTTTTCAAAGTGTAATTGTGTAACTTTTTGTGAAAAACGAAGTTAATGAAGTAGAAGTTGAAATTAAACATGATGTAATAATATAAATAATCATATATTAATAATAATTAAAAAACTGATTCCAGTATGTTTAATGTTCCTTAGAATCAAATGAGATTCTGTCGATTATACGAATAACTTGTTTCCAAGCTCTATTAGGATTAACACAAAGAATCCAATTAAAAATATTTGTATATGATCTGAGTTAAGCTATTGCTGAAATAAATTAAGCAACTGGTGGACATTCCCCTACTTCCTTTAATGCTGTTGAATTATTGTCCATTGGTTCACCCTCTTATTATATCTTATAATAACCCAGGAAGTTAATGCCAAAGGAATAATGAAACTGTATTTGGTTTTCCTGGGGTTGGCAAAAGGACCTATGAGATTAGTTCGCCGCCCTCTAATATATGAGCCTTTCAGTTGACAGAATGACTAACTCCAATTTAAATATTTTGAGTAAAGTCATTTTAGTGATATTTCTAGTTGGAATGTTTATAATACCTGTATACGCAGTGAGTAAGTTGATTCCAGAGTATGTGATTACAGTGTTGAAATATAGATATGTAAATAAAGGTATAAATTTTTCCAGTAGAAATATCACTAAAATTAATAATCAAAAATGTTTAAATTGGAGTTAGTCATTCTGTCAACTGAAAGACTCACATATACATATCTATCTCTTATTAAAAACAGGAGTTCGAGCAGTGTAAAAATTCTAAAGACCCGTGATCTGTATCATTGATTCTTAGCTTTCTAATAATTAAAAGTCTGTTATTTATTATTCTTTGGCCAAAATTGTGTTTGTTTATACAACACTCTTAATAATATTATGGATCCTTTGAGTATGATGTCTTCACTTTGCTCTTGTTTATTAATTGTGGTTATGACTTTTCTGATAATGTTGCCTCTTTACTTCAATATACAATGCTCATTTTGCGATAATCCTTAATATTTCCATCACTAATTAAATTTCTAGTAAAACATAAAAGTAATATTATTCTGATTAATGGTTTAACTTTTTATGTGCTAGAACACAAATTTTATTCTTTGGAATCAGTTTTTTAATTTCTTGCAGTGATGAATATTTACAAAGAATCTTGTTTATAAACGCCTATCCATAATTTTTTTTTTCCCATTGTTAGAAAAGGATGGAGCTAGTTTGGCAAAAGAGGCTATCAGTAAAGCCCGTGAGCAAAAGGTTGACGTTGTTCTTGTTGATACTGCTGGCAGAATGCAAGACAATGAACCACTTATGCGTGAGCTTGCCAAGGTAATTTATTTTTATTTTTTCTAATATTTGGTTTCAATTTTTAGTTCAAAGCAATTTTATGTTATGAATATAATAAGAATAAAAATGCACAGAATGAGTATTCACATTTCAGAGCATAGAGCCTTGATACTCAATGCCCCAGATTGTGGCAGATTGTATAAGTTTTTCTTCGATAAAATTCTATATAAATTCAAACTTATATAAATGAATACAGATTTAAATGAGAGCGGTAGATATAGCTTAATGTCTCTAAGCCCATAATGTCTTTAATTATTGGAGGAACAAAAAGAAGAGATCAGAACTTAATTTCAGATATCATTTTCTCAAATGATGATTATAGTTAGAGATTGTGGGATTAATTTGGTATTTTTTTGCCAAAAGAAAAAAAAAACATTGAGCTTATATAGATTAAATATAGTATTTGAAATTATATTTTATTTTAAACTTAACTATATAACCACTCTTTTATTAATTTATTTCTCTTTTTTTTTTCTTTAAGATTTTAGACAAAGTCCTATTTTGTCAGAAATTTATATTTGTTTAAATATTAAAGGCATAATTTTATTTTTGTAATGGACTTTCTAAGTTAATTGTGTGTTTTTTTTTTTTTTTTTTATCTAGTTAATCAAAGTCAATGAACCAGATCTTGTGCTGTTTGTTGGAGAGGCTCTAGTCGGAAATGAAGCAGTAGATCAGTTGGCAAAATTCAATCAGTCTCTTGCTGATTTTTCAGAATCTACAAAACCACATCTTATTGATGGCATAGTGCTTACGAAGTTTGATACCATTGATGATAAAGTGAGTTTTTTTTTTTTTGTTATTTCTTAACTAAATAAAAGACTTCCCTAACCTGTCGTCTCAGTAGCAACCAATCCCTGCCTACATATTTCACACTACCAACTTCCGTCCAAACCCAAATCAACAAGATCAGTCTTAACGCAATCTTCCTACTAATTCTGATATTTACCAGTCTGCTCAGGGTTTAAAAGTATTTTTAAGGTTTGCTATGTAAAGAAAGGTAGGAAGGATTATAGTTTTCTAAATTCTTAAAAAAACTTGTTTAGTAACATAACATCTTAATTTTGTAATTTTAAACCTTGCCATTATTTCCTCTTCAGTTTAATTTGTTACAATTATTGTAGATTGCTAGTACCTAAATTTCTCTTTATTTTCAAATGTATTATATCTGTATATCTCTTATACCTATATTTTGTCTTTTCCCATATTTATATGGAGATCTAATCTAGTTCTTTACATTGATTATCATCGAAGTAGTTATATTTTATTTTATAGTTTCCTCTTCTTCTTCAAGTCAACAAACAAGCACATTTTACTGCCTGAAGGTGAACCTTTTTCGGGTCACCTTTCTAATAATATATTATTATGCTAAAATTAATAGAACGGCTGAAAGGGAATTAACTTGTTTTAAAATTGCACAAACCTTAAAGTTATTGAAATAATAATTACTGATTCATACATTCCGATCTTACACATCCTTTTGTATTTTAGTTGTACACATCCTTATAGATTTGCTAATTTCCTGCTCAATCAAAATATTATGGTGATCCGTTTTCTTTTTTTAAACTAAAATTATGAATGGGGTGTTCAAACCTACACCATACAATTCAGCAAGTCTGGAGGCTCTTAGTTTGGAGAAATATACCATCATCCCTCCCTAGATTGATCTCCTATGAGATCTACAACAACAAAAGTGTTTTGCTTTTTGTAATTTTATATTTTTTTGTTTGATCAGTGTAGTATTTATTGTTAATAAGTTATTATAAATAAAAAAGTTTAATTTATTTTAGGTTGGAGCAGCAATCTCCATGACGTACATGACAGGGCAACCAATTCTGTTTGTCGGTACAGGACAAACTTATACAGACTTAAAGTCACTCAATTCTAAAGCAGTTGTTCATGCGCTTATGAAATAAGAAAACCTACAGTGCCTTTGAAATTGCCACAATTTTAATATAAATTGATAATGTGAATCAAAGAAATATAAAAGATTATGATGTGGCCTTTCATTTTTCACTGATGATCATTTTTTTTTTTTTTTTTTTTTAATGCTTTAGAGAAAGAAAAAAAAAAATTGAGTAAATCAAAAGTATTATTTCTTTTTATATTTTGTTTTTGTTATTGTTAATACTGAATGATTTTGTTGTTGAACACTGAATAAAAGGTTATGTTTAATTTTTCTATTGTTGTTTTTCTTTTGTTTTATCCCTAATTAAATAGCAATCAAGCGTCGATTAATTAATATGTTGTATTAGTTTACCTTAGGGAGCTGTCTTATGCAGTGGGTAAGGCATTGTGCTCATCTCTTAGGCCCAGATTCAAGTCTGGTTGTGAATAATAATTATTTATTCTGTTTCATTATTCTATTGTCCTATTCACATTAGTATTCTAGGAGATCATTCCATGGTTGATTCCACAGTGTTAGTCTCTATTCAAAGCATAAAATAATAATTTTCCTGATCCCATCATTTGAATTTCAGATTCTACTTTAGATCTTTATTATACATGTCCACTGAAGAGAAGTCATTTTTCTCCTTGATTATCTAAATTAAAATTTAAATATTTAGCTGCAATAAATAAGGATTATGAGACAAATTTCCTGGAAAGAAAGAATTTATGAAACTAAAATAATATGAATTTTATAGTAATAATTATAGATATCAATACAAATTTACTGAAGTGGAATATATTGCTTGAGATCTGTACTCCAGAATAAAACTAAATTATAAATTTTAAAGATTTGAGAAAAAGTATGAAAACTCTTGGTTTATTTACATATTGTCATCCAATAGTTAAAATAAATATTTTCAATACTGTTATCTAAAAATCAAATATACTTCTATAAATTACTGAGCTTTCTTGCTGGTGTGGTGAGGAGGACTTGGTTTTCTGCAAAGTATCTTTATCATATACCAAAGCAGTATCACAAAACTTAAAAAGAGACACAATACAAATCCTATGATGTCAATCAAAAACAGCTGGTACCAAGCTAAATCTATGGAAGCTGGCCTAAGGTGTGGCGCCCCATTATGTCTGATCACATACTCGATCCAGTAAATGGCTTCGTCGATGAGCGGCATAGGCTTGTCTCTGATGACAGAAACACGTTTCTTAGCTTTTTCTCTGTAACTAAATAAATAATGATGGATTAGATTAATTAAGTGGACCGAAATTGATGATATCCATGTTGTAAATAACATTGTACAATGTTATGTGTAAAAACTACCATAAAGTAAATTACTCTTAATAATAATTTTTATGGTGGAAGTATTCTTGACTCTAAAACTAATTCATGAAGTCGGTTAGATGTGTAACTCTTGTTCTCAGACCCGTATCATGCTTCTATTAGTCTTTATGTTTCTACTTTTTCGTATCTCTAACTATTTATTTTTTGTTATACTTTATATCAAGGGTTGCCATTTTTTTAAAAAGTTCTATTTTAACAGTTTTTATGAAACTTATTAGGAAAAAAATTCCATTTTAACAGTTATTGTGAGACCTCTTTAGAATAAAAGTTCTGATAAATTAAATATAAACAGTAATACGGCTTATATTAGAGTTATAATTTGCTCTTAAATGAATTGCTCATGATTCTAATGTGTCGTTTGTTAGGGAACTATGAATAAAAATACTTTTTTAGATTGACTTTTTAGCAAAACTGACAAAACTTTTAAAAAAAAGCTTATTTAAACATTAAATTTCTGTGAATACTTTACTTGAAAAGTTGAAAGGGAAAAAGTTCTAGTTCCAAAAGAACTGAAAAATTATCGACAGTAAAAATTTCGATGTTACTGAAACTTTTTTAATGATGAAATTTGTTTTCCGTTTCGAGTCCTGTTTTATATTATTTTGGCTTATATAAGTCGTATATTTTCACATAGGAACAATAATTATTATATTATTTTTTTTTTATGAATTTTGCGTAATTTATTTATACAAACTCATTACTATAATTTTCATAGTTCTCATATTTTTTTTATACTTTCTATTATTTTATTTCACATTGGTTTTTATCTTGCTTTGCCAGTCCTGATGAAGGCCAACACTTTAGGTCGAAAGATTGGTACTCATTAAAATAAACATTTACATATCTGTTTTTCTTTTCTGACCGCACCTCCAACCGAATTCTTGAATAATTTTCACACTTTTTAATTAATTTAAGTTTATGATTGATTTTCTTTATCTATTGCTCACTTGTTGATTTCATTTTTATTTTGCAGACTAACCTCCCTAATGGGCTTTCAATTAAATTACAGGATAAATTAAGAGCTTTTTTTAATGAGATACAAAAATAGCTTAAATGGAGAAAAATAAGAGATAGAAAATTAAAAAGCATTAATAAATAAATTCATAATTATTTTTCATTAACCACCCTTTAGGTTTCCAATTTCTTATTGTTCAAATAAATGATTAATTGGAATTAAAAATATTTTAACCTAGTGTTTATTAGGTTGAAAGCATTTTGAAATATTTAAAAACCATTTAAGTGCCCTTATGAAATTGTGAAGATTAAGACTTTAAATAATTAAAATTATTTTAAGAAAAAACAATTTTAATCTGTATAAATGTTACTGGTCTTTAATCTTGAGAGAGATTGTAAAATTAATTGTTTAGAATAAATTACCTGGGATTATTTAATATTTTTTTCATAGCTGGCAATATTTTGGAATAATCTGTTATAGTGCGAGGATCAACAGCAATTCCTGTACCTAGGTACTCTATAAGTCGTGCATTGTGAAACTGGTCTGCAAATGCTGGAGTACCCAATACTGGAACACCATGGTATGCCGATTCATACATGCTGTTCAGTCCACAGTGACTTATAAAAAGAACAACATTATCATGGCCTGCAGACAGAAATTCACGATTAAGTACTCAATAGTGATATCATGTACAAACTGATGAAAAGATAAACTTACTTAACACACTAGTCTGCGGGAACCATGGTCTTACTAGAACGTTGCTGGGCACTGAGGAGAAGGTGCGATTGGACATCTTGAATAGGACACGCTGCTTTACATACCTAAAAGATTCCATGATGGAATCCAAAGCTAGTTCCAAGTTCTTTCCCTCAAAGTGGGATCCCCAACTAAAGTAGATAACGCCGTGTTTTGATTCACTGATATACTTCTCCAGATCCTGTTCATACAATCATGCTTTTATTATGTAAATAATGTATATATATATATACATATATATATATATATAAATATATATATATATATATATATATATATATATATATATATATATATATATATATATATATATATATATATTAATGTTCAAGATGTATACCATTTTATAGTCTCTTATTTAATATATTTTAATTACATCTTACGCTTTCAGTGCCAAGCAGCATATTTATCTTTTTAATCTTTATTCTTTTTATTGATACAGCAACCTCAAGGTAGCCATCAGGGATTGGCAAAAAGGACCACTTACCAGACTAATTCCCCTTCCAGTACCAGTGTTTTTTATTTGAAAAATTAGCAATTTGAACATTGTTGGTCGTCTGGTTTCATTATATAATATATTTGGAATCCTTACATATCCTATTATATTGTTATTTTAAGAAACTGAGACACCTCTTCACCAGACACTGGTTTGTAACAACTTTTTCGCTAAAATCGATTTACTGAGAGCAGGGGTGCCAATTCTCCCTCCCCCACCCTCATAAGAGGATGCCACACACCCCTTCCCCTCAATGTATTGGATTGCTTTTCTCTTCATAAAAATGGTGCAAATTAAAATAGAATTATGAAAATTGTAGTTTATTCATTTTCCTTGTTCCCTGGCTTGAAACATGTCAAAAATATGGTTTCCTCCAAAAAGTTTATGGGGAAACTTGCATCATGCCCCTGACCAGGGGTGCCCAGAAGGGGGTTTTATAGTGCAAGTTGCGCAATCAAAATTAATGAGAGCCACTTTTTGACAGGGTTTTTGATTTTTAAGGGGGGGGGAATTTCGAGAGGGTTATGAATTTTCAAATTAATAGACAAGTGGAATCATGAAACAGACCACAGGATGTGTAATTGTTTATTATCTACGAATATTCAAATTCTACATTCGTTTGCACATTCTTTTAAGAAGAAAAGAGAAATAAAATATCTTGGAAGGGGTAGGGGAAGGTTTATGCGCCATCGGTCTTGGGGGAGATGGGCAACCCTGCCCATGACCGGAAGTTAAAAGTTTATATAATCGATTTTTCACATTTTGACGATTTTCTCGAAAACGGCTTGAACGGCTTTGAAATAAACTCATTATATCAATGTAAAATTAAATGATGTTTATTATTAAGTAAATATTAATCTCTCTGAAATAAAATGTCAGGGCTATATGCGGAATTTACAAATTGACTTCCCCTAAAGTAAGCTTAATTTTGTTTGTTTGAAATAATTAACATTTCTCAATGTTAGAAGTAATATAGAATGAATAAATATAAACTACGAAATAATTTTATGATAAATTAAAGGAGAAATATTATCTCCTTGTATAAGTGGGGAAAAAAAATACGGAAATAAATACTGTTGCAGACATATCATGTATTTTTATTTATTTAATTAATATACCATAGGAAAGCTAATTGTTTGAGAAAAACTAATATTTACAATATACAATTGTCAAAAATAAATGCCCTGTGATGAAAAATACACGAACTTAACAGTTCCGACGGGTGGAGAAAATACACAGTAAATAATTGTTTTAAATGAATATGTTGCTCCATCTAATTTTTACTTTCTCTTACCACAAGTACAAGATCATCCATAAACTATGGAAATGGACTTACTTGAGATGTAAAAGAAAATTGTGCGCTGCGTACCAGATTGTTTATTTTACCGAAGAAATATCCTATTCCACTGGCTAACGTGTGCCTTCTATTGAACTACAAATTTTATTTCTCCCAGTGTGGACCAGAAGTTAAGAATTAATTAAAATTTTTTAGGAGGCCACATTTTGATGGGGTTTTCAATTGTTCAGAGGAAATATTTCGGCAGGGTTGAATTTTTGATATGAAAAGTTTAAACCAAGGGACAAGGGAAAAACAGGGACGAGACCACATTAAGTATAATTGTATATGATCTACATTTTCTCTGATTCTTCTTTTGCTTGCACTGTTTTTAAGAACAGGGGAGCAATAAAATTTCGTGAAAAAAGGAAGAGAAAGAATTACGCGTCATCGACCTTGGGGAGGGGAGATGCGCTCTCCTGGTGTGAGTAAAACTTGTTCACGAACAACTGTTGAACATTGTAAACTTTTGTTGCTTCAAATTTTCGCATTGATGAGGACAGCCTTTAGTAATAAATAAATAATAGTTTATACCATTTATTGGTGAATTTACCATCTCTTTGGAATTGAATAATCGGTCGATATTTTAGTTGATACTTCTAACAGTTTTGTCGGATTTATGAGTCAACACATTCCTTCATCTGCGGATTTGCTTGTTAATATTTTGTATTGTTCAACCACATGTTTTAAACAACGAATTATTGTTCTCCCATCTTACGAAATCGACTCTAAAGGCAAAGACGTCACAACATATATCTCCGTTGTTTTAGTTTTAGGAGAGACAAATTATACAAATTTGCTTATTTTAACAGTTAAACAGGGGTGATTCTCAACCCCTGTCCAGGGTTTCTACCGATTTTTTTTTAAATTTCCTATTTGGTCACTCAGATTTGCCCCCCGAACGAACCTACAAATTCCTTCCATCCGACCATAGAGAAAATAAGGCCAAATATGTTACTACTCATTTTAAGCATGTTTTACTTATATTATCAAAAAAAGAATAAACTGTTCTAAGATTAGACTTTTATTGTGGGAAATTGTTTCCCCTTTTTTCCCCTCCCAACCTTGGAATTTCTCTAAAAAAGGATATTTTTCACCAAAGTGGAAACCCTGCCTGCGTCGCTCCTCCAATAGCAATGTTCCTTTGTTCCTGTCTACGGCATTAAAAATTAATGATTGTTATCGGTTTCATGTTTAAGCTTCCGTATCTTCGATTTATCGTGTTTAAGACAAAATGGGATGCTCATCGAAAAAAATCAATTCTGAGTTCACTATTTAGGATTAAAAAACTGACGTAATTATATGACCAGCACATTTCGATGAGAGGTTCTTGTTAGCTGATAAACTAAATTACTGACAGTAAAATACAACATTAAAGTATACTCCTCCCCTTTACACACTGTTCTATCACTGTCTGGTATAAATTAAGATACCCTGGCTTGAATATAAATCTGTTTTGATTTATGAGATTTTTTATCTCAGTGCAATTAATGTGTGTGCGTTGGGTTGTGTAAACTAAAATTTCTAATACAATATTCCTTTAAACATTAAAATAAAACTTATATACTTCAAGTGAAATATATGTCTGTGTCTCTGTTAGCAAACATTTAACGCTTTCTATTTATTTAAAAATATTTTGTTGCTTACTACTACTTAATTCTATCGTACTACTTAATTCTATCCTCTCCATAGAGATATTACAACATTTTAGGTAATAATTTTATTACCGGTAGTGATGTAATACCAATAGTCATACTTAAATTGTAAGTATTATTAAATTTAGCAATTCTGTATGTGTCCCCCTCTACTATATATATATATATATATATATATATTATATATATATATATATATATATATATATATATATATATATATATATATATATATATATAGTCTTTGACAGGCTTCATAGTGCTCCTTTTGGTTTTGACACAATATTAGTTCAAAATTTTCGGACATTCAGATAAAAGACAAATCATCCGGATTACTGACATTAAACTTACACTTAAACTTTGCTTGGAAGGAACAAATATATATAAATTTTCCTGAAAAAACTTTAATTACTCTTTAAACATAAATAAAATTGCATATAAGGCTCGGCACATAAGTTACAGGAACCAGAGTGCGTGTACCAGCTAATTTAGGACAAACTGCATTGGCTTAGCGAGCAGTACAGGCGACCGGAGAAGAATCGAAACTCAGTATTTTCTTCCTGCTCAGGCGTGTAGACTTGAACATGTTTATGTCACTCCGGCACGCTTACCTGTACAGTTTTAGTATACTAAAGTGGTGGTGTCTTCTTGTTTGCTCGCCATCTCTCGAGATAGTTAAAATCTTCCGGTTTACCGTAGCGTGTATCTGTGCTCTAACTTGCACAGGTATATCTTTCCGGTTTACCTGACAGGTATTTCATAACATGTGTACACAGCCTTAGAACATAAATGGTGTAATTATTATTTAAAAGAAATATTTAATTCCACAATTGCAATTTTACTTCACATTTTATGACCTCTGAGACTTATTATATGAGAAAGTTCAAACACATTATTGACTTCCCAAAAATACTACATTAGTTAATATTGTCATTTAACTGATTTTAAAATGTCTTGAAGAAGCACTAGTAAGAAAGACATTTTTTTTTAGCAGAATAGAAAACCCATTGACAATTAAACAAAAAGCTACAAATAAGTGATTAAAATTAAACATATACTGATCTTCTATAGCTCAAAAGCAGGACCAAATGAATACCATTCAATTAAAACATGCGCGGTTCTCTAGAAAACGAAATTATGTAGGGATAATGATATGAATATGAGTATGGCACTTTATTTGAAAATGGAAACTGCTGATGCCAATTGTTGCTGGAAAAAATGCCCTACTCCTCTTCGCGAGATAGATCCAGAAGGAAACATGATACGCAAGATGAATAATTTAAAACCTCAAAGATGACCTTTTTTTTAAGTTTCCACGGCTCATCGATTTGATAATTCAGACGTATGTCTTTAGTGTTCACAAAACTGCTAAGTGCTTTTAGAGAGTACCAAGGTGAATGATAAATTAACTATTGAATAACTAATCATTATGGATCAGAGACATTTTACTAAAATAGACTGGGCGAAGACCCTACACAAGTTTTTTTTTTATCAATTTTACTTCTTTTTTTTTACCTGTACCACTACAACCCATGAAGGTTCTTGGGCTCAATACTATTTAGGGAAAGCACTGTTTCTAGGTCAACGGTTGTGCAAGAAGATGATTTTTTTTTTTTTAATGCAACCAAAATATCTTGAGACTAGAATAGATAAGATCGCTTTTCGTACGATTGCCTAAATATTTATAAAAGTAGAGGTAAGCCAAGAGAAGTTGTATGGCAGATTGGCTACAATCAATCTTACCAAGTAATGCTGCTGATGTTGAAGACATTTCACACCTACGAAAACAACACATTCAAAGAATTCAAAGTAGAACTCAATGTCACTGAAGACTTCATCCATATTCAGGACGTTTCAACACAAGTCCGGGACCCCGTGGCAAAAAAAGGTGTCATGTTTCATAATAAGCTTTTTCCTTATAAATTGATCGTATCCACAGCACTGATGAGAGAAATGCACGTCTGCCAAAATATAGCCTCTGGAATACAAAATGGCGGACATGTGAAGATAGAAGAGACTCTACATTGGTAGTAAGCTTATATATAGAGAGAGCTTATTGATATAAATGGCTAGCAACCCCTTCAATTTATAGTATTTACAGCCTTAAGACATGAAATATTAGTCAGTAATTCCATACCCGTGGGGTAAATCTATTTGAAAGGAATGTTTGCAAGCGTAGCATTTCAAAAACACCCTGGACACCCTGGAATTTACCCAAAATTTTATTGTTGTTTTACATAGAAAACTACTCTGTAGAAGCCTAAATTAGCTGATTATTTATGAATGACTGAATGAATGAAAATAATTTCATTATTCTGGGACTAGTGTCCCTTTAGAACAAGTTACAAATCCAGAATATATATTGATATTCTGTTGTGTCCATAAAATACATTTAAATATTTACAGAATGATTAGGAATACAATAAAATTATAGATAATAAAAAGATATAAAAACGTGTATAAATATAAAATAAACAGAGAAAGTAAATTAAGTAAACAAAATATCAGTGAATCACAAAATAATCAAAGTATCTGGATGTACTTTGAGATTCTTACAGCTTAGGTTTTTAAGTGCATTTCGTGATCAATCGGATTGGGAGAAGAGACCTGAAAGAGAATATTGATTTTGCGTGTCGAATATCTGAGGGTATAGAGTTCCAGAGGGAGACAACTTGAATTAAAAAGGATTTATCAAACGCAGCAGTTCGGTGAGGAGGAGGATAGAGGTCGGACGCACCGGATCCGGTGGGACGGGATTGAAAGGAGCGTTTGAATTGTAGGATCTGTAGAATATAGGCGGCTCGTCGAGTTCTAATGGCCTGGTATAGGAAGGTAGCAAGGAAATACTGACGGCGGTAGGACGGATAAAGCCACTTCAACTTGGTGTAAAACTGAGTAATATGCGTAGCCCTTGAGATCCCAAAGATAAAGCGGATTGAGCAATTCATTAGACATATTTTTCTGATGATCTTTGATACAGTGCAAATTTCGGTTAATTTCGAGAAAAAAGACAACTAAAAAAATGTCTCTTCCTCTCCGTTTCCCAATTTCATGTAACAAATATCCAACGTATAAAACAGATCCTTTCAAATAATAATTTTGCTCTCCATGTCATCAACAAACTTATAACCGACCACAAAAATCGCTCTTCCTCAATCTCGGCCTCCACTGTTTCTCCACAACCCATTTCAGCCTCCATATACAGATCTCTCTCTACCTTATATTCCTAATCTTTCTGCCAACATAAACAAAGTTTTACGATCAACTAACCCTAACTTACGACTTGCTTTCAAATCTCATAACAAACTTTCAAATTTGTACACATCCTTAAAGGATCCCGTTCCTCTTTCACACCGCTCTCATATCGTTTACCGCATTCCGTGTTCCACCCCTAATTGTTTTTCATCTTATATTGGTAAATATAAAATCTTATAAATGACGGCATCACCCACCATAAATATTCTGTATCCTTTCGTAATTTTGCCGTCTCAAAATTATCCGAACATTCTCTCTCCCTAAACCATACATTTGATTTCGACAAAACTTCCATCCTTGCCTCCATCTCTCCTAACCATGACAAATGACTGATCTCTGAAACCCTCCACATCCAGCTCCAACATAAGACAGTGAATCTAAAAACAGACAAACAAAACTTTTCCTTAGCCTATTCCCAAATCTTGAATTTATTAAAACATCCACAGCGATCTCTTTTTCCAAAACTTATTCTAAACGAATTATTAGAACAATTATACGGAAAAAAAACTTATAGAGATACCTTAAAAAAGGAAATGTCATGAGACATGGTTATATTTTACTATTTGGATCCGACTGTGCAATCCGATAAATAAGGGTCAAGACTTAAGAAGTGTTTCTTGAGCAATTCTTAATTAAGTTGAGGTGTTCAGTAATCAGGTTTTCTAAAACCGATTGAAGATTCGGCAATGCACTTTGACGAGTAAAATAAATTAAATTTTAAAAAATGTTTCTGCTATAGAACGGCTTACATGACCTATATCTAATTCACTTGAATTTTTAAAACTGTGATTAAATATCTATTTATCTGTTTTGCAATATATATCATATGAGATTAAATATATAAACATCAAAGGAAATTTACCTCTGGTAATGGTTGGGAGACTTTTAGGGATACTCCACCAACTTCTATGACGTTTCTGGCATATGGTCTTGCGTAGTTGATGGAATAATGTGTCTCTACCAATGACAGGGACACGTTTGTCAAGGCATCGCCAAGGTATGGCAAGTTAGGATCCTTCAGCCAATTTCTCATTACTTTATCCTAGAAAATAATCAACATAGTTCAATTAATGAATATTATCATCGGATTATTAGATTGTTTATTTAATTTGTTGTACCTGAACTGGTAAGAAGTACAGATGATGTCCAATAAGTTCAGATGTTGTCAAAAAGGTATTCTCCAATCGCTCCCAAAAGTTCATCCGATCTGTGAATCCTGCCCTTTAAATTAAAAAATAATATAAAGTATGAACAGAATAATATTTTTGACAAATCTTGATGGTCATTTGTAACAATAAATAAATAATTATAAAGGATGTACATAACAATAATAAAAATAATGATAAATGAGTATGAAAACAAACCTATTACATGAAAATCATGTATGTAACATATGTATGTGTTATAAGAGGTATGCGGTTTAATCAAAATAGAGATAATCAGTTATTTTAATTAATATATCTCAAATGGAGTTACAGGATCGTTTTGTCGAATGGTAATTTTAATAATCAATCAAGAGGGCCAAATCTATTTTTAAAAGGACTTATCTATTATGTAATATCGCTTAATTTTCCATATATTTATTATTTAGATAAGTCGATAATTTTTTTCAAACAGTTCCTTTTCATAATAACTTATTCATCATGATAACTGTGAAAATCGAATTAACAGTTCAAACAATTATTTAATAAAAATGATATTGCATTATTTAGGACGTGAGTTTAGCAACTGCGTGTTTTTAAGATAAGCGGTTGTTTCAACAAAATAATAATAAGATAGGAAATTGTGAAGGATACCATTTTATTATGGGAACCACTTGTTAACTATTTTTTTCTTATTTTGATGCGGTACACCATTTTTATTTTATTCAGTTAACTTGTGGTAATCGTTTATTTACCTATAATAATTAAATATGTGTTAAGTCCATTGCAGTTAAGTGACGATTATAAGAATCATCAATTTTTTATTTACTTTATTATTTTTTTTAAAATTAAATTCGAATCCGGATTTTGAAACATTTTTCCGGCTTGAAAGTTTAAACGATGATTTAAAAATCACTCATCAACGATTTGAACATTAGCCTCAACCATTACCATAGGAAATCTTTACCCAAAATATTGCTCAAACCGGTGAAGATGAAAATATATGTAAAATTTGATCAGCTGAAGAATTTGTCGGAGTTCACAAAGTTGCTTGGATGCTACGAATGTGATTAACTTATGAAATCACGAAAGCTTTTAATTTTTAATTTAATTGGAAAAAAAATACACTAATGCGTTTTAGCTCTTGAAACAGCATTCTAATGGACGTAAACACAAGAGTGAATGACTTATCAAAAATATGGCTACTCTGGATTACGAGAGATAAGGTAGCTCAAAAAAGACTTGAAGAGTTATAAAACTTAATATGGATACTTATTTACTTTAAGTAATTTAATAATGGTTTACTTTTTTATTAAATTGTAAAATATTCCATACAGGTGTTGAAAATGTTAAACCATTTAAAATATATAATAAATGGTAAAATATATTAGATATTTATACCCTTTGTTAATTAATTTATGCATACTTTCGTCGATTTTCCAGACTACTTTACTATCCGGATACGAGCTTTGCATTGATTAGTCCGGATAATCGACGCTCTAGGGTATTACCTTTCGGTCGAGGAAATATCTTCCTGTCTTCAGTTCTTTAATTCACCTTTAATTCGGAAAACGTCTATCACTTGTGTTCACAGGCGGATCTAGGGGAGGGCTTTCGGGCTGATGCTTCTCCCCTCTCCCAAAATGGTAAAATGTAACCGTGTTTTATGGTAAAAAATATTTAAAAATTTATCTCTTAAAGTATTATTGTTCGTGTAATTACATTTAATAGGACTTCAAGAACCACGTAAACACCATTTTACATAAGTAGTTAGTATCTTTATTTTTTTCTAAAGTAATTATCGTTATATATATGAAAAAAAAAAGTTTCGGGTTGAAACCTCCAAAATTAAGTCCTGGATCCGCTACTGCTTGTGTTCACTTAGAAACATATGATAAAAAGTAGCATGCGTCGATTTAAGGTATAAAACCACGAGTGTCTGAGTGCGCCAGAAAGAAATAATGCTGAAACTCCTAGAGCTCCTATAAAAGAAAATTCAACTGCAGAAAAAATTACGAAGGAAGTGGAATCGATGCATAGATCATTTTTCGGAACTGTTGATTTTCCTTTAATAATTTTAGGGGAATTAGTAATCAGAAAAACAAGTTTTCTGTTTCTTATTCATGCGCAGTATGTTGGGCAAGGGTTTTGAATTAATTACCTTGTTTCAGATTAAATTAAATCAATTTATAGCTATATTTCTCCGAATATATCTTAAAAAGAAGCCATAAAATAAATTATTATAATAATTAGTTAATTACTTCAATTAGGTAGTTGTATATAAGTATGACTGTTTTTTCAAGCTTTTTAATTTACTTATCTTTAGGTTATTTTATTTTTTATTTTACATAGTTTTTTATTATTATTTTACTTTTGTTAATTTTATAAATTCTGTATATATGGTGTGAATGTGTTCATATATCACTATAATTATTGTCCACCTGACAAATTGTTATATTTCAAAATAAATAAAAAAATTAGGTAGTAATTACTTACCTGATCAATGGTATATAGGATGGATTGGTGGGTGTGCCAGTGTGGTAGGCTATAGACGGATTCACAGGCCCTGGCATTATGGTGACCAGATGAGCGTTGTAATAGTGTCCGAGAATCCCAAGTGGTTCCTGCAATTATTATAACTTTTAACAAATCGTTCCTCATAAAAAGTTACCAATTCCACTGGTGGAATCAATGGGGAAGAAGGAGGTTCGGGCTAAAACCCCATAAAATATAAAACGAAAAATTTTCATTCGTCTCCGTATTTGTTCCTATGAGGAATTCGAGGAGAATACTAAAAACAATCACAATAAATTATTATCTTTTAAATTATACTAAAGATATTAAAGTCAGTGCCGGGATTAAACCTTCGGCGCCGCTAGGCAAATGACGTCATCGCCTACCTTTCTTTAAAAAAATTAAATCTATTTTTTGAGCAGTTTTATATTATGTGATCTTATTTTTTTCGTGAGTTGGTTATATCGTCCAGTCAGTTCTTGTCTTTTATTTTATTTTTTATTTCTTAATGACATTTACAACTGTATTACATAAATACATCTAGTAAATTTGGACATAATAGATATAATGACATGAATACACTTGCTGAGTAACTACCCAATGGTAGCACTCTAATTAGGAGATCACGGGGCCATCTTCTTTTCAGACGCCTCGGAAGGTTATCAGGAATTGAAGAGGAAGCAAGGTTAGAAAGGAGAGGGTTGGGATGATTCTGAAGTTTATTATGGAAGGATAGGTATCTGGATTGGGCCAGATCTGAAACATAAGGAACATTAAGATCTTTATGGATAATTTTATTAGTGACAAAGTAAGGAGCATTGAGGATTTTAGGAAGGATTTTGGATTGTAAGGATTGGATGCGAGAGGAATTCAATGGCTTAGTGGAGCCCAATAGCTCAACTCCGTAAGCCCAAATAGATCTTATTATAGTCAAGTATATGAGTCTTTCGTAATTAATGGGAAGTTTAGAGCGTTTGTCTAGTAAGTGCTGAAGTAATCGGAAACGTCGAGCGGTTTCTTGTCGTTTCAGTCTAGAATGAGGATTCCAAGTTAGTCGCTTGTCCAGGTGGAGTCCTAGGTATCGGATTTGCTCAACAGGGATAAGTTGAGTATTGTTAGAGGAAACTGTAGGACAGGCAGTCGTTGGTTTACGACGAAGGGTAAAGGTAATTTGATGGGATTTATTGTGTAATATTTGAATTTCATTTTGTCCAACATTTCTCTATTACAGTTGCTTTATTTATATGCTAAAATCAATTATTTTAATAGGTTTTGTATTTTCTTTTTAATTTCTAACAAGTGGCGGGCGCCCTGAGATGACTAGCCCGGTTGCTCCAGCCTAATTATAGGGCACTGATTAAATGTAAGCATTTTTCTAGAAAATACCGTCGGTTTATAGCAAAAAGTCATTAAGTGACACTTATTTTATTCAAATCACTAAGAATTTTGATTAATTTTCTGTGTGTAAAAATAAAAAAATAGTCGCTTTTTGTAACTATTTTTCACAAATAACAGTGTGAGTCGTTTTAGTGCACTATCTGTATTATTTAAAATCAATTATGAAAGTCGAAATTCACGAAAATGTTCTTTAAAACGACCTCCGTCAGAAATGTACTTAGTAACTTTTTGCAATAAACTGACAATACATAAAACATTTATTCCTAAAAGCATTATTCTTCATGTAAATTTAAAAAAATAAAAAATAAATCACAGCTTAGTCTCCAAATTAAATCATGAATAGGCCATTGACCGAAGCTGAAGGAGTATTTTTAAACATCGAAAAATACCGCGTCATTATTTATTTATCAGCATAAATTATCCTGCTTATATAATAGGCTCATTTAATTACAGAATCGAGGAAGGGAGAAAATAATGTCTGGGTGGAGGTTGTCTCGCTATTACGAAAGCAATGATTATAAATCGTTTGAGACCATATAAAACTTTATCCTACTCCGAATATTCTAAATAATATGGGTGCTTCGAGATATATAAATTCACACTATTTCATCCACATGTTTTTTGCCTTATCCTTTATGAGGTAGAATATGAACTATTAAGGCTAAACATGGCACAAAGATGCCTTTCGCTTTTACTAGGTTGTAACAAAAGTCCCATACTTTATGGGATCATTTAAATTTTTAAAACAAACATGCAATGTCATAAGAAAAAAATGTGATTCGCAGTCTTTTGTGACATTGCTGGAAGGAAGGTGTAAGCGCCAAGACAACCGAAGAATTTTGTGCCATAGAAGAAGAGTCAGTAATCCATCGAAGTACTGCCGCACTTTGGCTTGGAGGTTACAACAATGGTTATTTGAGCCGTTTTGCGTTTTTAGCTTGTTCCTGATGGATAGGAAGTGGACTCTCATAGGTTTAATGTGAACAGCTAGGCAGAGTTTATGCAGTTTTGAGTACAAAGTACTCCGTTTTAGTCAATAGGAACCAAACCATTTTGCAACACGACAATGCCACTGCATATCGTTCTCGTTTAAGGATAAATTATCAGAACTTCAAACAGTAAACGTTTTGCCTCATACTGCCTATAGTCGCGATATTACACCATCAGAATGTGATTTGTTTGGATTAATGGCCCATTTTTTGGCTCATTTGTCTTTGATAATTATGTGAACATAAAAATTTGCCTTAAAACCAAAGGTACCGGCATCAAACCCAATTACTGGCAGAAAGATGGCTGCAAGTAGTTCCAAGCAATAGACTTTACTTTGAAGAGTTAAGTAGTAGTAGTTATACTTATGCACAAGGACTTTTGTAGCAACCTAATATTTTGATGTTACTTTATGAATAGTAGCTTTTGTACAACTTGTCGGATTCATTTACTTTTTTACTTTGTTTGTTTTTACTAGATACAGACGAAACTTAACAATTTTCATTTTTTTAAAAAATTATATTTAAAGTATTTAGAACATCTCAATCAAGCTTCTATGCATTAAAAAAAAAAACTCAACGCCAGGTGGTATTATGTTTATCGACCTTGTAAACATTACTATGTAAATCATTGCAGGGACAGGAAACAAGGTGGGTGGTATTATGTATAGCATATCAAGCATTGGTCTAGATTTGGCATTGGTCTAAGTTTTCCAAAAAATGTTCACTTCGTAGTTAAAACAATAAATTCTAATGTTTAACACTGTTAAAACAATCAATAATCTTCGATTATTTACATTGATAATATAAAGCTATAGTGACAGAGATAAACTTCTAATGTTCCACAGAGTTTAGATAATACTTATCTTTCTAGTTGGTTGGAAGATAACCGTGTCATCAGATCATATTGACATGTTATGGGGCTTTATTTTATATAAGTATGTAATTTAGTGAATATGTAGATAGGGTACTTCATAGCAACAGGTGTGTTATGTCCGAACTATTTCTAAACTGATAAAATCGTACATTTTACAAGAAAACGCTTGGAGAACTAGTAAGAAATTGAAGGGACTACTGGAAAGATTCCAAAGATTCCACTACTTAATTCCAGACTTGATTCCCTGGGGAAGGGGGGAGTCCCTGCTTGATTGTATATATTGCATATAGGCATGACTGTGTTTTTATGTATTTAATTTATTTATCTTTAGGTTATTTTATTTTTTACTGTACATAGTTTTTGATTATTATTTTTATGTTTTCTCTATACAAGGTGTGAATGTGTTCATATCTCACTATAATCATTGTCCACGTGACACATTATTATATTTCCAAATAAATAAATTTAAAAAATTCCAGACTTGAATCTTTATACACCCATTAATAGTTGACGAATAATATATACCTATAAATATAATATATAAATCTTTATATACCTTGCGAAAAATTCGCGATGTATATTGGTCAGTGAAAAAATGAAAAATTAATATGGGAATATAATTCATGTTTGAACTGCAGCTTGACTGTAGCTTGAACTTGACTTGCAACTCCAATTGTACAACTGGCCCTAAAAGTCAGATTTTAGATCGACTTTTTAGGGAAATCGACAGAACTTTTAAATAATAGTTTTTTTAAGTGACAACTTCTTTTGGCGCGTTTTGCACTTTTTTGTGGGGAGTGAGAATGAAACTGAGCCGTCAGGCTCGGATGTGTAACGATCATTCGGGTAAAGTCGGCTCGAGTCGACTAATTGAAGAGTTTTTGGATTAAATTATCTCTGAAACACAAAAAATCGGACCTGCATAGTGTAAGCGAGAGAAATTTTCTGTATTTTATCTTCTTTGTAATGAGCTATTATCCAATATTGTATCTTAACGTGACGTCGAATCAGAGAGTCGGAAAGGGGAAACGATAACGTCCAAAAAATCGAATAAGAATGTTTTGAACATCTGGACTAAAATATCTCAAGATTTTAATACCATGGGGAATTCAGAAACTGCTTTGCGGAAGTCAATATAGATTTTTTTTTTAATTAACCATAAAAATAAGAACTTATGTGTTTCTGTTCGATTTCGGTCTTTGTCTTGCACTTTGCAAGACCAAGACCCAAGACTGGACAATTTAAGTATAATTTAAAGAATTGGTATAACCACAATACGTTTGCATTTAACTCTTTTAATTTTAAACGCTTAGTTAGGATTCTCCTATCCAAAAAAATTCAGTAATATCTCTATTGTAATAAGCTAATAGGTAACTGCAAGACTGTTGCGAGACTCTTGCGCAAAACCAAGACCAAGACTGAGTGCGCAAGAGTGGGCAACACTATCTGGTTCTAACTTTTACTGCACAAAAAAATATTTTTCGGAGCAACTGCCTTTATAGACACATTCAAAATAATTTTTAGGATATAATATAATAAATAATTGCTAAAATTGAACTAATTAAACAATAAATGAGGAAAAATAAGCTTTACATTAATATTAGGTCTAAATCAGATAAAGCCGAACGATTCAATACACCTGTCATATATTGAGTGATCTATAATTAATTTTACGGAACAAACAGGCAAAAAATACATACATTTTAACAACTCTGGGTTAGAAGATTTCCTGAGCATTAATCGTATTTATATTTATTTACATTAATAAAACGTATTGATTGAAAACCAAAGCGATCAAATATTATAGTTTTAATGCCATACTTAACTAAAAAAAAAAATCTTTAACTAACTTTTAATCAAGGGTGTAAAAAAATAAGTTAATTCTCAATTATTAAATTAATTCATTAAAAGCTGCAAATGTTTTTAATGTGTATTATGCTACAGTTTTACTCTCAAACGCTTTCATTTTTTAATTTAACTGTTTTCTACCAAAAGATTGCTCAACATTATTCGTTGAATAGGAAGACTTTGGTAACCTATAAATTTTATAAACGTTTTCAAATCATTTTTTATGAGTTTATCATCAACACCGCTTAATATAAAATTCAATATCAAAGGATGTTTACATTTTCTAAATCATAGTGCCTTAATTAATTCGACTGAGTAAATACTAATAATAAGTTTCGTTGAAATAATAAAATAAAAAAAAAAAAAAGAATACCTGACAAAAGTGCGGTTCAACAATTACCACATCAAAGTTCTCACTCTTTGGAGGCAGTAGATGTGTGATCTCGGAAAGCATGAAAGAAGTCATTCCTGTACAATGTCTCCACAACCCGAACATCTCATACCAGCAGCCTTTAAACTCGTGAGGACGAAAAGTGCTATGTTTAGCTGAAAATGTTAAAAAACATTTGTCATAATTTAATATGTGTTCTATTGAGAGGAGATTTAGTATGGTATGATATAAAACTTTTTTACGTAATAATTAATGAGTGGATTCTAAAAACGAGTAGCTATCACTGGAGAACGGATTATCTTGCTACAAAAACCTTTATGTTAATTTATTTTATTTTCTTATAATGTCCATTAATTTTCTTTTTGAACCGGAATTACTGTGGTTGCATTTTTAAACTCCCCATTAAGAAATACAATTTTTGAAAATATATTAAAAATAATGTTAACTTTTTAAAAATAAATAAATAAATTTTACAATTATTTAAATGTTTTCTACTAAAATCAGCCTTTTAATGATGATAGACACAGGCGGCTTTCGGGCTGAAGCCTCCCCAAAATGGTAAAATGTAACCATGTTTTATGGTAAAAAATTATGTCTTATTATTGCTCGTTTAATTACATTTAATAGGACTTCAAGAATCACTTAAACACCATTTCATATAGGTAGTTAGTATCTTTCTTTTTTTCTAAAGTAATTATCGTTATATATATGAAAAAAAAAGCTTCCGGGCTGAAGCCCTCCCCCAAAAATTAAATCCTGGATCCGCTAGTGGTGATAGATAGTAACTGATAATATGTAAGCCTTCTTTATTTTTTTAACTCCAATAATTAGATTTATTTAATTTTAAGCTCTCGGCAGCACGATTGATGTTATATCTTACAAAATTTATAATTAACTTTCTACTTAAACAATCAATATAAAATGTTTGCGCTGCGTTGTTTATAAAAAAAAAGTTTACACTTTACGAATTTTAAAAATTTACTCAAATTAATTTTTTTAATTAATAAACAAGTTTGCTCGATTGCTGCTGGTTTTAGAAAATAAAACGTCTCCCACAAAAATATAATAAAATTTTCGGAGTATAGAAGTTCAATGGATGTCTTGGGCTGACTAGAGAAAATAATAGCGGTTAAATAGTTGACTGTCGTGAATAATGAAGAGAAGTATAGTTGGGGTGATCAGACAAATAAGAAGGCAAAAATAAATGATAATAGGCAAATAATAGGCAAATGACAAAATAAATATTATCATTTATTTTTGCCTTCTTATTTGACTGATCACTCCAACTATTCTTCTCTTCATAAAATAAATACATTTTCAGAAGTTTAAAATTTAACACGACAGTTTTTGAGCTACGATATTTAAAAAAAAAATAATATTCAGTGCAAACCAACAATTATTTCTGTTTTTATTTAACACTATGACGTAAACACAGCTGTTGCAGTGAAGAAAGTTTTTATATTTATATATTCGTCTTACACCCAAGAATAAAAAAAGGCAGGCCTTTTTTATTTTTGTATATTTTGAATGGGTAAGGAGCATAGGCGACTGATTTAGCAAATCATCTATCAGATTCTAGATGTTTTATTAAAAATTTGAAACCTGCAATTTTTATTGTCTGAATAATAAAGGAGGAGCTGAAGCAGTTTGATGTCATTCTTTCAGCACATCAGTTTTCTATAATTTTTGCTGACTCGATTCTCTCTCTTAACTATTCCAGGCTAAACTAATAGGTTATTGGTTTCGAAAACCTTTGTAACTATTAAGTCAGTTGTTTCTTAATGTGCAAAAAAAAATCCATGAATCCTAAATATATTTTTATAGTTTTTTATTAACTAGGTAAGACATTTAAAAATTGAGGTTTTAAATTCATCTATTTAGCATTGAGTTATTAAGCTGTTTGTACATCTAGTTTGTTAAAAATTATGCAAGGAATATGTGAAAAACAGAGGAAAACATGTGATGTCTCTTGCATTTACGGTGGCCTGAATTTCAACATAAGGTCAATTAGTTTCATGTAGGATATTGCTCTTTAAATATCCCACAAAACTTCATGCTTAATATCTTCATAAAATTATCATTTCTATCTGTTTTCAATGAGATTCATTACATGATTTGTACTTTTTGTTTTGTTTTTAATTCTATTTTTTCAATAATGGGTAATTTTCCAATATTTACCTTCCTTTATAGATTTATCTATATGACAAATTCTAAAGCATCTCGTAACATTTTTTTAATTCATTAAATTAACATATTCTTGTACAACTGGCAACCAAAATTTAATGGGATGCTTCAAAAGGCAATTCTTGTTTTGTTTTTTCAGAATTTAATTGCTATTCAACTTTTTAAATTATTATTTTTACAAAAAACTGTATTTGTATTGACACTTTCTGAGAGAATGTCACATATCAATTTATTTGAGAAATTAATATATAAATTAGTAATATTATTAATATATTAGTACTGTGTTTTTCAATCTTTATACTTGTGTGACCATAATTTTTATTTTCTTCTTGTTTATTGTTAAGACCAAGGCTTTTTTAACGTATTGAAATTTTCAAAAAAGTTCTTTTTTAACATCAGTGAAACATTTTAGGGGTATAATAGGAACTTTGTATTTAATAAAAAATCAAAGAAACTGTTTTGTAATACAGTCTTGGGTTTGTAATAAAAGTTCAATTTTTATTTATTTAATGAAGAGAAGAGTAGTTGGGGTGATCAGTCAAATAAGAATAAATGATACTTTTTATTTTGACATTAGCCGACATTTCGACATGAAGTTCAGGCCATCATCAGGGCTAAGAAAAGAACCAGATAACAAGGTATGTGAAACATAAGTAGTGTAGGTAAAAAAATTAAAGTAAAATTCAGTTGTTAGAATAATGACAATAGTAAGAACAAAGAGATAAATGACTATGAGCGGTACAAAGTGTGGAATGATGAAGTAAACATAATCAAAAAAGGTGACATAAGTATTAAAATGGGAATCTTAGAATAAAATGTAAAAACAGAAAAATATGAAGTTATATAAGAAATAGAAATAAACAGTAAAATTAAGATATTGTGAATAGAATAGTTAGTTAGAAAATTGAGATGTTGTAAAGTCTATCAAGATGTATAGACAATGTATAATATAATACAGAGTTAAAATAGAGCAGAGGAATGAAAGGAAGGAGGAAAGAAACTGAGAAGGCTTAAATAAGAAAGAAGGAAAACCAACCTGACTGCGGAGATGTAAATCTAAGCAATGAGCGTGTTAGTCAGGGTGGGGGTGGAGAGAAGGGATGTGTCATCTCCAACGGTTATCTGATGAAGTTTGAACTAAACTACCGGAAGCGTAAATAAGGACGAGAGATTATTTCAACTATTCTTCTCTTCATTATTCACGACAGTTTACCATTTACCAATTATTTATTTAAGTTCTTAAAAAAAAAATTACCTTAAATGAGAAATATATAGTAATTAGGCTTAGATTACAGACATAATTTATCTTGAATGAACGACCTGATTCTTATATTTCCTTTATTTGAGTTGCTGTGATTGTATTGCTAAATTACCATTTTTATAATATATTTTATGGTTATTTAATATACTTTTGCTATTATGTTTGATGTTTCTTTATTAAATTATAAAAATCAATTTAGATAATGATGTTAATTTTTATTTTTTAGGGGTCTTGTTGGCTCAAAAAATCTTTCTCAAAAAGATATGGAACCTGTTCTAGAAAAACTCAAGGATCATTTAATTGCAAAAAATGTGGCATCAGATATTGCTAATAAGTTATGTAATTCTGTGGCTGCTAAATTGGAAGGAAAGGTAATCTAAAAAAAAATTAATATATTGCTTCCTGACTACTGAAGGTAGGGAAGCATTGTATTCATGCAAGAGGTTAAAAAAAATGTGCTCAGAATCAAAAATTTCTGCTCGTGTTTTATATTTCATACATCAAGGATCAAATTTTGTTCGATGTCTGTAGTCAAATCGATGTAACAGGCATATCACCTACTACCATTTATCCGATTTTCATGAAATTTTCAGGAATTGTGTGGGTTGGTGTCTAGGTGGTCCCATATCAATTTTATTACATTCTAACCAGCATTTCCGCTTACGCATGAGCAAACGCATTTTTGTAGATATTCCAATATTTCGGAAACGGTATGTTTGATTTGGCGTATATAATAGTGTATAGTCATTTTTATTGAATTCTGTCTATTCCTTTCTCTTATATATGCCCAAATGTCTATATCCTCTATACATCTATATCTCTAAAACCGCAAGTTCAATTTGGAGGGAATTTAGGGATTGGTAAACGTTAAATGTAATAGTCGTCAGTTTTATCAAATTCTATATAATATTTTAAAAAAAAAATACTTCCACTTTCAGATCAGGAAATGTGTTATTTGATATGCCTGTAGTTTGAAAACAGTGCATTCAATTTCGCCCAAACTTGGAGGAAATTTGGAGAACAGTATAGAAATTACTTAGTATCAATTTCATTGAATTCCATTAGTAATTAAAATTAAATATAAATAATTGTTAACAATATAATGGCTGTGAAATGTGGAAGGCACTGATCATGTGGAGTGGGAGTTACGTTACTACAATATGAGGTTATAAAATTTTAGGTTTTATTCGAAAAATTAATTTATGCTGTATTGTTTGGTCGATTCCAAACGTTACTGGCATGAAACTTAATGCCGTTAGTTAGATTTCGTGTAATTTTCAGTTAATTAAAGTAATTTTTACTCTGAATTTGTAAAAAAAAAAAAAAATTAGTCTTATTTTAAAGGTTTTATTTGGGATTGTGTTTATTTCCATTGAAGTTCATCTTGGTCTCCTTTTTTATCGTTTACAATTCCTCCTTAAATATCGAAATTGTGTAAACTTCGAAGAAGTAATATGCATGTTCAGTATGCATTGGTATTTTTTTTAAAATTAAGAATCATCAAATATAGAATCTTCAAATCCGGCATTCTTTTGGATTTTAATGTTAGCTGCTAAACAAAATTCGTGGATACCAAACCCGCCAATGTTGAAGGGTAACTGTATTTCCGAATCGGCTTCTCCTAGAGATTTTATTCTCATACGAAAAATTGTATACCTTGTAATATAGATATATTTTAGCCAATGAAAACAGTGAGGAAGCTATACTGACCTAACTTGGCAGACATTTTTTTGTTAATTTTGCAATATTGACTTAATTTACTCTGATATGTTATAATTACAACTATACCATATACAAGGTTTGAGGACTCATTTGTGAATTGAGAATTTAATTGAAACTAGTGTTATTATGAATCACAGTTACAATTTTGAGACTTATTTTAAATTATTAAATTCTTCTAATATATTCTTGAATTATAAAGGATTTAGAAATAGTTTAACACCTATTATTAGGATATTGCAATACTAGAATTATTATTTAAAATAAAATGATGAAACTGGAATAATCATCCACAATAGTTGTTTTCCTTCTTCATAATAAGTAATAGGAGTTTTATAATAAAAAAAATGTAATTTTTAGGTTTTAGGAACATTTGATAGTGTAGCTCGGATTGTCAAAAATACCATGACTGAATCTTTAGTTCAAATTCTAAGTCCTACAAGGCGTGTTGACATTCTTCGAGATGCCCTCGAAGCAAAGAAGGCTGGAAGACCTTTTGTTATGGTGTTTTGTGGCGTAAATGGTGTAGGAAAATCCACTAATCTTGCCAAGGTAAATTCTAAATCAGGTAGATATTGGTAAATTAGTTATACAGATTTTTCAAGACTCCTAATATATTAATTTTGCTGCAGATATGCTTTTGGTTGATTGAAAACAAATTACGTGTGATGATTGCAGCCTGTGACACTTTCAGAGCTGGAGCGGTAGAACAATTGAGGACACACGTTGTCAGTCTTAATAATCTTCACCCACCTGTTAATAGCATGCCTCAAGTACAGTTATATGAGAAAGGATATAGTGAGTTGATATTTTAATCATTGTTGAAATCTAATTACAATTCCTGTTGTCGCATTCTCGCCTATTTTAATTTCATACAGAACAGTATACATTTCTTTTTTTTTTTTCAAATCATCCAAATCAAAGCCAAAGAATAGAGAAATAATTATTGAAAAAAAAAGATCAGAAATTTTGTTAAAGGATTTTATTAATTGTTAGCAGAAGATTTCATCAATTTTGATAAAAATGTTTTCAAAGTGTAATTGTGTAACTTTTTGTGAAAAACGAAGTTAATGAAGTAGAAGTTGAAATTAAACATGATGTAATAATATAAATAATCATATATTAATAATAATTAAAAAACTGATTCCAGTATGTTTAATGTTCCTTAGAATCAAATGAGATTCTGTCGATTATACGAATAACTTGTTTCCAAGCTCTATTAGGATTAACACAAAGAATCCAATTAAAAATATTTGTATATGATCTGAGTTAAGCTATTGCTGAAATAAATTAAGCAACTGGTGGACATTCCCCTACTTCCTTTAATGCTGTTGAATTATTGTCCATTGGTTCACCCTCTTATTATATCTTATAATAACCCAGGAAGTTAATGCCAAAGGAATAATGAAACTGTATTTGGTTTTCCTGGGGTTGGCAAAAGGACCTATGAGATTAGTTCGCCGCCCTCTAATATATGAGCCTTTCAGTTGACAGAATGACTAACTCCAATTTAAATATTTTGAGTAAAGTCATTTTAGTGATATTTCTAGTTGGAATGTTTATAATACCTGTATACGCAGTGAGTAAGTTGATTCCAGAGTATGTGATTACAGTGTTGAAATATAGATATGTAAATAAAGGTATAAATTTTTCCAGTAGAAATATCACTAAAATTAATAATCAAAAATGTTTAAATTGGAGTTAGTCATTCTGTCAACTGAAAGACTCACATATACATATCTATCTCTTATTAAAAACAGGAGTTCGAGCAGTGTAAAAATTCTAAAGACCCGTGATCTGTATCATTGATTCTTAGCTTTCTAATAATTAAAAGTCTGTTATTTATTATTCTTTGGCCAAAATTGTGTTTGTTTATACAACACTCTTAATAATATTATGGATCCTTTGAGTATGATGTCTTCACTTTGCTCTTGTTTATTAATTGTGGTTATGACTTTTCTGATAATGTTGCCTCTTTACTTCAATATACAATGCTCATTTTGCGATAATCCTTAATATTTCCATCACTAATTAAATTTCTAGTAAAACATAAAAGTAATATTATTCTGATTAATGGTTTAACTTTTTATGTGCTAGAACACAAATTTTATTCTTTGGAATCAGTTTTTTAATTTCTTGCAGTGATGAATATTTACAAAGAATCTTGTTTATAAACGCCTATCCATAATTTTTTTTTTCCCATTGTTAGAAAAGGATGGAGCTAGTTTGGCAAAAGAGGCTATCAGTAAAGCCCGTGAGCAAAAGGTTGACGTTGTTCTTGTTGATACTGCTGGCAGAATGCAAGACAATGAACCACTTATGCGTGAGCTTGCCAAGGTAATTTATTTTTATTTTTTCTAATATTTGGTTTCAATTTTTAGTTCAAAGCAATTTTATGTTATGAATATAATAAGAATAAAAATGCACAGAATGAGTATTCACATTTCAGAGCATAGAGCCTTGATACTCAATGCCCCAGATTGTGGCAGATTGTATAAGTTTTTCTTCGATAAAATTCTATATAAATTCAAACTTATATAAATGAATACAGATTTAAATGAGAGCGGTAGATATAGCTTAATGTCTCTAAGCCCATAATGTCTTTAATTATTGGAGGAACAAAAAGAAGAGATCAGAACTTAATTTCAGATATCATTTTCTCAAATGATGATTATAGTTAGAGATTGTGGGATTAATTTGGTATTTTTTTGCCAAAAGAAAAAAAAAACATTGAGCTTATATAGATTAAATATAGTATTTGAAATTATATTTTATTTTAAACTTAACTATATAACCACTCTTTTATTAATTTATTTCTCTTTTTTTTTTCTTTAAGATTTTAGACAAAGTCCTATTTTGTCAGAAATTTATATTTGTTTAAATATTAAAGGCATAATTTTATTTTTGTAATGGACTTTCTAAGTTAATTGTGTGTTTTTTTTTTTTTTTTTTATCTAGTTAATCAAAGTCAATGAACCAGATCTTGTGCTGTTTGTTGGAGAGGCTCTAGTCGGAAATGAAGCAGTAGATCAGTTGGCAAAATTCAATCAGTCTCTTGCTGATTTTTCAGAATCTACAAAACCACATCTTATTGATGGCATAGTGCTTACGAAGTTTGATACCATTGATGATAAAGTGAGTTTTTTTTTTTTTGTTATTTCTTAACTAAATAAAAGACTTCCCTAACCTGTCGTCTCAGTAGCAACCAATCCCTGCCTACATATTTCACACTACCAACTTCCGTCCAAACCCAAATCAACAAGATCAGTCTTAACGCAATCTTCCTACTAATTCTGATATTTACCAGTCTGCTCAGGGTTTAAAAGTATTTTTAAGGTTTGCTATGTAAAGAAAGGTAGGAAGGATTATAGTTTTCTAAATTCTTAAAAAAACTTGTTTAGTAACATAACATCTTAATTTTGTAATTTTAAACCTTGCCATTATTTCCTCTTCAGTTTAATTTGTTACAATTATTGTAGATTGCTAGTACCTAAATTTCTCTTTATTTTCAAATGTATTATATCTGTATATCTCTTATACCTATATTTTGTCTTTTCCCATATTTATATGGAGATCTAATCTAGTTCTTTACATTGATTATCATCGAAGTAGTTATATTTTATTTTATAGTTTCCTCTTCTTCTTCAAGTCAACAAACAAGCACATTTTACTGCCTGAAGGTGAACCTTTTTCGGGTCACCTTTCTAATAATATATTATTATGCTAAAATTAATAGAACGGCTGAAAGGGAATTAACTTGTTTTAAAATTGCACAAACCTTAAAGTTATTGAAATAATAATTACTGATTCATACATTCCGATCTTACACATCCTTTTGTATTTTAGTTGTACACATCCTTATAGATTTGCTAATTTCCTGCTCAATCAAAATATTATGGTGATCCGTTTTCTTTTTTTAAACTAAAATTATGAATGGGGTGTTCAAACCTACACCATACAATTCAGCAAGTCTGGAGGCTCTTAGTTTGGAGAAATATACCATCATCCCTCCCTAGATTGATCTCCTATGAGATCTACAACAACAAAAGTGTTTTGCTTTTTGTAATTTTATATTTTTTTGTTTGATCAGTGTAGTATTTATTGTTAATAAGTTATTATAAATAAAAAAGTTTAATTTATTTTAGGTTGGAGCAGCAATCTCCATGACGTACATGACAGGGCAACCAATTCTGTTTGTCGGTACAGGACAAACTTATACAGACTTAAAGTCACTCAATTCTAAAGCAGTTGTTCATGCGCTTATGAAATAAGAAAACCTACAGTGCCTTTGAAATTGCCACAATTTTAATATAAATTGATAATGTGAATCAAAGAAATATAAAAGATTATGATGTGGCCTTTCATTTTTCACTGATGATCATTTTTTTTTTTTTTTTTTTTTAATGCTTTAGAGAAAGAAAAAAAAAAATTGAGTAAATCAAAAGTATTATTTCTTTTTATATTTTGTTTTTGTTATTGTTAATACTGAATGATTTTGTTGTTGAACACTGAATAAAAGGTTATGTTTAATTTTTCTATTGTTGTTTTTCTTTTGTTTTATCCCTAATTAAATAGCAATCAAGCGTCGATTAATTAATATGTTGTATTAGTTTACCTTAGGGAGCTGTCTTATGCAGTGGGTAAGGCATTGTGCTCATCTCTTAGGCCCAGATTCAAGTCTGGTTGTGAATAATAATTATTTATTCTGTTTCATTATTCTATTGTCCTATTCACATTAGTATTCTAGGAGATCATTCCATGGTTGATTCCACAGTGTTAGTCTCTATTCAAAGCATAAAATAATAATTTTCCTGATCCCATCATTTGAATTTCAGATTCTACTTTAGATCTTTATTATACATGTCCACTGAAGAGAAGTCATTTTTCTCCTTGATTATCTAAATTAAAATTTAAATATTTAGCTGCAATAAATAAGGATTATGAGACAAATTTCCTGGAAAGAAAGAATTTATGAAACTAAAATAATATGAATTTTATAGTAATAATTATAGATATCAATACAAATTTACTGAAGTGGAATATATTGCTTGAGATCTGTACTCCAGAATAAAACTAAATTATAAATTTTAAAGATTTGAGAAAAAGTATGAAAACTCTTGGTTTATTTACATATTGTCATCCAATAGTTAAAATAAATATTTTCAATACTGTTATCTAAAAATCAAATATACTTCTATAAATTACTGAGCTTTCTTGCTGGTGTGGTGAGGAGGACTTGGTTTTCTGCAAAGTATCTTTATCATATACCAAAGCAGTATCACAAAACTTAAAAAGAGACACAATACAAATCCTATGATGTCAATCAAAAACAGCTGGTACCAAGCTAAATCTATGGAAGCTGGCCTAAGGTGTGGCGCCCCATTATGTCTGATCACATACTCGATCCAGTAAATGGCTTCGTCGATGAGCGGCATAGGCTTGTCTCTGATGACAGAAACACGTTTCTTAGCTTTTTCTCTGTAACTAAATAAATAATGATGGATTAGATTAATTAAGTGGACCGAAATTGATGATATCCATGTTGTAAATAACATTGTACAATGTTATGTGTAAAAACTACCATAAAGTAAATTACTCTTAATAATAATTTTTATGGTGGAAGTATTCTTGACTCTAAAACTAATTCATGAAGTCGGTTAGATGTGTAACTCTTGTTCTCAGACCCGTATCATGCTTCTATTAGTCTTTATGTTTCTACTTTTTCGTATCTCTAACTATTTATTTTTTGTTATACTTTATATCAAGGGTTGCCATTTTTTTAAAAAGTTCTATTTTAACAGTTTTTATGAAACTTATTAGGAAAAAAATTCCATTTTAACAGTTATTGTGAGACCTCTTTAGAATAAAAGTTCTGATAAATTAAATATAAACAGTAATACGGCTTATATTAGAGTTATAATTTGCTCTTAAATGAATTGCTCATGATTCTAATGTGTCGTTTGTTAGGGAACTATGAATAAAAATACTTTTTTAGATTGACTTTTTAGCAAAACTGACAAAACTTTTAAAAAAAAGCTTATTTAAACATTAAATTTCTGTGAATACTTTACTTGAAAAGTTGAAAGGGAAAAAGTTCTAGTTCCAAAAGAACTGAAAAATTATCGACAGTAAAAATTTCGATGTTACTGAAACTTTTTTAATGATGAAATTTGTTTTCCGTTTCGAGTCCTGTTTTATATTATTTTGGCTTATATAAGTCGTATATTTTCACATAGGAACAATAATTATTATATTATTTTTTTTTTATGAATTTTGCGTAATTTATTTATACAAACTCATTACTATAATTTTCATAGTTCTCATATTTTTTTTATACTTTCTATTATTTTATTTCACATTGGTTTTTATCTTGCTTTGCCAGTCCTGATGAAGGCCAACACTTTAGGTCGAAAGATTGGTACTCATTAAAATAAACATTTACATATCTGTTTTTCTTTTCTGACCGCACCTCCAACCGAATTCTTGAATAATTTTCACACTTTTTAATTAATTTAAGTTTATGATTGATTTTCTTTATCTATTGCTCACTTGTTGATTTCATTTTTATTTTGCAGACTAACCTCCCTAATGGGCTTTCAATTAAATTACAGGATAAATTAAGAGCTTTTTTTAATGAGATACAAAAATAGCTTAAATGGAGAAAAATAAGAGATAGAAAATTAAAAAGCATTAATAAATAAATTCATAATTATTTTTCATTAACCACCCTTTAGGTTTCCAATTTCTTATTGTTCAAATAAATGATTAATTGGAATTAAAAATATTTTAACCTAGTGTTTATTAGGTTGAAAGCATTTTGAAATATTTAAAAACCATTTAAGTGCCCTTATGAAATTGTGAAGATTAAGACTTTAAATAATTAAAATTATTTTAAGAAAAAACAATTTTAATCTGTATAAATGTTACTGGTCTTTAATCTTGAGAGAGATTGTAAAATTAATTGTTTAGAATAAATTACCTGGGATTATTTAATATTTTTTTCATAGCTGGCAATATTTTGGAATAATCTGTTATAGTGCGAGGATCAACAGCAATTCCTGTACCTAGGTACTCTATAAGTCGTGCATTGTGAAACTGGTCTGCAAATGCTGGAGTACCCAATACTGGAACACCATGGTATGCCGATTCATACATGCTGTTCAGTCCACAGTGACTTATAAAAAGAACAACATTATCATGGCCTGCAGACAGAAATTCACGATTAAGTACTCAATAGTGATATCATGTACAAACTGATGAAAAGATAAACTTACTTAACACACTAGTCTGCGGGAACCATGGTCTTACTAGAACGTTGCTGGGCACTGAGGAGAAGGTGCGATTGGACATCTTGAATAGGACACGCTGCTTTACATACCTAAAAGATTCCATGATGGAATCCAAAGCTAGTTCCAAGTTCTTTCCCTCAAAGTGGGATCCCCAACTAAAGTAGATAACGCCGTGTTTTGATTCACTGATATACTTCTCCAGATCCTGTTCATACAATCATGCTTTTATTATGTAAATAATGTATATATATATATACATATATATATATATATAAATATATATATATATATATATATATATATATATATATATATATATATATATATATATATATATATATATTAATGTTCAAGATGTATACCATTTTATAGTCTCTTATTTAATATATTTTAATTACATCTTACGCTTTCAGTGCCAAGCAGCATATTTATCTTTTTAATCTTTATTCTTTTTATTGATACAGCAACCTCAAGGTAGCCATCAGGGATTGGCAAAAAGGACCACTTACCAGACTAATTCCCCTTCCAGTACCAGTGTTTTTTATTTGAAAAATTAGCAATTTGAACATTGTTGGTCGTCTGGTTTCATTATATAATATATTTGGAATCCTTACATATCCTATTATATTGTTATTTTAAGAAACTGAGACACCTCTTCACCAGACACTGGTTTGTAACAACTTTTTCGCTAAAATCGATTTACTGAGAGCAGGGGTGCCAATTCTCCCTCCCCCACCCTCATAAGAGGATGCCACACACCCCTTCCCCTCAATGTATTGGATTGCTTTTCTCTTCATAAAAATGGTGCAAATTAAAATAGAATTATGAAAATTGTAGTTTATTCATTTTCCTTGTTCCCTGGCTTGAAACATGTCAAAAATATGGTTTCCTCCAAAAAGTTTATGGGGAAACTTGCATCATGCCCCTGACCAGGGGTGCCCAGAAGGGGGTTTTATAGTGCAAGTTGCGCAATCAAAATTAATGAGAGCCACTTTTTGACAGGGTTTTTGATTTTTAAGGGGGGGGGAATTTCGAGAGGGTTATGAATTTTCAAATTAATAGACAAGTGGAATCATGAAACAGACCACAGGATGTGTAATTGTTTATTATCTACGAATATTCAAATTCTACATTCGTTTGCACATTCTTTTAAGAAGAAAAGAGAAATAAAATATCTTGGAAGGGGTAGGGGAAGGTTTATGCGCCATCGGTCTTGGGGGAGATGGGCAACCCTGCCCATGACCGGAAGTTAAAAGTTTATATAATCGATTTTTCACATTTTGACGATTTTCTCGAAAACGGCTTGAACGGCTTTGAAATAAACTCATTATATCAATGTAAAATTAAATGATGTTTATTATTAAGTAAATATTAATCTCTCTGAAATAAAATGTCAGGGCTATATGCGGAATTTACAAATTGACTTCCCCTAAAGTAAGCTTAATTTTGTTTGTTTGAAATAATTAACATTTCTCAATGTTAGAAGTAATATAGAATGAATAAATATAAACTACGAAATAATTTTATGATAAATTAAAGGAGAAATATTATCTCCTTGTATAAGTGGGGAAAAAAAATACGGAAATAAATACTGTTGCAGACATATCATGTATTTTTATTTATTTAATTAATATACCATAGGAAAGCTAATTGTTTGAGAAAAACTAATATTTACAATATACAATTGTCAAAAATAAATGCCCTGTGATGAAAAATACACGAACTTAACAGTTCCGACGGGTGGAGAAAATACACAGTAAATAATTGTTTTAAATGAATATGTTGCTCCATCTAATTTTTACTTTCTCTTACCACAAGTACAAGATCATCCATAAACTATGGAAATGGACTTACTTGAGATGTAAAAGAAAATTGTGCGCTGCGTACCAGATTGTTTATTTTACCGAAGAAATATCCTATTCCACTGGCTAACGTGTGCCTTCTATTGAACTACAAATTTTATTTCTCCCAGTGTGGACCAGAAGTTAAGAATTAATTAAAATTTTTTAGGAGGCCACATTTTGATGGGGTTTTCAATTGTTCAGAGGAAATATTTCGGCAGGGTTGAATTTTTGATATGAAAAGTTTAAACCAAGGGACAAGGGAAAAACAGGGACGAGACCACATTAAGTATAATTGTATATGATCTACATTTTCTCTGATTCTTCTTTTGCTTGCACTGTTTTTAAGAACAGGGGAGCAATAAAATTTCGTGAAAAAAGGAAGAGAAAGAATTACGCGTCATCGACCTTGGGGAGGGGAGATGCGCTCTCCTGGTGTGAGTAAAACTTGTTCACGAACAACTGTTGAACATTGTAAACTTTTGTTGCTTCAAATTTTCGCATTGATGAGGACAGCCTTTAGTAATAAATAAATAATAGTTTATACCATTTATTGGTGAATTTACCATCTCTTTGGAATTGAATAATCGGTCGATATTTTAGTTGATACTTCTAACAGTTTTGTCGGATTTATGAGTCAACACATTCCTTCATCTGCGGATTTGCTTGTTAATATTTTGTATTGTTCAACCACATGTTTTAAACAACGAATTATTGTTCTCCCATCTTACGAAATCGACTCTAAAGGCAAAGACGTCACAACATATATCTCCGTTGTTTTAGTTTTAGGAGAGACAAATTATACAAATTTGCTTATTTTAACAGTTAAACAGGGGTGATTCTCAACCCCTGTCCAGGGTTTCTACCGATTTTTTTTTAAATTTCCTATTTGGTCACTCAGATTTGCCCCCCGAACGAACCTACAAATTCCTTCCATCCGACCATAGAGAAAATAAGGCCAAATATGTTACTACTCATTTTAAGCATGTTTTACTTATATTATCAAAAAAAGAATAAACTGTTCTAAGATTAGACTTTTATTGTGGGAAATTGTTTCCCCTTTTTTCCCCTCCCAACCTTGGAATTTCTCTAAAAAAGGATATTTTTCACCAAAGTGGAAACCCTGCCTGCGTCGCTCCTCCAATAGCAATGTTCCTTTGTTCCTGTCTACGGCATTAAAAATTAATGATTGTTATCGGTTTCATGTTTAAGCTTCCGTATCTTCGATTTATCGTGTTTAAGACAAAATGGGATGCTCATCGAAAAAAATCAATTCTGAGTTCACTATTTAGGATTAAAAAACTGACGTAATTATATGACCAGCACATTTCGATGAGAGGTTCTTGTTAGCTGATAAACTAAATTACTGACAGTAAAATACAACATTAAAGTATACTCCTCCCCTTTACACACTGTTCTATCACTGTCTGGTATAAATTAAGATACCCTGGCTTGAATATAAATCTGTTTTGATTTATGAGATTTTTTATCTCAGTGCAATTAATGTGTGTGCGTTGGGTTGTGTAAACTAAAATTTCTAATACAATATTCCTTTAAACATTAAAATAAAACTTATATACTTCAAGTGAAATATATGTCTGTGTCTCTGTTAGCAAACATTTAACGCTTTCTATTTATTTAAAAATATTTTGTTGCTTACTACTACTTAATTCTATCGTACTACTTAATTCTATCCTCTCCATAGAGATATTACAACATTTTAGGTAATAATTTTATTACCGGTAGTGATGTAATACCAATAGTCATACTTAAATTGTAAGTATTATTAAATTTAGCAATTCTGTATGTGTCCCCCTCTACTATATATATATATATATATATATATATTATATATATATATATATATATATATATATATATATATATATATATATATATATATATATAGTCTTTGACAGGCTTCATAGTGCTCCTTTTGGTTTTGACACAATATTAGTTCAAAATTTTCGGACATTCAGATAAAAGACAAATCATCCGGATTACTGACATTAAACTTACACTTAAACTTTGCTTGGAAGGAACAAATATATATAAATTTTCCTGAAAAAACTTTAATTACTCTTTAAACATAAATAAAATTGCATATAAGGCTCGGCACATAAGTTACAGGAACCAGAGTGCGTGTACCAGCTAATTTAGGACAAACTGCATTGGCTTAGCGAGCAGTACAGGCGACCGGAGAAGAATCGAAACTCAGTATTTTCTTCCTGCTCAGGCGTGTAGACTTGAACATGTTTATGTCACTCCGGCACGCTTACCTGTACAGTTTTAGTATACTAAAGTGGTGGTGTCTTCTTGTTTGCTCGCCATCTCTCGAGATAGTTAAAATCTTCCGGTTTACCGTAGCGTGTATCTGTGCTCTAACTTGCACAGGTATATCTTTCCGGTTTACCTGACAGGTATTTCATAACATGTGTACACAGCCTTAGAACATAAATGGTGTAATTATTATTTAAAAGAAATATTTAATTCCACAATTGCAATTTTACTTCACATTTTATGACCTCTGAGACTTATTATATGAGAAAGTTCAAACACATTATTGACTTCCCAAAAATACTACATTAGTTAATATTGTCATTTAACTGATTTTAAAATGTCTTGAAGAAGCACTAGTAAGAAAGACATTTTTTTTTAGCAGAATAGAAAACCCATTGACAATTAAACAAAAAGCTACAAATAAGTGATTAAAATTAAACATATACTGATCTTCTATAGCTCAAAAGCAGGACCAAATGAATACCATTCAATTAAAACATGCGCGGTTCTCTAGAAAACGAAATTATGTAGGGATAATGATATGAATATGAGTATGGCACTTTATTTGAAAATGGAAACTGCTGATGCCAATTGTTGCTGGAAAAAATGCCCTACTCCTCTTCGCGAGATAGATCCAGAAGGAAACATGATACGCAAGATGAATAATTTAAAACCTCAAAGATGACCTTTTTTTTAAGTTTCCACGGCTCATCGATTTGATAATTCAGACGTATGTCTTTAGTGTTCACAAAACTGCTAAGTGCTTTTAGAGAGTACCAAGGTGAATGATAAATTAACTATTGAATAACTAATCATTATGGATCAGAGACATTTTACTAAAATAGACTGGGCGAAGACCCTACACAAGTTTTTTTTTTATCAATTTTACTTCTTTTTTTTTACCTGTACCACTACAACCCATGAAGGTTCTTGGGCTCAATACTATTTAGGGAAAGCACTGTTTCTAGGTCAACGGTTGTGCAAGAAGATGATTTTTTTTTTTTTAATGCAACCAAAATATCTTGAGACTAGAATAGATAAGATCGCTTTTCGTACGATTGCCTAAATATTTATAAAAGTAGAGGTAAGCCAAGAGAAGTTGTATGGCAGATTGGCTACAATCAATCTTACCAAGTAATGCTGCTGATGTTGAAGACATATCACACCTACGAAAACAACACATTCAAAGAATTCAAAGTAGAACTCAATGTCACTGAAGACTTCATCCATATTCAGGACGTTTCAACACAAGTCCGGGACCCCGTGGCAAAAAAAGGTGTCATGTTTCATAATAAGCTTTTTCCTTATAAATTGATCGTATCCACAGCACTGATGAGAGAAATGCACGTCTGCCAAAATATAGCCTCTGGAATACAAAATGGCGGACATGTGAAGATAGAAGAGACTCTACATTGGTAGTAAGCTTATATATAGAGAGAGCTTATTGATATAAATGGCTAGCAACCCCTTCAATTTATAGTATTTACAGCCTTAAGACATGAAATATTAGTCAGTAATTCCATACCCGTGGGGTAAATCTATTTGAAAGGAATGTTTGCAAGCGTAGCATTTCAAAAACACCCTGGACACCCTGGAATTTACCCAAAATTTTATTGTTGTTTTACATAGAAAACTACTCTGTAGAAGCCTAAATTAGCTGATTATTTATGAATGACTGAATGAATGAAAATAATTTCATTATTCTGGGACTAGTGTCCCTTTAGAACAAGTTACAAATCCAGAATATATATTGATATTCTGTTGTGTCCATAAAATACATTTAAATATTTACAGAATGATTAGGAATACAATAAAATTATAGATAATAAAAAGATATAAAAACGTGTATAAATATAAAATAAACAGAGAAAGTAAATTAAGTAAACAAAATATCAGTGAATCACAAAATAATCAAAGTATCTGGATGTACTTTGAGATTCTTACAGCTTAGGTTTTTAAGTGCATTTCGTGATCAATCGGATTGGGAGAAGAGACCTGAAAGAGAATATTGATTTTGCGTGTCGAATATCTGAGGGTATAGAGTTCCAGAGGGAGACAACTTGAATTAAAAAGGATTTATCAAACGCAGCAGTTCGGTGAGGAGGAGGATAGAGGTCGGACGCACCGGATCCGGTGGGACGGGATTGAAAGGAGCGTTTGAATTGTAGGATCTGTAGAATATAGGCGGCTCGTCGAGTTCTAATGGCCTGGTATAGGAAGGTAGCAAGGAAATACTGACGGCGGTAGGACGGATAAAGCCACTTCAACTTGGTGTAAAACTGAGTAATATGCGTAGCCCTTGAGATCCCAAAGATAAAGCGGATTGAGCAATTCATTAGACATATTTTTCTGATGATCTTTGATACAGTGCAAATTTCGGTTAATTTCGAGAAAAAAGACAACTAAAAAAATGTCTCTTCCTCTCCGTTTCCCAATTTCATGTAACAAATATCCAACGTATAAAACAGATCCTTTCAAATAATAATTTTGCTCTCCATGTCATCAACAAACTTATAACCGACCACAAAAATCGCTCTTCCTCAATCTCGGCCTCCACTGTTTCTCCACAACCCATTTCAGCCTCCATATACAGATCTCTCTCTACCTTATATTCCTAATCTTTCTGCCAACATAAACAAAGTTTTACGATCAACTAACCCTAACTTACGACTTGCTTTCAAATCTCATAACAAACTTTCAAATTTGTACACATCCTTAAAGGATCCCGTTCCTCTTTCACACCGCTCTCATATCGTTTACCGCATTCCGTGTTCCACCCCTAATTGTTTTTCATCTTATATTGGTAAATATAAAATCTTATAAATGACGGCATCACCCACCATAAATATTCTGTATCCTTTCGTAATTTTGCCGTCTCAAAATTATCCGAACATTCTCTCTCCCTAAACCATACATTTGATTTCGACAAAACTTCCATCCTTGCCTCCATCTCTCCTAACCATGACAAATGACTGATCTCTGAAACCCTCCACATCCAGCTCCAACATAAGACAGTGAATCTAAAAACAGACAAACAAAACTTTTCCTTAGCCTATTCCCAAATCTTGAATTTATTAAAACATCCACAGCGATCTCTTTTTCCAAAACTTATTCTAAACGAATTATTAGAACAATTATACGGAAAAAAAACTTATAGAGATACCTTAAAAAAGGAAATGTCATGAGACATGGTTATATTTTACTATTTGGATCCGACTGTGCAATCCGATAAATAAGGGTCAAGACTTAAGAAGTGTTTCTTGAGCAATTCTTAATTAAGTTGAGGTGTTCAGTAATCAGGTTTTCTAAAACCGATTGAAGATTCGGCAATGCACTTTGACGAGTAAAATAAATTAAATTTTAAAAAATGTTTCTGCTATAGAACGGCTTACATGACCTATATCTAATTCACTTGAATTTTTAAAACTGTGATTAAATATCTATTTATCTGTTTTGCAATATATATCATATGAGATTAAATATATAAACATCAAAGGAAATTTACCTCTGGTAATGGTTGGGAGACTTTTAGGGATACTCCACCAACTTCTATGACGTTTCTGGCATATGGTCTTGCGTAGTTGATGGAATAATGTGTCTCTACCAATGACAGGGACACGTTTGTCAAGGCATCGCCAAGGTATGGCAAGTTAGGATCCTTCAGCCAATTTCTCATTACTTTATCCTAGAAAATAATCAACATAGTTCAATTAATGAATATTATCATCGGATTATTAGATTGTTTATTTAATTTGTTGTACCTGAACTGGTAAGAAGTACAGATGATGTCCAATAAGTTCAGATGTTGTCAAAAAGGTATTCTCCAATCGCTCCCAAAAGTTCATCCGATCTGTGAATCCTGCCCTTTAAATTAAAAAATAATATAAAGTATGAACAGAATAATATTTTTGACAAATCTTGATGGTCATTTGTAACAATAAATAAATAATTATAAAGGATGTACATAACAATAATAAAAATAATGATAAATGAGTATGAAAACAAACCTATTACATGAAAATCATGTATGTAACATATGTATGTGTTATAAGAGGTATGCGGTTTAATCAAAATAGAGATAATCAGTTATTTTAATTAATATATCTCAAATGGAGTTACAGGATCGTTTTGTCGAATGGTAATTTTAATAATCAATCAAGAGGGCCAAATCTATTTTTAAAAGGACTTATCTATTATGTAATATCGCTTAATTTTCCATATATTTATTATTTAGATAAGTCGATAATTTTTTTCAAACAGTTCCTTTTCATAATAACTTATTCATCATGATAACTGTGAAAATCGAATTAACAGTTCAAACAATTATTTAATAAAAATGATATTGCATTATTTAGGACGTGAGTTTAGCAACTGCGTGTTTTTAAGATAAGCGGTTGTTTCAACAAAATAATAATAAGATAGGAAATTGTGAAGGATACCATTTTATTATGGGAACCACTTGTTAACTATTTTTTTCTTATTTTGATGCGGTACACCATTTTTATTTTATTCAGTTAACTTGTGGTAATCGTTTATTTACCTATAATAATTAAATATGTGTTAAGTCCATTGCAGTTAAGTGACGATTATAAGAATCATCAATTTTTTATTTACTTTATTATTTTTTTTAAAATTAAATTCGAATCCGGATTTTGAAACATTTTTCCGGCTTGAAAGTTTAAACGATGATTTAAAAATCACTCATCAACGATTTGAACATTAGCCTCAACCATTACCATAGGAAATCTTTACCCAAAATATTGCTCAAACCGGTGAAGATGAAAATATATGTAAAATTTGATCAGCTGAAGAATTTGTCGGAGTTCACAAAGTTGCTTGGATGCTACGAATGTGATTAACTTATGAAATCACGAAAGCTTTTAATTTTTAATTTAATTGGAAAAAAAATACACTAATGCGTTTTAGCTCTTGAAACAGCATTCTAATGGACGTAAACACAAGAGTGAATGACTTATCAAAAATATGGCTACTCTGGATTACGAGAGATAAGGTAGCTCAAAAAAGACTTGAAGAGTTATAAAACTTAATATGGATACTTATTTACTTTAAGTAATTTAATAATGGTTTACTTTTTTATTAAATTGTAAAATATTCCATACAGGTGTTGAAAATGTTAAACCATTTAAAATATATAATAAATGGTAAAATATATTAGATATTTATACCCTTTGTTAATTAATTTATGCATACTTTCGTCGATTTTCCAGACTACTTTACTATCCGGATACGAGCTTTGCATTGATTAGTCCGGATAATCGACGCTCTAGGGTATTACCTTTCGGTCGAGGAAATATCTTCCTGTCTTCAGTTCTTTAATTCACCTTTAATTCGGAAAACGTCTATCACTTGTGTTCACAGGCGGATCTAGGGGAGGGCTTTCGGGCTGATGCTTCTCCCCTCTCCCAAAATGGTAAAATGTAACCGTGTTTTATGGTAAAAAATATTTAAAAATTTATCTCTTAAAGTATTATTGTTCGTGTAATTACATTTAATAGGACTTCAAGAACCACGTAAACACCATTTTACATAAGTAGTTAGTATCTTTATTTTTTTCTAAAGTAATTATCGTTATATATATGAAAAAAAAAAGTTTCGGGTTGAAACCTCCAAAATTAAGTCCTGGATCCGCTACTGCTTGTGTTCACTTAGAAACATATGATAAAAAGTAGCATGCGTCGATTTAAGGTATAAAACCACGAGTGTCTGAGTGCGCCAGAAAGAAATAATGCTGAAACTCCTAGAGCTCCTATAAAAGAAAATTCAACTGCAGAAAAAATTACGAAGGAAGTGGAATCGATGCATAGATCATTTTTCGGAACTGTTGATTTTCCTTTAATAATTTTAGGGGAATTAGTAATCAGAAAAACAAGTTTTCTGTTTCTTATTCATGCGCAGTATGTTGGGCAAGGGTTTTGAATTAATTACCTTGTTTCAGATTAAATTAAATCAATTTATAGCTATATTTCTCCGAATATATCTTAAAAAGAAGCCATAAAATAAATTATTATAATAATTAGTTAATTACTTCAATTAGGTAGTTGTATATAAGTATGACTGTTTTTTCAAGCTTTTTAATTTACTTATCTTTAGGTTATTTTATTTTTTATTTTACATAGTTTTTTATTATTATTTTACTTTTGTTAATTTTATAAATTCTGTATATATGGTGTGAATGTGTTCATATATCACTATAATTATTGTCCACCTGACAAATTGTTATATTTCAAAATAAATAAAAAAATTAGGTAGTAATTACTTACCTGATCAATGGTATATAGGATGGATTGGTGGGTGTGCCAGTGTGGTAGGCTATAGACGGATTCACAGGCCCTGGCATTATGGTGACCAGATGAGCGTTGTAATAGTGTCCGAGAATCCCAAGTGGTTCCTGCAATTATTATAACTTTTAACAAATCGTTCCTCATAAAAAGTTACCAATTCCACTGGTGGAATCAATGGGGAAGAAGGAGGTTCGGGCTAAAACCCCATAAAATATAAAACGAAAAATTTTCATTCGTCTCCGTATTTGTTCCTATGAGGAATTCGAGGAGAATACTAAAAACAATCACAATAAATTATTATCTTTTAAATTATACTAAAGATATTAAAGTCAGTGCCGGGATTAAACCTTCGGCGCCGCTAGGCAAATGACGTCATCGCCTACCTTTCTTTAAAAAAATTAAATCTATTTTTTGAGCAGTTTTATATTATGTGATCTTATTTTTTTCGTGAGTTGGTTATATCGTCCAGTCAGTTCTTGTCTTTTATTTTATTTTTTATTTCTTAATGACATTTACAACTGTATTACATAAATACATCTAGTAAATTTGGACATAATAGATATAATGACATGAATACACTTGCTGAGTAACTACCCAATGGTAGCACTCTAATTAGGAGATCACGGGGCCATCTTCTTTTCAGACGCCTCGGAAGGTTATCAGGAATTGAAGAGGAAGCAAGGTTAGAAAGGAGAGGGTTGGGATGATTCTGAAGTTTATTATGGAAGGATAGGTATCTGGATTGGGCCAGATCTGAAACATAAGGAACATTAAGATCTTTATGGATAATTTTATTAGTGACAAAGTAAGGAGCATTGAGGATTTTAGGAAGGATTTTGGATTGTAAGGATTGGATGCGAGAGGAATTCAATGGCTTAGTGGAGCCCAATAGCTCAACTCCGTAAGCCCAAATAGATCTTATTATAGTCAAGTATATGAGTCTTTCGTAATTAATGGGAAGTTTAGAGCGTTTGTCTAGTAAGTGCTGAAGTAATCGGAAACGTCGAGCGGTTTCTTGTCGTTTCAGTCTAGAATGAGGATTCCAAGTTAGTCGCTTGTCCAGGTGGAGTCCTAGGTATCGGATTTGCTCAACAGGGATAAGTTGAGTATTGTTAGAGGAAACTGTAGGACAGGCAGTCGTTGGTTTACGACGAAGGGTAAAGGTAATTTGATGGGATTTATTGTGTAATATTTGAATTTCATTTTGTCCAACATTTCTCTATTACAGTTGCTTTATTTATATGCTAAAATCAATTATTTTAATAGGTTTTGTATTTTCTTTTTAATTTCTAACAAGTGGCGGGCGCCCTGAGATGACTAGCCCGGTTGCTCCAGCCTAATTATAGGGCACTGATTAAATGTAAGCATTTTTCTAGAAAATACCGTCGGTTTATAGCAAAAAGTCATTAAGTGACACTTATTTTATTCAAATCACTAAGAATTTTGATTAATTTTCTGTGTGTAAAAATAAAAAAATAGTCGCTTTTTGTAACTATTTTTCACAAATAACAGTGTGAGTCGTTTTAGTGCACTATCTGTATTATTTAAAATCAATTATGAAAGTCGAAATTCACGAAAATGTTCTTTAAAACGACCTCCGTCAGAAATGTACTTAGTAACTTTTTGCAATAAACTGACAATACATAAAACATTTATTCCTAAAAGCATTATTCTTCATGTAAATTTAAAAAAATAAAAAATAAATCACAGCTTAGTCTCCAAATTAAATCATGAATAGGCCATTGACCGAAGCTGAAGGAGTATTTTTAAACATCGAAAAATACCGCGTCATTATTTATTTATCAGCATAAATTATCCTGCTTATATAATAGGCTCATTTAATTACAGAATCGAGGAAGGGAGAAAATAATGTCTGGGTGGAGGTTGTCTCGCTATTACGAAAGCAATGATTATAAATCGTTTGAGACCATATAAAACTTTATCCTACTCCGAATATTCTAAATAATATGGGTGCTTCGAGATATATAAATTCACACTATTTCATCCACATGTTTTTTGCCTTATCCTTTATGAGGTAGAATATGAACTATTAAGGCTAAACATGGCACAAAGATGCCTTTCGCTTTTACTAGGTTGTAACAAAAGTCCCATACTTTATGGGATCATTTAAATTTTTAAAACAAACATGCAATGTCATAAGAAAAAAATGTGATTCGCAGTCTTTTGTGACATTGCTGGAAGGAAGGTGTAAGCGCCAAGACAACCGAAGAATTTTGTGCCATAGAAGAAGAGTCAGTAATCCATCGAAGTACTGCCGCACTTTGGCTTGGAGGTTACAACAATGGTTATTTGAGCCGTTTTGCGTTTTTAGCTTGTTCCTGATGGATAGGAAGTGGACTCTCATAGGTTTAATGTGAACAGCTAGGCAGAGTTTATGCAGTTTTGAGTACAAAGTACTCCGTTTTAGTCAATAGGAACCAAACCATTTTGCAACACGACAATGCCACTGCATATCGTTCTCGTTTAAGGATAAATTATCAGAACTTCAAACAGTAAACGTTTTGCCTCATACTGCCTATAGTCGCGATATTACACCATCAGAATGTGATTTGTTTGGATTAATGGCCCATTTTTTGGCTCATTTGTCTTTGATAATTATGTGAACATAAAAATTTGCCTTAAAACCAAAGGTACCGGCATCAAACCCAATTACTGGCAGAAAGATGGCTGCAAGTAGTTCCAAGCAATAGACTTTACTTTGAAGAGTTAAGTAGTAGTAGTTATACTTATGCACAAGGACTTTTGTAGCAACCTAATATTTTGATGTTACTTTATGAATAGTAGCTTTTGTACAACTTGTCGGATTCATTTACTTTTTTACTTTGTTTGTTTTTACTAGATACAGACGAAACTTAACAATTTTCATTTTTTTAAAAAATTATATTTAAAGTATTTAGAACATCTCAATCAAGCTTCTATGCATTAAAAAAAAAAACTCAACGCCAGGTGGTATTATGTTTATCGACCTTGTAAACATTACTATGTAAATCATTGCAGGGACAGGAAACAAGGTGGGTGGTATTATGTATAGCATATCAAGCATTGGTCTAGATTTGGCATTGGTCTAAGTTTTCCAAAAAATGTTCACTTCGTAGTTAAAACAATAAATTCTAATGTTTAACACTGTTAAAACAATCAATAATCTTCGATTATTTACATTGATAATATAAAGCTATAGTGACAGAGATAAACTTCTAATGTTCCACAGAGTTTAGATAATACTTATCTTTCTAGTTGGTTGGAAGATAACCGTGTCATCAGATCATATTGACATGTTATGGGGCTTTATTTTATATAAGTATGTAATTTAGTGAATATGTAGATAGGGTACTTCATAGCAACAGGTGTGTTATGTCCGAACTATTTCTAAACTGATAAAATCGTACATTTTACAAGAAAACGCTTGGAGAACTAGTAAGAAATTGAAGGGACTACTGGAAAGATTCCAAAGATTCCACTACTTAATTCCAGACTTGATTCCCTGGGGAAGGGGAGAGTCCCTGCTTGATTGTATATATTGCATATAGGCATGACTGTGTTTTTATGTATTTAATTTATTTATCTTTAGGTTATTTTATTTTTTACTGTACATAGTTTTTGATTATTATTTTTATGTTTTCTCTATACAAGGTGTGAATGTGTTCATATCTCACTATAATCATTGTCCACGTGACACATTATTATATTTCCAAATAAATAAATTTAAAAAATTCCAGACTTGAATCTTTATACACCCATTAATAGTTGACGAATAATATATACCTATAAATATAATATATAAATCTTTATATACCTTGCGAAAAATTCGCGATGTATATTGGTCAGTGAAAAAATGAAAAATTAATATGGGAATATAATTCATGTTTGAACTGCAGCTTGACTGTAGCTTGAACTTGACTTGCAACTCCAATTGTACAACTGGCCCTAAAAGTCAGATTTTAGATCGACTTTTTAGGGAAATCGACAGAACTTTTAAATAATAGTTTTTTTAAGTGACAACTTCTTTTGGCGCGTTTTGCACTTTTTTGTGGGGAGTGAGAATGAAACTGAGCCGTCAGGCTCGGATGTGTAACGATCATTCGGGTAAAGTCGGCTCGAGTCGACTAATTGAAGAGTTTTTGGATTAAATTATCTCTGAAACACAAAAAATCGGACCTGCATAGTGTAAGCGAGAGAAATTTTCTGTATTTTATCTTCTTTGTAATGAGCTATTATCCAATATTGTATCTTAACGTGACGTCGAATCAGAGAGTCGGAAAGGGGAAACGATAACGTCCAAAAAATCGAATAAGAATGTTTTGAACATCTGGACTAAAATATCTCAAGATTTTAATACCATGGGGAATTCAGAAACTGCTTTGCGGAAGTCAATATAGATTTTTTTTTTAATTAACCATAAAAATAAGAACTTATGTGTTTCTGTTCGATTTCGGTCTTTGTCTTGCACTTTGCAAGACCAAGACCCAAGACTGGACAATTTAAGTATAATTTAAAGAATTGGTATAACCACAATACGTTTGCATTTAACTCTTTTAATTTTAAACGCTTAGTTAGGATTCTCCTATCCAAAAAAATTCAGTAATATCTCTATTGTAATAAGCTAATAGGTAACTGCAAGACTGTTGCGAGACTCTTGCGCAAAACCAAGACCAAGACTGAGTGCGCAAGAGTGGGCAACACTATCTGGTTCTAACTTTTACTGCACAAAAAAATATTTTTCGGAGCAACTGCCTTTATAGACACATTCAAAATAATTTTTAGGATATAATATAATAAATAATTGCTAAAATTGAACTAATTAAACAATAAATGAGGAAAAATAAGCTTTACATTAATATTAGGTCTAAATCAGATAAAGCCGAACGATTCAATACACCTGTCATATATTGAGTGATCTATAATTAATTTTACGGAACAAACAGGCAAAAAATACATACATTTTAACAACTCTGGGTTAGAAGATTTCCTGAGCATTAATCGTATTTATATTTATTTACATTAATAAAACGTATTGATTGAAAACCAAAGCGATCAAATATTATAGTTTTAATGCCATACTTAACTAAAAAAAAAAATCTTTAACTAACTTTTAATCAAGGGTGTAAAAAAATAAGTTAATTCTCAATTATTAAATTAATTCATTAAAAGCTGCAAATGTTTTTAATGTGTATTATGCTACAGTTTTACTCTCAAACGCTTTCATTTTTTAATTTAACTGTTTTCTACCAAAAGATTGCTCAACATTATTCGTTGAATAGGAAGACTTTGGTAACCTATAAATTTTATAAACGTTTTCAAATCATTTTTTATGAGTTTATCATCAACACCGCTTAATATAAAATTCAATATCAAAGGATGTTTACATTTTCTAAATCATAGTGCCTTAATTAATTCGACTGAGTAAATACTAATAATAAGTTTCGTTGAAATAATAAAATAAAAAAAAAAAAAAGAATACCTGACAAAAGTGCGGTTCAACAATTACCACATCAAAGTTCTCACTCTTTGGAGGCAGTAGATGTGTGATCTCGGAAAGCATGAAAGAAGTCATTCCTGTACAATGTCTCCACAACCCGAACATCTCATACCAGCAGCCTTTAAACTCGTGAGGACGAAAAGTGCTATGTTTAGCTGAAAATGTTAAAAAACATTTGTCATAATTTAATATGTGTTCTATTGAGAGGAGATTTAGTATGGTATGATATAAAACTTTTTTACGTAATAATTAATGAGTGGATTCTAAAAACGAGTAGCTATCACTGGAGAACGGATTATCTTGCTACAAAAACCTTTATGTTAATTTATTTTATTTTCTTATAATGTCCATTAATTTTCTTTTTGAACCGGAATTACTGTGGTTGCATTTTTAAACTCCCCATTAAGAAATACAATTTTTGAAAATATATTAAAAATAATGTTAACTTTTTAAAAATAAATAAATAAATTTTACAATTATTTAAATGTTTTCTACTAAAATCAGCCTTTTAATGATGATAGACACAGGCGGCTTTCGGGCTGAAGCCTCCCCAAAATGGTAAAATGTAACCATGTTTTATGGTAAAAAATATGTCTTAAAGTATTATTGCTCGTTTAATTACATTTAATAGGACTTCAAGAATCACTTAAACACCATTTCATATAGGTAGTTAGTATCTTTCTGTTTTTCTAAAGTAATTATCGTTATATATATGAAAAAAAAAGCTTCCGGGCTGAAGCCCTCCCCCAAAAATTAAATCCTGGATCCGCTAGTGGTGATAGATAGTAACTGATAATATGTAAGCCTTCTTTATTTTTTTAACTCCAATAATTAGATTTATTTAATTTTAAGCTCTCGGCAGCACGATTGATGTTATATCTTACAAAATTTATAATTAACTTTCTACTTAAACAATCAATATAAAATGTTTGCGCTGCGTTGTTTATAAAAAAAAAGTTTACACTTTACGAATTTTAAAAATTTACTCAAATTAATTTTTTTAATTAATAAACAAGTTTGCTCGATTGCTGCTGGTTTTAGAAAATAAAACGTCTCCCACAAAAATATAATAAAATTTTCGGAGTATAGAAGTTCAATGGATGTCTTGGGCTGACTAGAGAAAATAATAGCGGTTAAATAGTTGACTGTCGTGAATAATGAAGAGAAGTATAGTTGGGGTGATCAGACAAATAAGAAGGCAAAAATAAATGATAATAGGCAAATAATAGGCAAATGACAAAATAAATATTATCATTTATTTTTGCCTTCTTATTTGACTGATCACTCCAACTATTCTTCTCTTCATAAAATAAATACATTTTCAGAAGTTTAAAATTTAACACGACAGTTTTTGAGCTACGATATTTAAAAAAAAAATAATATTCAGTGCAAACCAACAATTATTTCTGTTTTTATTTAACACTATGACGTAAACACAGCTGTTGCAGTGAAGAAAGTTTTTATATTTATATATTCGTCTTACACCCAAGAATAAAAAAAGGCAGGCCTTTTTTATTTTTGTATATTTTGAATGGGTAAGGAGCATAGGCGACGACAACTAGGGACTCGCGGGGATTGAGCCCCCCCCCTTTATGTTCCTAGACCCTCCACCTTGTGATCCTATAGTACGCCCTCCCCCACTCCAATTATTTTCATAAGTCGACGCGTATGGCTAGGAGAAGTTTGACTGGGCTTATAAATGGAATATATTTTAAATTCTCTCCTGGTTTTGTAAATTCATTAAAATTAACAAAATAGTCTATATCCTGGTTGTCTGTCTGGTTATTACCACTTCATGGGGTAAAGGGCAATTCATTACTTGTTTGTACAATACAATACGTTGAGGGATTTGCAATATCAGAAATATATTTTTACCATACTTGTTTATGAACATGGTTGTGTTGAATTTTTCGGGAACTTTGTTTACTTTAAAAAACGAATGAATGTTGGGATAAAGCACATTAAGTGGCCTTGCGGTTTTCAAAATACAAAACTTTCTTGACGTGAGTGTAGACTAAATAAATAGGCAATTATCAGGCCATGACAAACTATTTGCTCAGTAGATACAGGAATAGGCAAGCTCTTTTTCATGACGCAATATTAATTATTTTCATGTCATTATTGCGTAATTGAGTTACTCGTAAATCAAGTATTAATACAAACTGTTGTTTTAAACTGTAAGGATTAGAAATGAGCAAAAACACAATTTCGTTATTGAAATACTCGAAATCATACAGTAAACCCATAATTAATTCGAATTTCTGCCGTAGTTTGGCTGACTTTGAAGTTAGCAGAAAAAATGGCTCGGAAATCAGGTCTTCACTGATTTAATTCAATTTTTTACACTACAGTAATTATAATGTTTAAAAAAAACTAAAAGTTTTATGAAAAAAATATTGCTACCATACAGTTATAATTATTTGTCCTGGCAAGACAAATTCCTTTTAACTACGCCAGGACCAAGGACAACGGGTGTTAGGCTAATGCTTTTTATACCTATAATTATATATTATTTTTAGATTTTTTTTTTTTATATATTTAATTATGTCATAGGCAAGGATAAGATCTTTATAAAATATAGGAATAGATCTTTCTAAAATAAAACATATTTTACTAAATTTTGTCAAAATCCTTTTAAAAATTCACTAGTTGTTCGAAAAAGATCGTAGTAAAGAGTAATGTGGATTGATTTTTCTGAAGAATGCATTAGGTTTGGTGGGTTTATCTAATTCACTTTTGGGAAGATATTTTTATTATATTTTCAATATTTCTCACCAAAATCATGTATTACCTTCACTTTTTGTTTTTAATTAGCTATAAAAATATTAATTACTAAAAGGAATGTTTCTAAAAACGCATTTTAGACTTCAATACCGAATCGTCAACTTTATTTTATTTTTTTTTTATTTTTAGAGCTAGACATGTCTTTGATGGAAAATTGTCGTTAACAATAAACATATTTACTATAGACTTACAGCTTCAAACATTAGGTTAATACTGCGTTTGCAGTTACATTTTTAATGCTATTGAAAAATGTAAATTGCTAAACATTTAGCTTAATAATTTGTTCTAAAGATGAAAGTTTGGTTATAATATTTCCATTCAAATAAAGTGTAAAGGGAGAGTTATCGAAATGTTATACCACTTTTTATAGAATCCTTTTTCTTGATTGGCATGCAAAATGATTTTTTTTTTTTCATTTTTATCTAATCCATCTGATCAATAAAAAATTGGCCTAACTATAATAGTTTATATAAATAAGAAAAAATACATGAATAAGTTTTCAACTATCTTCAGTTTTACCTATCTTGGCAACAGTGATGTTAATCTCGATACTCTTCAAGTTCGGTGCAGATACCTTTCCCGCATAAGGCCCCATATAGGTTACCTGGTGCCCTTTCTCCGCTAAGGCCTTGAAAAATGGTATGAAGACCATACTGTGACTATACAGTGGGAATGGCATGACAATCAAGATTTTGCTAGGGAGGACATCCTCTACGAAGAAGGAGGCAGCGAGCAAGATTCCGCAGATGAACCTCATCTCTCAGCAGTCACCGCAAGACTACCGGGGCATCGGCTCTTGTAAAGGGTCGTCGCATCGCGATAATAGCCCCTACTCTGATATCGCAATCATTTTTAAACTTTCGATCCATTGATAAATATTTCTAGGTTAAGGATTATTTAGTATAATTAAAATCTAATTTAAGCAATGCTGTTAAATAATGTAAGTCAATAATATCTCGATGTGATAGACATAAATTTCTATGTGAAATAATAAAAATTTCAAAGAAGTAATTATGGATATTATAACTTTAAATGAACATAATATGTTATTGTAATGCAAGAAGTGGCCAATAATCAGCAAAGAGACGTAGAATATTTTGTTGGGCTGCCCGGAAAAATAATGCATGATTTCATATTTTGTTTACATTGACCCTCTATATAAAAAACTATTTACATTTGAGGGATTGTTCTTTTGTATGGGTGTCAACACTTAGTGATCTTTTTTTACCTTCTCGTGCATTTACTAGAAGGAAATAATTTAATCTCTACTAAGGTGTTAAATATTTATTTTCTCCCAATTTCGTTACGAGTTTAAAATCGGTCGGATCAAGGCCCAAAAGACCATAAATGAAGACTATGGTGAAGGAAGTATGAGAACACCATACTTTAAAAATTGCGAGAGGAAGTGTTAAGACACCAATGATCTTGAAAGGACTTCTTCCCTTGATGACGATGTTCTGTGAACTTTGGTCTAAAAAAAAAACCAGAACACCTGTTCCAGCATTTGCAGATCACCTCAACGCATTAAACGACCGCCAAACAAATGGTCGCTATGAAGTTTGTGCTGCATAGTGTTGCCCAAATGCGAGACCGAGATGGGCCTTGTTCTTGCAAACTCAGTCTTGGTCTTGCGTAAGAGTCTTGCAGTTACTTATCAGCTTATTGCTATAGAGATATTACTGTATTTTTTTAGATACGAGAAATTAGAAGAGTTAAATGCAAAAGTATATTGGTTATACAAAGTATTAACATATAGTTACGAAGATTGTAAAGTATTAGTAACTATTTTGCATTAATTTTTATTTGAAAAATCGATTTTTTTTTACCAGTTCCTGGTGTTGGTCTTGTAACCGTTATGCGGCATTGGTCTTGGTCTTGCACTTTGCAAGACACAGATCGATTTTGGGCAACACTAGTGCTGCACTTCTGCACAAACTTCAACTATCCTAATCTCCAGACCTATCTCCTACCGGCTATAATATTTTAGACATCTGGGTCACTTCTGAAAAGTTAAAAATTTGACTGATCAAAATCTTACATTTTCAAAAATTTTAATAATACGTGATCAACATTATGTTCAGAGGAATGGATATGTTACCAATAATTTGACAGGAATGTACCGAGAGTAATAGATCTTACATTAATTTGTAAAAATAGTTTCTTATAATTTATTTTAGGCGTTTCATAATACAACTATAAACCTGTATTGATTTCAAGACAACCCAATATTATCAAGAAATTATACTCAACACACGAATGATGAAGATCCTTACTTTATAATTACTACGTTCTTCACTTTATAAGTAATCTTCCTTTACAAGAAAATATGTCTTCAATCAGGATTCATCAGTAAAACAATACTAAGTCTGTATTGTATTCGTTGAAACCTATTAAGTTGATGCAAAAGAGCGATCCTTGTAGTTTTCTCACTTATTAAGAGTGAAATATAGAAGCCATGAATGAAACTAGGAACTTTATCATCGCTGTGATAATATTAACAACCAAGAACATTAAAACTTCGGCGAAAAAGTTTACTTTCATTGAATATATCAAAGAATTTATTTCTGTTTTCAGATTTCACGAGGAATCTCACAACTATCTCTTACATTTTATCTCGAAAAAAAAGTAATTTTTTAAGACTTTAAAACGCAGGACGCAGTATTTACCGATAGCAATTTTTTGGCTCTTGATGTCCTGGTCGAAATATTTAAAACACACGTAATCTCCTCTCCGTTAACTAAAACTACTATTTTCAATGACATTGATTGAAATTTTAATACGATTTTGAGGTTGAAAACTGCAAATTGTTACTTATTCTTAAAATTCCTGTTCTAACTCATTTATCAAAACCTATCAATCCGGAAAATCGGATAGCGAATCAATAATACCGTATCCTGTTGCTATGTTTTATTCCCCAAAAAAGGGTGACATTAAAATACTACGTTTTGGGGTGTTAAATTATATTCGGGATGCCAATGGATAATTATTGAGGATAATTATCCAGAAGTATTTAATAAAAATTAATTAATAAAAAATTAGTCAAATAAATTTGGATCTATAATATATTGATTGGTCCAGAATTAATTAATTGGATTTCTTTTCTCAAAGACTGGTTTGTGTTTATCATGCTTTCTAATTACACACATTACCTGTGATCATCATGATATAAATAGATGGCACAATTAAAATAACTTTTACTAAAAAACTTAATTTATTTCTGTGTTTAATAAAGAACATATACAAATTATATTTACAAGAGCAAACTACGTGATTCAATGAATTCAATAATTAACTGTGATACCATGATTTCAGATGGACTGTTTTGAGAGTTATATTGTCATGAAATATTCTAACATTGGTAAATTTATTGTTGGGAATAAAACTTATCTATTATGGTATATGAAGTGGTGTAGTTGGTAGATCTCTTCGCTGCATCTGTTCATCCGAGATCATCTCGTCATGGTTCAAAGCTTTGCCAGGATCTTCATGGTCTATGTAGAGTCAGGGCTTCGGTCCCCAAGCCGGAAGAAAACAAGAGACCCATCCTCAAGGTGGCAACTCAACATAAGACCTCTTTCCTTCCTTCCCTTCCTTCTCGGTAGATTTTATAGAAAATACTCTGGGTGGGGCAAGGATAGTTTTCATTGGTCTTTAACTTCACCCTATCACTCCACAATAACTGGTAACACCCTAAAAGGAACCAGTTACTTAGCCCGTTACTAGTTTTTATTCTGAGTAGAGGCCTTCCCTAGAGTCCCTCGTCCTTAATTTACCTGCTCTCCAACCTTGACGCTGTTCTTGATGTCAGAAGTCGGCTTCGTTCACCTTTGCTATCTACACCTCATAACAATTCAAAAACCCTACCCTATAGCATGTCTTTTAACAAAACTTCAATACATAGCAGTGTATAATAGATACGAAGATTTTGCTGTAATCCGAATACTTTAGTAAAATAAATTAATATCAATTAAAAAAATGGTATTGACTCTTTAAGTTCAACGTTTCCGCACGTTAAGTCTTCCAAATAACTTCCGAAATGGCATGTGGGACAAGACCTGGAAGCTATTTAGATGTTCAAACCCTAATTAACAATACGGACTATTTAGTTTTTGGATTATCTGGAAATGGATTCAAATTGTTTACTGTAGCTTGAAGTGTTATAGTAATTCAATATATTTTTTACAAACAGATGTTTCCGCTATATTAGTATTAAATAGTAGTGCCTGGTTTCGACAAGCTCATTACGACTGCGCCTAATAAAAAAAAAAGATGATTTTCCTCTCTCCAACTATTAAGGCAATATTGATCCGACAATAGCGTTAAAAATTGTTGGGCATGGCAGGGAACGACATTAAATTGTCCCAATTATAATCAAACTTTAGAATTTTAACTTTTGTTTGTTCTCTTAATATGCGCTCACTCCACTGTGTGGTACCTGAAACAACTGAATTTCACCATCTAAATTCCATAAAGTATTCCAATCCATGGGATGAAATCAGTCCCTTTGGAAGAAACGACGGATAAGGAACCAAGAAGAATAGAAAAAGATGGTTGCGAAAGAATGGGAAAAAAAGTAGTGGAGAAATTACAGCAAAGTTGATATGATCCTTGGTAGGAAAGCTCAGCAGTTTAAAGTCATCAGATACAAAAAAGGAGATCCTAGTTTATATTATGTAGTAAATGATTGATTATAGTGTGTTATTTTGAAGTGTTCGCAGATTTTTTTTACGAAAAAGAGAAGATATGATTTAATGAGCAATGTCCGAGATTTAGTGATCGTAACATTTTATATAAATTGGAAACAGAATGCTTCTATTTATAAATAAAATGATTTACTGGACAAAAAATAAGTTTGTTGTGTGGATAAAAGTAATATAATAAATTGTAGTGGTAATTTTCACAGACTTTTTTATTCCGTGCACCGTAAAATACAGTTATAATAGAATAGTTATTTGTTCATTAGGATTTAACATTATATAAGTGGGGCAAGAAATGCAGGTTATTCTACAGTTTACCGATCCATTCTAGCCGGAATGCGAAGTTCGAAAATTATTCAGGGGGTCATCACGAAATAAAATCCAATATGTTCAGACACCATGAACTGGTGCAGCTTCTGAACCGAGAACCCTATGCTGATGAGGATGCTGCCTCAACACCCTCAGCCACCCCAGCCCCATATTAGAATATTGATTTGTTCATTTCAATTCCTTTCTGATTCCAGAAATATAATATAAAAAAGATGTCTGATAATAATATTCATTATTACTTTATCTATCAACCTGACACGGTAGGCCATTTATCTTCTGTTTCAGGATTTAGTTACTAAAACAGTATTCATACATTTATATAATTTTCAAATATATAATCAAATAGTCCTTTAGTAATATGATATTGCTTGTTCCTACTTATAATTGTTGTGTCAGTTTTACTTAGGAAGAATATAAGAATATTATGTTGATGCTATTAACCTAGAGTTGGCAACACTCACTTTGTTTTCATTTTTGAATTGAGAGGTTACAATTTTGATTTTCAAGTTACGTGTATTAAGGAAAGAAGAAATTTTGACTGCTATGTTCTGTTTTATGTAAAATGCCAAATGAAGTTACCTCGCTGCTGAATGCTTTAAACAGTTATATTACCTGTCCAGTATGGTAAGACCCTCAGCGTTATTTACTGTTGTGTCCACATAACAAGTTCTAGCATTATATTTTAAAACATATTTGTGTGGTTATTATTATTATTATTAAGAGAATATTTCAGAAGAATCGTATAAGCCCTTTATTGAAATCATAATTTCTTTAATTCTTCTTATAATCTTTATTTGTTATTTGCTTATCAGTTAATCACCCTTTATTGTTAAAGTGTTTTTAAGTGGTATTGTGAGTATTTGTGGCTCCAGGAAAAGACTAGGTAAGTTTTAAACATAATTTTTCCACACCAGTTTTCACTCAATCTGATTTAATTAGGATTATGTGTTTGGTTATCTTTAGCTCTTAGTTTGATTATTAAGAACAAAATATATTAGAAAAAGAACTAAGTTCATCAAACTAATCTATGAATGTACACATCTCATTTTAGTTTGTTCCGTCATTCCTTCTCTCATCTAACAGGTTCAAGATATACCATTATCTACTTCAAATAATTGGCTCCTTTGTACCATTATTATTGACTCACATGTGTGAATATATTATATTCATGTATATACAACTCAGTTGAATTAATACTTATTTAAGATTTAATACGATTAGTATTATAGTAATAAATATATTCAATTCGTGATCGCTCTTTTGTTAAGAAGGCTTTTCAATATCCTGGTATCATACAACGTCTCTGTATCTTTGTCATAATTTTGCCAGATTTAATGGTTTCTATTTAAAATGAGTTTAAATTGTAGTTACCTTAATTGTATTAATAAAAATAACTAATAATTTACATGTTCATTTATTTATCAAACTGTGAATCCTATTCAAGTTTACATAAACTGCCCATTTTTCAATTCAGTTTGGATGTTTCATGCACTGTCTGTTTATAAAATTAATGTGTGATTATGCAAATGTGTGCCTATTTAAAAGAATCAAGCATGTCATAACTATATTGTTTCATGTCTGTTTAGTGAGTCCAATCCACCTATCTAAATAATATACTTCAACCATTTCTAGGGGTTTTGGAAGGTTTTGAGAAATAATGATTTTTCAAAAAATACATATGAGAGAGGTGATTTTAGAAAGTTCCTGTGGCAGCTTCTGAAAAAGAGAAAACTGCTTTCTATTTATGCTATGAAAATTGTCATTCTATTTTGCTTTACCATTCGATTCTAAAAACTCCACAGATTGTTCTGATTTATCATGCATTATAACTATTGGTTGAATAATTGGTTTTATGCATTAACAGAAATATGGAACACAGAGTAATTAATTCAATTAATTATTTGCGTGGTTTATAAAAGAATTTATATTTTTAATCTATTTCAGTGATTTTTCTATTTTCTGTGTTCACACCTTGGTCCCCATATTTTATTTTTATTTTTTTTAATTTTAATTTTATTGTATTTTTTACAGCAAAGTCACTGATGATATTGAAATCGTTCTCACATGTGGCCACGTTATTTGTAAAAACTGCAAAACAAAGCGTACAAAATGTTCAGTATGTTATAGTGAATTATCAGCAACTAGGTCACATTCTCCTTCGATAAAGTTCATTGAAGAACTATGTAAAGAATTATTGAAGGTGTCTACAGGTATGGATTAAAATATTTTTATATTAATACCAGGTCTGAGTACCTTTATATAGTTGTTCTAAGTAGAATTGTTATGTAATTGATCAAATAGTTCCAATGAATATAATTTTTTTTTAAGACATTTTAAAATGGTAACAATTCGGATACTTACAGTTTGAGTTCCTATGTTTCTTTTATCATTCATTGGGTGGTATTGAAAAACAAATATTAATATTTTGATGAAGAAATTTTCATATATTTGTATTGAAAACATGATTATCATTAAAAGGTATAATGAATATTTCTTTACCCTTAATCTCTGGAAGCTTCATATATCATTTATTAAAAAAAAAAAAAAAATGCAGAACAGCATACAGGCTGTTTCAGATAAGAGGAGAAACATATATAAATAATCAATGCTTAGAATTTTGGAATTATTGAGATTAAGGGGTAATTTGATAATAATGGCCCAAAACACTTATAACATGAAGTTATGGAATCTACATAAATACAATTGTCATTTTCTTATTAAAGTGCAGAGGTGTGTTGTATGATGTCAGCGCCATAAGAACATTATGCACTGCGGGAGACAGTTGAAACACTGGCAGTGTAAAAACCTCTAGTTTTTATACCCCACGCATTATGAGGACCTGCAAAGTTGGTCAATAAGTCGCCATAAAAAATTAAATAATACTATTTCTATGATGTAGTATTTATTTGACCGCACCCCCCGATCAACTCCTTCTCATATTATATCACGGTCAACCTTCTCTACATCATTTTCAATATTTATAGTGTGTTTAAGGACCTTACATAAAGATTGGATGCTTATTGTTTTAAAAAATATTTATTATGTATGCTTAACAGTTAACTGTCGGAAAATAAATAAGAGGTTATATTACTTCAATTCATAGTTAAATCTATTTAGGATTCTTAATTACATTGTTTAATGTTTCTCAGCTTAGTATCAAACAAATTATTTTTTGTGGCATGTCACAAATAGGTTTGACTTGAGCTCCAAAGCTTAATTGCCCCCCAAAAAAATCATCAGTCCGTTTATCAGTGTTAGCAAGTAACCCACTATTGCAGTTTCCTTTTAGTGCTATTTAATTATTTTTAATGCTTGTTTTGGGAGTTATTTGTGTGTTGTGGAACTTCATTGAGTGGCATGTCATTTCGAACATTAGTGCTAAAAGCAGATGTATCATATTTTTATCAAGTTACTAAAAATGATGCCATAATGGCTAAGAATGTTGAGGTGTTGCCCACCATTGAATAAATTTTAACCTTCATGCTCTAGTTAAAATAGTTTTGGTTTTAACTCTTCAACAACCTCCTCCCAACTCCATATGTCAGAAAAACCGAAGTAGGGATTATTTGATAAGAAAAAAAAAAATTAAAAATATTTTCAATCAATTAGGTGTCCTTCATTAGTGTATTTCATCCTTGGTTGCCGATTTCTTGTGTAAAAGCAATGTATAATTTTTATTCTTCCAAGAATAAGGAATATTGGTTCCCTTGGCATTGGAAATATGTTTGATTAGCCCAAAGGGGATTTTTTAAAATTTAATTTAAATGAATTACAAAGTAGTAAATTCTATTAAAAGGGAGTGACTTTGCCAGATAAGTGAAATTGCGTGATTAATGAACATATTTTAAGAGGGAAAATTTTGAATCAAACATTTTATTAACTTATACCTAAATCAGCTTGTATTCTTCACCTCTTCAATTTATTTAATTTTTGTGTATGAAGATGAATTTGTGAATAATGAGTAATCACGAAGAAGATATTTTTAAATTTTATTGTTTTTTAAACTTATATTTGTTTTAGGTGAAATCAAGAGTGTGGAGTTGGAACATAATGTTGGGAATTCCATAGTTACTCCAAATGTGAAAGAAGACAAGCCTACAAGAAATGATTCTGGTACAAGTGGCAATGAAAAAATAAAGAAAAAAATTAATTTTGGAATAATAGAGAATGTAGAAATTAGTAATGATGTTGTTAAAGTAATAAATGAAGTTAACAGATTTAGAAACAAAGATAAATTTAGAAAAAATAGAAATCATAAGAAGGGACTGATTTTTTATAAAAATTATTGTAAACATAAAGAAGAACGAAAAGTTTACCGAAAAATTCTCAAAGGTTTTGGTATAGTAGGGATTGACAAACAGATAAAAAAAGTTAAATCTAAACATGATTTCGTTTCTATGAAAAAAGAATTGAATGGGCAGTTAAATACTATTATTTCACGTTTAAATTATCAGTGTCCCAATAACAGTAATTTAGAAAATACAAAGTTTAATAATTCTTTGAAAATGAATACTGATAGCAATTGCTCAGATTCAGAGAAAAACATTCAAATGAATTATGGAACATCAATGAATTTTGGTGGTTCCAAAGATGGTTTTGGCATCATTAAATGTGATTTAAAGAGGAATGGGTTCAATCTCATTAACAACAGTAGTGGTTTGAAGAGAAAAAACGTTGACTCAGGCATTGAAGAAGGTCCTCACAGTAAAGCATTTGTGAGAAAAATTACAATTGTGGATGATTGTCTTATCAATTTTGATAAAAAGTTAGGAGGCATAGTAGATGAAACAGAAATAATTCAACGATACTTAAATCCTCCCATGGAAGGTCCTGGAAAGGAAGAAACTAATGACAAAATCAAGTCACCATGCAATAACCTTTGCGCAACGCAGAATAATTTCCTATCAAAGAAGCCTGAATTTCCTAATGAAGGACCTCATGTTACCAATAAAACAATTATTGATGATACAACATGTGGAAGGTTATCTAAATCAGAGATTAAGAACATTGTTTCAGATTTTATGGAAGAAATTAGCCCAAGTTCTGAGGAATGTGGTTTACAATCAGATATTATGGTGGATATGCTACATAACGTTTCTAATGAAATTGTGGTTGTTGGAAACAATTTATGTACAACAGAAAAAAATACTGAAATCTGTAATAATTTAATTAATGCTTCTTCCTATAGTGTAAGCAGCTCAAAAAATCATTCTGTTAATAATTGTTCTCCATATAAACAAAGTGATGATAAAACTCATTCCATAACAATTAAGATTGAAACTGAAAGCAATGGTGATAATGGTGTCATTGTAGTCTCAGACTCCGATGATGATGATGTTGAAGTTGTAAAAAAATATTCAGATTTGGAATCTTCTCGAGGAAAGGCTGATCGGACAGATGTTAATTCAGAGGAGGATATAAGTATTAGGAATTGTAGAATTGTTCTCGATGATTTATCACCGTTAATGTTACAGTCCCCAGACAATAACGTACAAATGGGTAATGAGGAATCTCTAGAAAATTCTGATGTAAAAAAAAGTTTGATTATGGATAGTAATGCTACAAATGGAAAAAATGAAAGTTCTAATGAAGAAAATATGGTTATAGAGGATCAAAAAAGTATATCTGAAAATAATTTAAATTTAATGCCAACTCTTTCTAAAGTGTCTTTAGAACAAAAAGAAGATAAATGTGAAGTTTTAAATACTTTTGAAGGTTTTACAGAGGATGATATTTTAATTCTTACGGTTAAGCTAGCACTTTTTAAAATGAATGGTTGTAAATATTCAAAGAATTTGTCCTCTTCCAGTCTTTATTCTCTTGATGGAAAACAGATTTTGATTAAAGATGTGTAAGTATCATTTATGAAAAATAAAAAACATGTATTTATTTGTATAAATACTAATAGTAGTAAATTAAATGTTTTATTTGTTTTATAGGTCCCATGATGAGGATTATCCTGATAGTCCGTGTTGCCCAAATAAAATGTAATAGAAACATGGTGATTTATTTTCATTTTATTAGTATGTTTAAATGTTTATTTTATTTTATTTTTATTTTCATATGATATATATGTATAAGAATTGTGCATCAGATAGGTCTTTGTTATAGTAAGTTCTTGTTAACTTCCTCTGATAGATTTGTCTTCAAACAAGGCTTAGCTTACCATATTGCTCAGATTAATGTATATCAAATAATTTCATTTAGAGCTCCTGTTCTAGATATCCTTGTTCTTTGTATCTAACCTAAGTGAGTATCCAAATCCTCATTTCACTTAAACGATTATGACTGGAATGGCGGATTGTTTTACTTTTTTTTGGCTGTTACCATTTACAGCATATATGTTTACCACAGCTGATGTTTTGAAATCGGACTGAGAATAAATACAAACTGCTAAAATATGAAAGCCAGCCTATAATTGTTTAAACTTGTTCAGTGAGGAAGTGAGATCGTCCAAGTATGGATTGCTGTGAGGAACCAGAGCATTCATAATGACTATATCTTCTGTCCCTCATTAAGTTTCATTATACCAACAATAATGAAAAATAAATCATAATAAGCCATAAAAGAAGTAATATTATTCTATATCTGTCTGCCATTAGTCTAATCACTGTAACTGTATGTTAATAGTCAAATGTAAATGATGTATCACATTGTTTTAGTTTTTTTTTCTAATGGCTTACTGTCAACAAGATGCCTCATGATTTGCTGTTGTTCATTTGATACAATACCCTATTGTACTTTAACTATTTGTTATCTTCCAAGTTCCAAACCTACTATAGCCAGAGTGGATAAGTCAAGAGCATTATCACTTTTGGATTATCAGTCATGTATATGCTTTATCATTTGTCAATATTTTAATTGTTTGTTTTGAGGTCGACAAAAGTCTCTTCTACAGCTATATGATATGTGTTGTATATTTTGGAAAAATGCATGTCTTAACCAGAAAGAAAAACTATAACATTATTTTATGAAAACAGTAATCTGCAATGCTGAGAAAAGAAGGAAAATAAACGTATAAAGAACAATGAGGGTAATAACAACACCATCCTCAATTTTTCTTTTAAACCAGAAGTGGAAGTCAGATAGATTCCAGCTTATATGCATTGATTTTTGTTTCATGGGTCAAACATATAAGCTGTCGATATTTGGGTCATGGGTCTACCATTAAACAAAAATCAATGCATATAAGCTGGAATCTATCTGACTTCTGGTTTAAAAGAAAAATTGAAGATGGTGTTGTTATTACCCTCTCTGTTCTTTATACGTTTATTTTCCTTCTTTTCTCAGTATTGCAGATTACTGTTTTCTTAAAATAATGTTATAGTTTTTCTTTCTGGTTAAGACATGCATTTTTCCAAAATATACAACACAAATCATATAGCTGTAGAAGAGACTTTTGTCGACCTCAAAACAAACAATCAAAATATTGACAAATGATAAAGTATATACATGACAGATAATCCAAAAGTGATAATGCTACTATACCTCATTTTATAAAGATATATTCTCATCCAGAAAAGTGATTTAGTTACTTTGACTTGTTCACCCTAATTTCTTTTTTGTAAATATCTGTTGTTTACCAACACTTAAGATTATATCTGATGTATTTTCAATTTTTTAGCTCGGATCTGACAATTGAGATTTCGGATTCCGAAGATGAGAGGTATATTTTTAAATGTTTGCTAAATTTTCTCCCCTAAGTTTTTAGTGTTTGAGAAAAATACTTTTATATTATGCAATGGGCAGTGGTTCTCAATGTTTTTAGGTCATGTCTCTCTTTGTAGTAATCCACTTTTTTATTCCTCAAAAATAATTTTTTCACCAAATATACTACTTCTAACAATTTATTTTAGTTTTTTCGAACAAATTTATTTTCAAAACCATTGCCCCATTTTGATGTTCCGTGATCCCACTTCCCTTTTCTCGATGGCCTTTGTTGAGAACCGCTGGCTTACAAAACAAAATTGTGACTTCTGACTGATTTTTTTTTTTCTCTGTCTGCTGGTTTTCTTAACTTTAAACTTCTTAGTACATTTTTATTTTATATACTATTGTTTTACTGTTATGTTATGCAATGAGTATGAAGTTACTGCTCATTAGTATAAAACCAACTTGCACTATTTGATCGACATCTTAAAAAATATTGAAAATCTTGATACGAGAAACAGGGAAGTCAAAATTTTCCAATTATTGTCTGTAGACAATATTACTGTTTCGATTAGTGCAAGAAGTGGACACTAATATAACATCAATCCACTTCTGTGTGAAAAATAATATGGGAAAGGCTACTTCAATGACCAATAAAACATCTGATACGAGTTGTTACAAAAACCTGGGTTGTTCAAAAACTTAATATGCTTTTTACAAACACTTTATACTTTTTACCTTAAGACAAAAACAAGGTCAGTCTTGAATTTGTTAATTTATTCAAAGTCTAATAGTAAAAATATCTGGTCTCATATATATCATCGTATTGCTCTTGCCAAAAATTTGTGATCATGGGCATGCATCAAGGCTTTTAATTCTGCCCTACATTGGTATTGATCCACATGGGTTTGCTATCAAAATCAAATATGGGTCTACTAAATTTCCTTTAATTAGCGTTGAAAATTGCTCATTAATCTTGAGAAAACTGCCATGTATGTTTCATTTTTTCCAGTTTAGATATTTTATTCAATTTTCTTTTGTACCCTCTTCCAGGATATATATAAATAATAAAACAAATCAATAAAATTCATATCATATGTGTGTGTGTGTGTGTGTGTATATATATATATATATATATATATATATATATACATACACATTTATATTATATATATTATATTATTCAGCCTGGCAAAAATATTCTGGATTGGATTTTATTTTATTTTTACAGAATGACTTAATTTTTATGTAAGGAATGAGAATGTTAGTGTGTTCTTTTTCTTTTTTAAAATTTATACATATAATAAGTATATTAATAATTTATTTTTTATGTCATAGAAATGTTGCTAATTACTTTGAAATTTATTCTTGATGCATGAATTAGTGTTATTTATTTATTCTTAGTCCGATTCTACTAGAAAGATTTTATGTTATGATTATTTCAATCTTTATTATATTTTCATAGTTGCATTTAATTTAATAAGTTTTTTTTAAAGATTTACTTAGCTTAGGTGTTTGTAATTCTATAGTTTCTTTATCATCCCAGTGCTAAGTGATTGAACTGTAGTACAGCAAGTCATACTATAAGATGAACCAAAAACTATTTTACCACACTTGGTTAGGGCAATTTAAAAACAAAATTCATCACTAAACTAAAAAAAAAATTGATTTTTTTTAATCATCATAATTCTGTTTGAGCCTGGAGGAGTTAAAATGTTATGTCTATTAAAATTAATATAAATATTTTTTAATGATAAACTGTAGTCCTCTAACTTAAAATGGGCCTATCATACAAATTAAAATTTACAATTCTGTTAACTTTATAAATTGTCTTGAATATTATTAATTGTTAAATATTAAAACTATATTAAATATTATTGTTAAAATACATTTAAAAGGATTTTAATTTAATGTAATTTTTTTATTTCTAGCAGTAAATCTCTTGTTACATCGAGTGTCCAAACTGAAAATGATCTTTTAACTGTTACACCCAGTCCGAGCACATCTAAAATAAGGTATATCTATAATGTTGTTGGTTATTTTACTATAATAAAAAGGCCCAAATAAAACTAGCATTAAATATATGAGGTAAGGCTATTAAATAACAAGACTGTAAAACATTTTTTTTTTATTTCATCCATATTTACTTTTTTTTTTTTTTTTTTCTGTCTTGGGCGTATTTACTTATTATTATTGACAATATATACTCCTCCTCTATCCCTAGAATACTCCATACGAATCTCTCATAGTCTGAAACTATGCTGAAATCTTCTGTCAGCTCATTCAAGACGCATACAACTTTCTCTTTCAGCAAGAACATGAATGCAGTTATGTTCATTATTAGTTAGGCCTTCAGGAATCCAGTGAATGTGTACAACCCCATGAAGATTGAAAAAAAAAAAACACTCATTACTTTGTTGATTTGCTCGGTTGAGTTTTTTTGGCTCTCGGTAAAGTTGGACTCTCCAGTGCATAGACGGTTGCTTTACTGTTCAGCATCATAAATAAATAAACGTGATTAGCCAATCTGCATTAAAAGGAAGGAACAAGTTTGATGCTATTGAAGCTGTGGAAGAGAAAACGGCAAGCGTACTCTCAGACTTATAAGGATAGAGGAGAAGTATATATTTGAGATGTTAATAAGTAAATATGTATGAATGCAAAATAAAATGTTTTACAGTATTTTCTCATTTTTTAATAGCCAATCATCGTATATTGCAATAAAAATTTCCTATTCATTATATTTTAATTATGATAGTGGATCAGAGTATTTGTCTAAACATTTGAAACTAAGGTCTAAGATCTGGGAAGAATTGTGATTATAACTATTATTAATATTAGTTTTCATGTGTGTTTAATGAGAAATGAAGTTTGTAATGTTTTATATTTTCAGGCCTGTGTCGCTTGTTAAACTACGTGGGTTTGAGATTGAAAATGAAAAATTTATGCAAAATGATGTTTTGGATATTAGGAAACCATTAACTCCTAATACACCTCTTGGAAAAGAATCCGTCGTCTCATCGCTATCCCAGAATAGTCCTGTACTAAAAGCTACCCCGGTTTCCAGGCGACAGCTGTCATTCATGAGCCCAACTTTTGAAAATAAATTTCAGGTTCCAACATTTATTTATTTTCTTATGATTCTATATTAAAATTTCTTTACTGTTAGCTTACATTGGTGGAGTATAATTCTATTATTAGTTTTATTTAATATCTTCTTGTTCATTTGTAGCACTTATATTGTTTTGGTATCTGGTATTTTTTTTAATTTTAATAAAACCATTACCAACAAAAAATTTAATCCTAAGACATCGTTTAGAAATAGTAATGCATTAATTGCTCATTCCTATTTTTAATAAATTAAATTCTATCCAACATTATTCTATTCTTGGAAAAGTAATTACAACCTTATGTTACATTTCCTTATACACTGAACTCTACAGGCTGTATATCATCTATTATAAATTTCTTTAATTTTGTATTTAGATTTATTTAGGTACATTAAATTAGTTATTAATTTAATTTTATAAATATATATATATATAACAGTTTCCTTTGTTAAAATAATCATGATATCAGCTATGCTATTAGTAGTATTCAGTCAGCTGTGAAATAAAAAAAAAGTTGAAGACTTATTACGATTGTTATCTATTTGTGCTTGACAACCATTGCACTTTTCTAAAAATAGACGCTACTCTTGTTCCTTGTGATACATAATTAAATCAATGTTATTAAGTTTTTATCCGGATTAGTAGTTGCTAATGAATAGTTAGTATTTGATTCTCTCAGCCAAAGAGATATAAAAATAAAGTTAATGAGATGGATGAAATTAATAAAAGCATATTATTTTCAGTATCAAGATGATGGTGCTTCAACAAGTGATGTAAAAGCAACCAGTAGTGTGCCCAACAGGTTTGTCACTTAATTCCTTTAAGTATAGTAAGAATAGAATAGTAAAAGTTTATGTAATTTTTAGAAAAAATCCAGCCAGTCAATTAACATCCAGATTTTATTATACTATACATATTTGACCATATTTTCGGAGGTAGAGCCTTAATAAATTTTATTGGTACTGTTCAAATTATGGATTGATATTAATCTGAAAATTATTTTACCAATAATAGTAATTTTTCAAAACAAATATATATGTATATATATGCTGTGAAAATCTATTTATATATATTTAAATCTGATACTTTAAGTGTATAGAGTATTTTGACAGAAACAATTATTCTTTTAGAAAAATGTATGTATTATTTTTGAATTAAAAAGCAAGGTAGCCTATTAGTTAGAGCTCTGAACAAACCTTTTCTCATCCTGGTTTGACTTACTAAATTTCTCTTGACAGATAATTAGTGGGCTTGGTCAAAAATAATATCATGAATAATAAGCACTTCCTGTCTGTACTTCGTCCTGAAAAACATAAGTACTTGGATGAATCAGACAGTTGGTATTAATGATCTTGCTCTCTAGATCCTTCCAGAGCTGTCTAACTTATTTAATTTGTTAAAGTATTATTGTAAAAACAAATGTTCATTTTCTTTAAACTATCTTTAAGATAGAGTTTAACGTCTTTTATAGGCATTATAATAACTGGAAATATTTATTGCTGATTACTGGACTTATACCACTTTCATTATAACTTTATCTGTACTAGTAATGCATAGTGAAGATCAAATGTTGATATTACCTTGCAAAACTATTCCAATTTTGTATAATGGTTCTGGTGATGTAATTATTTTATAATTGTAATAATCATTGGAGATAAAATAATCAGGAAGCAGTCATTTTTGAGATTTTTTTATTGTTGCCGACATTTCAACCCAAATAAGTGGGCATGTTTGCAGTACTGAAGGTGTTCAAGTACTTCAACGACTTACTAACTTACTTCAATCATTCTTATAATCATTTCTTAGGGTCAGTTGCTCCAACTGAATATAGCTTAGATTAAGCATTATCTAAGATTAAACTAAGTTTTTAAGGTCAACTGGTAAAGATTAAACTTGGTTTAATCTTAGATAACACTTAATCTAAGCTTTACTGAGTTGTAGTTGGCTCTTTATGAAATAAATATTTTTTCAATTAATTGTAATTGGAACTGAGCTTTCTTTTCATATAACTGGTGTAATCAATACTGTTGAGAAATGTTCTATACTGCTATATGAGTCATTTAAGAGAACCCCAATCATTATTGATAATTTTTTCAAGAAATGGGAAAAACCTATATTTTCTAGTAGAATTATAATATCAAAACGAATATTTATTTAAAAAAATAAATTAAGAAATACTTTATTTGCAGCACATATTTTTGAAAAGTTTTGAGTATTTTAATAGTATTTATAAAACATAGAAACTTATATAGGATCGCATTTGGAACGAATTAAACTTCTAGGTCAGTTTAGAAACATAAAAAAAGTTAATTAGTGTTCGGTTTTGAGAGAGAAAATGGTGTATGATTCGGGAAGAAAAGGAGTATTAAAATTACACTACATAAAAAAAATTAACTTTTTGTTTACAATAGTAATACCATAAAAAAAAAAGTTATTTTTAATTTTCTTTCGAATAACATGATAAAAACCTTTAATGAATTTTTTTAAACTTAAGAAGTTTATGTATCATTCAATTCCTTAAAAAAAGTACAGTTTTGGAAATAAACTTGTTTTTACACCATCTAATTCATTGGGTGTTGTTACATAGGAATCAATATTTATCCCAATATTCAGTTCACTTTGGAAATAAATGACTCAAATGTTTGGTGAACTTAAGACTTTGTTTCTTTATTTTAGCTCTTTGAATGATGATTGGCAAGTTCTCCATTATAGGATGCAACACATGATACCTAGTAACCCTGAAGACGCGTTGCACAGTGAATTTGAACATTCTGGTATCAGTCCTGTAAGTAACATTTTCTTATTTTTTCCTATTCTTCTGTTAACTATTATATAAGTAATTTAGACTATTCACTATAATAATTTGAAAACTTTCCTCTTTTTTTTCTTCCTTTGGAATTTCTTCCTCTCCATGTTTAATATATAAAAATATGTACTATATCCAATTGTTTTGTAAGCATATTTTATAATATACTCTTACGAAAAAAATTAATATATATAAATGTATACAAAAACTTATTTTTAATTTTACATATATAATTAAGTATATTGTTTGTTTTACAATAATTGTATTGATTTTATTAATTATCCCTCATAATTTTTAAACATTATATATAAGCTATATATATTTTTTTTGTTTGGTCCATTGCCGGCACAATCAACAAAATGGAAAGTATGTATCGGGGGGTGTAGTAGTCGGAAGCCTACCAGCTATGACTCCTTTCAAGTACATTCTGTTTCTTCCATCTGTACGTTTCAACATATAGAAATCTTGCACCTGTGCATTTTCGTATGCAGTATGCTTTAAAAATATTGTAATCTCAGAATATTCTTGAATTTTGTTGAGAGTGAGAAAGGCAAAAAGCATCCGACTACCACACCGAATTTCATTATCCACAGATATCAATTTCCCTAACAATCCACCGATGGATTTAAATAGATATGCAAATGTATGCTTTCCATTAGGATAGACTTATTTCCTTATTCTTTTTTTTTTTAACAATTTTTTTTATTTAGTTGTATTCTTTATACATATAAAAAAGTTAAGACATTTCACTATTTGATCTTTATTTTATTTTATTAAGAAACTCAATCTTTATTTGATAAGTATGTTGACTATTTTAGAAATTGTTAATTCATGAATAGTGGAAGAAGTGGGTAATACAGACCAACATATTTATATTATGGTGGTTTTCAGGCGTATATTTTTTTCTTTATTGCCATATTTGCATAATTTATTGACCTGGAATTAAAGACAACTTTATGTTTTGGTTATTCGGTTGCTTTACTGATATAATTATTTTTAATAATACAGTGTTTATTTAATTTTATTTGTAGACTCGACTGACATTCACTACTTGTGGTCTAAACAGTAAAGAGACTGCCCTAGTAACAAAGCTTGCTCAAATGACAAAGTCGTGTTTAACCAAAGACTTTACACACAACACGACACATCTTGTTATTGGTGCAACAGGAAGAGGTAGACTGGAGTATTACCTTGCCATTGCTTACAGAGCATTTATAGTTACAATGGATTGGGTAACACTGTGTCTTGCATTAAATAAAATTCTACCTGTAGTAAGTAATCTAGTTTCTTATTTATTATTTATTATACGTTATATTACATTTTACTGATGCACGCATTGTACTGTGCCACTTTTTTTTTACATATAATTTTTTTTGTTCAAATTTATGATATTAAATATCATTTGAAAGAAATTGAGTGATGTAATTTTTACCAGGTTTGCAAATATGAAACTAAAATTTTCATTTATAAAAAAAATACATTTATTGCTTACAAATGTTAAAACATATTTTATTTGAAGGATTGTCCATAGCTTGTTTTTTTTTTTTTGCCATCTCTATGGCAACTTATGAATGGCATGCCAGAAAACTGTTTCTGTTTTGTGGCGAACTAGACATCAAACAATTTTTATTAATAAAACACTGCCCTGCAAGTATGTGCCCCATCGATGCAAATAAATATTAGTCATAGGAGCCAAGTCTGATGAGTAACCGCATGTACTAATATTTACCTACTAAATGTCTGTTATTTCCTTCACTGTTTTTTCTGTGTGTGCTGGTTTATTACCTTGAAGCCAAATTATTATTATGATATTACTCATTGTTTTTCATGCAATACTGGATTCAAATCAATCATTCGTTGTTATTGTTCAGTATTAATAGTCTCGCCAGGTTTTAGTAGCTCATAATTGATTACGCTCTTCCGATTCCACCAAATAGAGTATTGTATTCTTTCCATTGCGACTTGGCCTTGCAATGGATGTTGATGGTTCTCCTGAAGCTACCAGCTGATGCTTAGGGTTAACTTTTCAACACCTGTCATAATTTCATGAAGAAATCGATTTGTTCTGTACCTTGCGATCAGCATTTCAGGGATGGTTTTTTGGTTTTCTTATCTTTCATTTGGTTCATGTGGAACCCATTTTCCCATCTGAATCTCATGGCTCTCAAATGTATGGAGATAGCTCCTTGTGATACATTAAATTGATCCACGCGTTGTTGGGTTTGAGCGTCATCCTCATCCAACAATGCCTGCAATGAGCTGTCTTCAAATTTTTTCAGTGGCCTTTCATTTTCTTCATTTCTCACTTCAAAATTATCACTTTTAAACCACTCAAAGAACTGTGATTTACTAGGAGCATGTCCATCATAAGCCTCGTCAAGCATTCGATGCTATTTTCTATAAACAGTAACCGAAAACTAAGCTGTCCTCAAATAATAATTTAGAATTCATATTTTATTCATCATAATTTAAAATTCTAGATGCTCATCAATATTAAAATGTTGATGTTGTATGAAACTTGTATTCTTGTGAGTTGAAACTCTTAGCTAGCTGTCAAAGAAACTTTTTGATACCAATCATGCAGTTTATCAGTAACTACTTCAATAACTAGAGCCATCTGTGGACAAATTTTGGTTTCCTATTTGCACACCTGGTAATACTAATTTAATTATATTTCTCTTTACGGAAATCCTCATCCTTGACCTCATTTAAACATAATTTATTTTTTCATTTCCTCAGTAGTCAATCTTCCGAATATATGTAAAATAAAGTTATTTTGTACTTCGAGATGTCAGTTACACTGTACCGATATCTTGCAGATATCTATGTATGTGTCATATTGCTTATTTGTATAAATATGTGTCTTTATTTTTAATATTAAGAATTTTTAATATTATGAAAAATTTACATGTTTCTTTATTTTAATATTAAGGTTAAGGACAACTTTGTAAATTATTTTATTTTTAATTGTCATTTAATTATTCACAATCGCCAGACAATTGTCATTTCTCTGTTCATTGTAGTTATTCTGAGGGGACTAAATGTCCCAGAATAAAATTAACTTTATATTTTCTTCTTCTTTATGTACATTTCTGTAACTAATTTGAATAATTTAAATTTTGGGCAAAAATGTCTTAGTACACAAGATTTTAGGCAAAGACCCCAAAGGTTTAAGTCAGAAGGTTTTAGTTGACTTATCAATCCCTGAACAGTCATCTTAAAAGTGATAACTACCAATTCAGTTACCATATCTAGGTTAAATAATCTAATCTAGTAAGTAAATTTTTCAAATTATTCAGGGCTAAAATAATTGATATAATTTGAATTAGTTAAGATTGATTGATTGTGATAGTTAATTCTGTGATATGTGATTTATTAGCTGCTAAGATCAATGCTGCTCAAGCTATTATGACGATGACTTGAGTTTTGTGGTAGAGAAACATGGCTTATTTTCTCATTTTGCTTACAACACAAGATATTTAATTTTTTCAATGACAATGATGTTTTAAGCATCGGTAAGCGTAATCTGGTTTTTGTATTCAGATATATAGAATCCAAAACATAGGAAGATCACGGTATAAATCAGTATGTTAAATTATTATATCATTTATTGAGATCCACTATGAGGTCTTCTCCAAAACTGAGCGAAAAACAAGATTTCGGTGTGGAGGTTGCTGTTCCATTTGTCCCAATACATCTATTGGCTTCTTTGATTCAGACTGACAACCTGTCAGTTAGGAATCGCCACAGAGCAAAGCTGATGATCAAAGCGGGGAAGTGGCATATGGTAATCAGCAAAATTTGCAAAACCAAAAGACGTAATCAAAATTTCATTTTTAATATTATTTTAAATTACTATTGATCTAATAATTTTAAAAATAAAAGCTTAAAAAATATATTCTGGGTAACTAATGGGTTAATTACGAATTAAATGTTAATTTTTATTTTCTTTTTTAATATTAAAATAGGATTATATTTTAACTCTTAGAGTTTATACTTTAATTGAGTCATAATGAGATAAAGCATTTTAAGAAAAAAATTATTAATGTTTTTTAGACTGGATTCATCCCTACTGAAGATGAAGGACCACTTAAGTGTTTAGAACCTAGTTCTCTCCCTTTTGTGGGATTTCATGTGTTCTCGAAGATACTACCTACTTCAAGCAGTTATCCTATTGCTGAAATTACAAAAGTAATCGAAATTCTTGGTTGTTATTATTGACAATAATTATTTATAATAACATAATATCTTGATAATTTTTTTTAATTTGCAGACATTATTATCTCTTGGCGGGGCTAGAGTCTTGCCCAATTTAGATGCATTTCATACGCTTCAAGATGGAAACTACCCTCGATTCTTCATTTATAATTCTAAATCAGTGTTGACACAACCTGTATTAGGTAAGGAATCATTGCATTTTCCTAATGATCATTTTTATTATTCATTTATTGCTTTGCTGTGTATTAATGACACCTGAATTTGTGTCAGTCAACAGAAAAGTATTGTTCCTTCTTCCTAAGAACAAGACATAAAGTGCTATAATTTATGTTATCTTTTTTTACTTCCACTTACCTATATATAAGGGAAAGTATTGCGACCTTGAAAATTTTCAAATCAGAGTTTTTAATGGAGATACATGTTTTGAGGTCCTCTGAGTCCAAATAACCAAGTCGCGGAATGGTCTGTGTCTGTGTGTTTGTGAACAATCTAGCTCTAAATCATAAAGTCTTACAAAAACTAAAACAGTTTTTATTGTTGTTGTTAATTTTATTATTTTACCTACCCTGATGAAGGTCTGATAAAATACCGAAACCGGTTGCGCAAAAGCGAAAAATAAATGGAATATAAAAAGACAACGTCTTTTTTGAAGTGAATGAATGGTCATTGTTTCACATCTTAAATAATTTTCTGTTGAGATAAGTAAAAGGAAGTAAGAGTGAAAATTTTCCAACTTTTCTTTCACTGTCAGAAAAATGTTCTCGTTACATTAGCATTTTACAACAGCTCGTTCAAATTTTTCCAAACTTGTAGATAATTTGGAGGATAATATACAAATGTTAAAGTACAAGAGGTGGTGAAGTATATTATACTAAACTGTCTTCAAAAATTTAACTTCTTGAAAGCAATAGAAACGGTGAGGAAGCTATCCTGACCCTACTTGGCAGTCTTGTTTTTTTGTAATGAAATAATTGATAATAGATAATTCAGATTATCTGCCAATAATGAATAACTAATAAATCAATTGTAACAAGCCATCAAATAAAGATAAGCATTTATTTAAGTATCATGCATCACTGCCTAAAGATTTTTAATCTCATCATAAAAGGTTTGAACTCAAAAGGATATTTATTTATTTATCATGCATCACTGCCTAAAGGTTTTTAATCTCATCATGAAAGGTTTGAACTCAAGAGGATGTTTATTGATTCCTAGAAAGCATATTTGATTATATCAGTATTATGAAATGCAATTTTTATTATTTTTTTTATCGAATGTTCCAAATTCGAAAAAAATTGGGAAAGTCTCTTTGTGTAACCATTGTGTTATTTTAAGTCAGGGCATTTATTTGGTTATTGGTTACATTTTGTACATAGTATAGTCCATAAGTTTCCAGCCTGCACTACTTCCCTTATTTCAAGTTCTGTTTCCTTCCTACTTCCAAGCTTTGAAATTGGAAGTTCCAATTATTTTTTATTCTTTTACATTTCTTCCATAAAGTTTTGTTAATAGTTTTTATTTGATTTTTTATATGATACTTGAAGCTTAGTGATTTTCCTTTCTATAATGTTGCAGATAAGTGTGCCAGTTTGCATATCCTTCCAATACAGTTCATGTGGGTCTACGAAAGTATTGGTGCTTTTAGAGCAATTCCGGTTATGGATTTCTTGGATATAGGTATACATAGCCGTACACTCATTAGGGACTATAAAATTCCTGATCAGCTGGCATGTTCTAGATATCCTCGCCTAGAGGGTGAGTTTCACCCTCAGATCTTAGATGAACGTTATCAAAGATCTTTGTGAGGCTTGGTATTTGTATATAGGTCTTAGTCAGATGAGCAATTACGAACCAACATTCTCAGGTGCACTGTAAGAACTACCTAAAATTATGTTGAACATAATGTAGATTGTAATTCATTTACAATTTTTTTATTGATAAATAAATATTTTTATCTGAATCTATTTTTCTCAGGTGTTGTATGTATTTAATTGTTAATATATCAAATTATAATCCTGAATAGAAGATAGTCATTAGCTATTGTTTGATGGTTACCAAATCATTTAAATTGTTTCATCTAACATTTATTTTAACAATGATTTTTAATGAATGTTTGATTTTTTAAATTTTTGTGAAATAAAACATAGTTTTTAATGTTTAAAATCATTATTAAAATGATTTATTCTTCTATACTTATAATAATTTAAATTTATATATATTTTGTAAAGAAGCTTGTATGATCTATATTTTGAGTACAACTCATCAATACATCCTGAGGCTGTAAATTTATATTGAACAGCAGTATAGTATTATTTTATTTTTCTTTGTTTTATTAATTTAAACGAATATTTGTTCAGGTTATTTCAGATAACCACATAAACTGAATAGTAATAAATAAATTTGTCCAATTATTAAACTGTTAAATATTTAATAATTTTATGTTATAAATTACATTTGTATTATTTTTAAATTATGGCTACTTCCACCTTAATCCCAAAACATGAAGCAACCTATTGAAGATCTCAAAAAAACAGTGTTAAGTTCAAAATAATAAAAACTATAAGTAATTTTTTAATTACTAATCCTTATTCCTTCTTTTAAAGTGTCGGGTGTGTGTATGTGTGCATGTGTGTGTTCACACGAATGTTAACCAAAGAACAATATTTGTATTAAAAATAAAACTTTTCATTGCAAAATTTTGATTTTTGAAATTATAATTGACAGAAGTGAGAGTCAATAAATTATTTACTCCATAACTGATGGCAGTGAGAGCCAATTAAATATCTTCTCTAAATTTTGATACTTTTTACGCTTGCATATTACCTCAGTATAGAATTGGACATCAATTCTTAAAGTGATAGATTTTATTTTTCCGAGTAATTGTCTTTTATTATTACAACTAAGCTTAATATAATAATTTGTATCTGACTGTCCTCTTGTTAAACATTTTTCGTTAAACATTGTCAACACAAATGTTGACTAATGTGTAGCATTGTACAAATGATGCCTGAATGTATTTATTAACTGTATAAAATGTCTTTTAAAACTGTATCAAAGGAACAGGTCTTCCTGTCAACATATTAATGAATTATGTTTTCGATTCCCTTCTTTCATATCAGTAAAATTCACCAGAACGAATTCCGGGCGTTACTTTAATTTATCGAATATAATAATAACGTGAAAATATCCCTGCAATTCTCAGGTGAAATTATCTGATCCATGGAGCCCTAAGGAAATAAGACCATCACATGCAGGCAGATCTAGTCAAAATATTAAATGAACTCTCTATCTCATTTCTGTCATTTTCAACATGAACTGGACTAATATCACTCATTCAATTCTTCCTCAGCATATTAGAATGTTGTTGAAACATAGGGCGCCACGTTTAAATTTTTGACTAATTATTTAGCCATTAATTTGCACCCTGTCACAGGTTTCTTTTAAGCGACAGTTGCGCTTTTATTTTGGTTTTGTTGTCTACATCATCTTATAAATACACAGTACCATTTGTATTTGACCCATTAATCGGAACTATTTGCATTAAATCTTTCAATGAAAATTATAGAATCCTAAAAATGCTGTTGTCATGGCGTATCGTTTTATTATTTTTCTAATCTGCTACATTTACTATAAAATTACTACATAAAAAAGATGTGCGGCTGTCCTATGCTCTATGTGCATTGTAGTGCTAGAGCACATAAACATTGGGTAAACGGAGATGAAGTAGTGATATTTATGTATCTTAAAGTACGCTATTTTCATGAATAATAATAGTTACAAGACAAAAATAAAAAGGCACAATAAAAATATTTCAAAGAAACCTGCATCCTTATGTAACTTTCCATGCCCTTTTGAATATTTTTTCTATTCTTGAAGAGCCCCTCCATCTGAGGGATACTTTGAAGTTTAATTTAAAAAATTAACTTATTGTTAGAGATCATCTTCCCAAAAAGGTATTTAACATTTTTTAAAAAGAAAAGTTAGGCAATTTATTAAGCTTTATAAAAATAAATTTGAATGTTTCCGAAACATAGCCTCGCAGATTTTTTTTTTTTTATCCTCCCTATTGGGTGTTGGATTGGTTCCAGATTAGCTACCTTAATTTCATACAGCTACATTAAAAAATATTCTAGTTTTTATACGGTTTGTTATGACACTTAAAGCCGTCGTGGATGTATCCAGAGGATGGCAAGGTGGGCCTGAAGCCCTCTCCCCTCCTTCCAATGTAAAAAAAAAAAAAAAAAAAATCTAAAATAAAATAACAAATTTCAGAAAAAAAGTTTATCAGGGTCTGGTTTGTTGAAAGTATTTCAACATTACGAAAGAAAATATTAACGAAATAAACAATATCTCACATAAATTTTAATTAATTGCATCCCCTAATTGAATAATTGCCATCCTTTCGAATTTGAGCTTGCTACGCCGTTGCTTAAAATAAAACTTTTCAAATGTTTTATTTATGCTCTTATTACATTTAGCAAATCAACAATACTTTAAATAGAATACAGATGTGGCAGGGTCTGTATAACAAAATTTTATTTGTCACTTTTGACTCCATTGAATATCTCAAGGAATTAATACTATTTCAAAGAGATATCATGTGCATAATAACAAGCCTAAATTGTATGGAAGCCCATAAGTCTTCTACTTTTCTAACTTCCCTCGAGACTACCAAAAATCACACTCCCCATAGATATTTGTTAGGAAAAACTTTTATCTTATTAGCTCGGTGACAGTATTTGAGAAGAAGATTGTGGTACTCATACATTTTCTGGTCTGCAGTTTAAAAAAACTAAAAATTAATTCCTTCCGTGTTTGATTTTTTTAAAGAAGTCACAACTTGTAATAGGTAATAATTGTCAAAAAATAAAATAAAATAGTGGATATGGTTGACTGTAGTAAATAATGGTTGGGGGGAGGGGTTTTCAGGAAAAATACAAAGTATTTGTTTTTAGTTTGTATTTTGACTGGACACCCCAACCAACTCCTCTTCTATAAAAAAAATAAATTAAAAAAAACTGCAAAAACATAATTAATATTATGCTATTATGCTCCAGCACTGTCACAAATTATTATAAATGTACAACATAACTTTCATATTTAGAATCCTGAAATAATGTACATAAAACTAACACAAAAAATACTGGAGGTAATTAACACAGTGACAAGATAGTTGTCAATTACACGACTGGCACCAAAAGTCTAATTATCTAGTATGGTGCCGATAATAAATTTAAGTTCAAATATATCAAATAAAATGACAACTTTGTTAATACGGTGTAAATTTAAAAAGATATAAATTAAACAAGGAAAGTGAGCGAGATTACAATTTATAAAGTGTGTGTGGAAGAGGTACAAAGCTCAAATAAAACATTCTAAGATATAAATTTTTAATCGTTTACACTAATTGTCAATGAACTATTGCTCCTGGAAATGGAAATTAAAGTTTACAATGGGCAATTTGAAATGTATGACAGCAGGAGATATTTAATTATGGGTAAATGAACAACCTCATGAAAGTGCAATATTATTTAATATATTGTTAAAAAGTATATAAATCATGTAAAACTTGTGGATAAAGATGAAATATGTGATATTTACTTGGTGAAAGTTCTGAAGATAGAGAAGATATTCCCCGAAAAGTTAAATTTAATAAAAAAAAGAAAGAAATTGCCAACTAAGCTACGGATCAATACAGAAGAAATCGACCAATGATGGTTGTTGACAAAATTATTTAATATATATATTGTTTTACCTGCGTTTCTGTATTATTTTCAGAATGTCGAAAACAGGTATTCAGTAATTTTCTAGAAAACATCGTTAAAGAGGATAAAATATACATTTTTTTTTCCCCCTACATAGAGGACTCTGTCTCATGGTCAATGAAATTTATGTAATAAAACAGATAACTATTAATATTTTCAAACTAAAAACCTTCCCTTTTAAAGTTAAAAATAGTAAAGACGTTAGTAAGAGCCACTTTTATTACTGCTTTTTTTTTCTAGATGTAATGTTTGTAGTATACTACTTCTCTGAAAGGCGGTTCAGGCCTGAGAATTAAATTGTCTCATTATTAATGGGGCTTAAAATATTGGAATTTTTCTATTATTAAAATCTCGAATATCTTGCTAGTTATATTCTTAAAAAATCCATATTTTTCAGAAAACGTTCTCTTATTGTTTTGCGATAGGTGATTAAAATTGCATCAAGGAGACACTATTACATTTTTGGTTAGAACTGTTTAAATATAGCTGAAATTTGGAGAAGAGCAATCGAGTGGAGACACTATATTGCTTATAGGAAAAATATGATAACAGGTGAAAGTTAGCGTTTACCAACTAAAAACCTTCTCTTTTAAAATTAAAAATGGTAAAGACTAAATTTATTATCATAAGGAATGAAATATTTGCACTTGATATGGCTTTTTTTTAATTTTGGCTGTATTTAAAAATCTCTAAATAAGAAACTAATAAAGTCTCAGTGATGAAATTTCCACTTATTGAAACATAATAAAAATACGTTTTATGAAAATTTTACTTCTCCAAAGTATGTACTTTATGTCTTCCGAGGTCTTTGAGATCTGAAATATCCGATTTCAGAAAAATAACAATAATTGAAGCCACATTACTAAAAAAGGTATGTATAGCTCTGAGGCCTGAACCTCTTCGGAGAATTAGCACACTAAAAACACTCTATCCAGAAAAGAATAAATTTATGTATAAATGAGTCAATGAACTATATACCTTCTTAGAGTTCTTAGCAAGGAACATTTCTTAAAATACCACAGAAAATATTGGGGCAGGCCAGAGTTTTGTTTACCTTGATGAGAACACTATGTAAAAAAATATTTGACCATAGTAATTTTCATCTCTGCAGATGATGGTTGCCTGGGGGAGGGGTTTAGTTCAATTTCGACCGCCTCACTCTGACCATCATCTTCTTAACGGAGAATAGAATATATAAAACACATTTAAAGAAAAATTATCCAGGGAAATTGAAATAAGGACACGTTAATTAAAAAAAAAAAAAATATTTATTAACAAAATAAATAATCAATTATTAAAACAGAACAAAATAAAAAACATTTTACATAAATTTCAGTTCTTTTAATTAATAGTTTTATAAGTAAATATATACTTTTGATCACATTGATTGAAATAAATTAACTGAAAATCCGTAATAATCTACAAAACTATTCAGTCTTGAAAAATAATATAACTAATATTTACAATATGAACAATCTTATAACAGCCTCGTACATCTATTTACACTAGGAACTTAAAATTTGATGTAGGTATTTTTCTTAGTCGACTTCTTCAACGGTAGGGCCTCGATGAAAGTTGTTCCCAGCCTGTTGACCACAAGAAGAGCCTGCGCCACCATTGTGCATCTTTGTCATGTAAGATACACACTCCTTCTGAAGCTCTTGCAGCTTATGCTCGTACTCCTCCTTATCGGCGAGGCTGTTGTTGTCGAGCCACCTCATGGTTTCCTCACACCTGGCCCTTACTTTGCTCTTGTCCTCTTCGCTCAGTTTATCTCCGGCCTCGTCGGCCGCCTGCCTCACAGAGAAGACATAGCTCTCCAATTGGTTCCTGGCAGCTATCCTCTCCCTCTGAACGTCATCTTCTGCTTTGTACCTTTCGGCCTCGTTGACCATCCTCTCTATTTCCTCTTTAGAGAGTCGGCCTTTGTTGTTCTCTATCCTTATGTTCTTTGACTTTCCAGTGCTGTTCTCCTTGGCCGAGACATTGAGGATACCATTCGCGTCCAGGTCAAATGTGACTTCGATCTTGGGAACTCCACGGGGTGCGGGAGGGATACCTGTCAGGTCGAATGTACCCAGGAGATTGTTGTCCTTGGTCATGGCCCTCTCGCCTTCAAAAACTTGAATGGTGACTGCGGGTTGATTGTCGGAATACGTGGTGAACGTCTGAGCCTGCTTGCAAGGGATCCTGCTGTTTCTCTCTATTATCTTCGTCATGACTCCACCGGCAGTTTCGATGCCCAGGGAGAGTGGTGCCACATCGACCAGGAGCACGTCTTGGATCTGAGAGCTCTGATCTCCGCTGAGGATAGCTGCTTGGACGGCAGCCCCATAAGCAACTGCCTCATCCGGGTTGATTGATAAATTGAGAGGTTTACCATTGAAAAAGTTCTGGAGGAGGTTCTGTATCTTTGGGATGCGTGTTGACCCTCCTACTAGTACAACGTCATGGATGGATCCTTTGTCCAGCTTGGCATCTTGCAGGGCCTTCTCTACAGGTTGTAATGTTGACCTGAAGAGATCAGCGCAGAGCTCTTCAAACCTCGCCCTCGTCAATCTGGTGTAAAAGTCTATGCCTTCGTACAGGGCATCTATTTCGATGTTGGCTTCAGTGCTAGAAGAGAGAGTTCTCTTGGCCCTTTCCGCAGCCGTCCTCAACCTCCTCAATGCTCTTGGACTGCTCTTCACATCTTTCCTGTACTTTCTCTTGAACTCTTCTGCCAAATGATTTACTAGCCTATTGTCAAAGTCTTCTCCTCCCAGATGAGTGTCCCCAGCGGTGGACTTGACTTCGAACAGGGAGCCCTCGTCTATTGTGAGAACTGAGACATCAAAAGTGCCACCTCCAAGGTCGAAGATCAAAACATTCCTCTCACCCTTCAGATTCTTGTCCAATCCATAGGCGAGGGCGGCAGCTGTAGGCTCGTTTATAATCCTCAGGACGTTCAAACCGGCTATGGCCCCTGCGTCCTTGGTAGCCTGCCTCTGAGAGTCGTTGAAGTAGGCTGGAACTGTGATAACTGCGTCTTTCACTTTGCTTCCCAGGTATGATTCGGCAGTCTCCTTCATCTTGGTAAGGACCATAGAACTTATCTCTTCCGGAGCGAAACGTTTCGTTTCGCCTTTGTATTCTACCTGGATTTTGGGTTTGGAACTATCGTTGACAACCTTAAAAGGCCACAGTTTTAAATCTTCTTGAATTTTGGGATCGTCGTATTTCCTGCCGATCAATCTCTTAGCATCGAAAACTGTGTTCTGTGGGTTCATGGCTACCTGATTTTTTGCCGGGTCTCCGATGAGTCGCTCAGTGTCCGTAAAGGCGACATAGCTCGGTGTCGTCCTGTTGCCTTGGTCGTTGGCGATGATCTCCACTTTTCCGTGCTGCCAAACGCCGACGCACGAATAAGTTGTACCAAGATCAATTCCTATAGCGGGCATTTTACTCACACAACTCGAAAATAACACTAGATAGAATAAATAGGTTCGAGCGAATAATCGCACTCAAGTATTCGTATCGCTTTTCAGTCAGTATACTGCCGGGCCGGGAGCCTGGCGAGGTTTATATATCCGGCGGGAAGTTCTAGGCCGGCCCAGAACGTTCTTTCGAATCTGATTGGTCGAAACCGGCGCCCGATTCGCGAACTATCTAGAACCTTCTCCAACCGCCCAGATTTGAATAGAACACACTTAAACATTTCAAAATTCGTCGCCATTTTTTACTATTATACTAATAACCAACGGGAACACATACAATACGATATATGTTAGCAGATTGTAAAACATACATGTTCGTTTTAATACAGTTATTCTTTTCATGAAAAACTGTATCAAAGGAACACGTCTTCCTGTCAACATATTAATGAATTATGTTTTCGATTCCCTTCTTTCATATCACTAAAATTCACCAGAACGAATTCCGGGCGTTACTTTAATTTATCGAATATAATAATAACGTGAAAATATCCCTGCAATTCTCAGGTGAAATTATCTGATCCATGGAGCCCTAAGGAAATAAGACCATCACATGCAGGCAGATCTAGTCAAAATATTAAATGAACTCTCTATCTCATTTCTGTCATTTTCAACATGAACTGGACTAATATCACTCATTCAATTCTTCCTCAGCATATTAGAATGTTGTTGAAACATAGGGCGCCACGTTTAAATTTTTGACTAATTATTTAGCCATTAATTTGCACCCTGTCACAGGTTTCTTTTAAGCGACAGTTGCGCTTTTATTTTGGTTTTGTTGTCTACATCATCTTATAAATACACAGTACCATTTGTATTTGACCCATTAATCGGAACTATTTGCATTAAATCTTTCAATGAAAATTATAGAATCCTAAAAATGCTGTTGTCATGGCGTATCGTTTTATTATTTTTCTAATCTGCTACATTTACTATAAAATTACTACATAAAAAAGATGTGCGGCTGTCCTATGCTCTATGTGCATTGTAGTGCTAGAGCACATAAACATTGGGTAAACGGAGATGAAGTAGTGATATTTATGTATCTTAAAGTACGCTATTTTCATGAATAATAATAGTTACAAGACAAAAATAAAAAGGCACAATAAAAATATTTCAAAGAAACCTGCATCCTTATGTAACTTTCCATGCCCTTTTGAATATTTTTTCTATTCTTGAAGAGCCCCTCCATCTGAGGGATACTTTGAAGTTTAATTTAAAAAATTAACTTATTGTTAGAGATCATCTTCCCAAAAAGGTATTTAACATTTTTTAAAAAGAAAAGTTAGGCAATTTATTAAGCTTTATAAAAATAAATTTGAATGTTTCCGAAACATAGCCTCGCAGATTTTTTTTTTTTTATCCTCCCTATTGGGTGTTGGATTGGTTCCAGATTAGCTACCTTAATTTCATACAGCTACATTAAAAAATATTCTAGTTTTTATACGGTTTGTTATGACACTTAAAGCCGTCGTGGATGTATCCAGAGGATGGCAAGGTGGGCCTGAAGCCCTCTCCCCTCCTTCCAATGTAAAAAAAAAAAAAAAAAAAAATCTAAAATAAAATAACAAATTTCAGAAAAAAAGTTTATCAGGGTCTGGTTTGTTGAAAGTATTTCAACATTACGAAAGAAAATATTAACGAAATAAACAATATCTCACATAAATTTTAATTAATTGCATCCCCTAATTGAATAATTGCCATCCTTTCGAATTTGAGCTTGCTACGCCGTTGCTTAAAATAAAACTTTTCAAATGTTTTATTTATGCTCTTATTACATTTAGCAAATCAACAATACTTTAAATAGAATACAGATGTGGCAGGGTCTGTATAACAAAATTTTATTTGTCACTTTTGACTCCATTGAATATCTCAAGGAATTAATACTATTTCAAAGAGATATCATGTGCATAATAACAAGCCTAAATTGTATGGAAGCCCATAAGTCTTCTACTTTTCTAACTTCCCTCGAGACTACCAAAAATCACACTCCCCATAGATATTTGTTAGGAAAAACTTTTATCTTATTAGCTCGGTGACAGTATTTGAGAAGAAGATTGTGGTACTCATACATTTTCTGGTCTGCAGTTTAAAAAAACTAAAAATTAATTCCTTCCGTGTTTGATTTTTTTAAAGAAGTCACAACTTGTAATAGGTAATAATTGTCAAAAAATAAAATAAAATAGTGGATATGGTTGACTGTAGTAAATAATGGTTGGGGGGAGGGGTTTTCAGGAAAAATACAAAGTATTTGTTTTTAGTTTGTATTTTGACTGGACACCCCAACCAACTCCTCTTCTATAAAAAAAATAAATTAAAAAAAACTGCAAAAACATAATTAATATTATGCTATTATGCTCCAGCACTGTCACAAATTATTATAAATGTACAACATAACTTTCATATTTAGAATCCTGAAATAATGTACATAAAACTAACACAAAAAATACTGGAGGTAATTAACACAGTGACAAGATAGTTGTCAATTACACGACTGGCACCAAAAGTCTAATTATCTAGTATGGTGCCGATAATAAATTTAAGTTCAAATATATCAAATAAAATGACAACTTTGTTAATACGGTGTAAATTTAAAAAGATATAAATTAAACAAGGAAAGTGAGCGAGATTACAATTTATAAAGTGTGTGTGGAAGAGGTACAAAGCTCAAATAAAACATTCTAAGATATAAATTTTTAATCGTTTACACTAATTGTCAATGAACTATTGCTCCTGGAAATGGAAATTAAAGTTTACAATGGGCAATTTGAAATGTATGACAGCAGGAGATATTTAATTATGGGTAAATGAACAACCTCATGAAAGTGCAATATTATTTAATATATTGTTAAAAAGTATATAAATCATGTAAAACTTGTGGATAAAGATGAAATATGTGATATTTACTTGGTGAAAGTTCTGAAGATAGAGAAGATATTCCCCGAAAAGTTAAATTTAATAAAAAAAAGAAAGAAATTGCCAACTAAGCTACGGATCAATACAGAAGAAATCGACCAATGATGGTTGTTGACAAAATTATTTAATATATATATTGTTTTACCTGCGTTTCTGTATTATTTTCAGAATGTCGAAAACAGGTATTCAGTAATTTTCTAGAAAACATCGTTAAAGAGGATAAAATATACATTTTTTTTTCCCCCTACATAGAGGACTCTGTCTCATGGTCAATGAAATTTATGTAATAAAACAGATAACTATTAATATTTTCAAACTAAAAACCTTCCCTTTTAAAGTTAAAAATAGTAAAGACGTTAGTAAGAGCCACTTTTATTACTGCTTTTTTTTTCTAGATGTAATGTTTGTAGTATACTACTTCTCTGAAAGGCGGTTCAGGCCTGAGAATTAAATTGTCTCATTATTAATGGGGCTTAAAATATTGGAATTTTTCTATTATTAAAATCTCGAATATCTTGCTAGTTATATTCTTAAAAAATCCATATTTTTCAGAAAACGTTCTCTTATTGTTTTGCGATAGGTGATTAAAATTGCATCAAGGAGACACTATTACATTTTTGGTTAGAACTGTTTAAATATAGCTGAAATTTGGAGAAGAGCAATCGAGTGGAGACACTATATTGCTTATAGGAAAAATATGATAACAGGTGAAAGTTAGCGTTTACCAACTAAAAACCTTCTCTTTTAAAATTAAAAATGGTAAAGACTAAATTTATTATCATAAGGAATGAAATATTTGCACTTGATATGGCTTTTTTTTAATTTTGGCTGTATTTAAAAATCTCTAAATAAGAAACTAATAAAGTCTCAGTGATGAAATTTCCACTTATTGAAACATAATAAAAATACGTTTTATGAAAATTTTACTTCTCCAAAGTATGTACTTTATGTCTTCCGAGGTCTTTGAGATCTGAAATATCCGATTTCAGAAAAATAACAATAATTGAAGCCACATTACTAAAAAAGGTATGTATAGCTCTGAGGCCTGAACCTCTTCGGAGAATTAGCACACTAAAAACACTCTATCCAGAAAAGAATAAATTTATGTATAAATGAGTCAATGAACTATATACCTTCTTAGAGTTCTTAGCAAGGAACATTTCTTAAAATACCACAGAAAATATTGGGGCAGGCCAGAGTTTTGTTTACCTTGATGAGAACACTATGTAAAAAAATATTTGACCATAGTAATTTTCATCTCTGCAGATGATGGTTGCCTGGGGGAGGGGTTTAGTTCAATTTCGACCGCCTCACTCTGACCATCATCTTCTTAACGGAGAATAGAATATATAAAACACATTTAAAGAAAAATTATCCAGGGAAATTGAAATAAGGACACGTTAATTAAAAAAAAAAAAAATATTTATTAACAAAATAAATAATCAATTATTAAAACAGAACAAAATAAAAAACATTTTACATAAATTTCAGTTCTTTTAATTAATAGTTTTATAAGTAAATATATACTTCTGATCACATTGATTGAAATAAATTAACTGAAAATCCGTAATAATCTACAAAACTATTCAGTCTTGAAAAATAATATAACTAATATTTACAATATGAACAATCTTATAACAGCCTCGTACATCTATTTACACTAGGAACTTAAAATTTGATGTAGGTATTTTTCTTAGTCGACTTCTTCAACGGTAGGGCCTCGATGAAAGTTGTTCCCAGCCTGTTGACCACAAGAAGAGCCTGCGCCACCATTGTGCATCTTTGTCATGTAAGATACACACTCCTTCTGAAGCTCTTGCAGCTTATGCTCGTACTCCTCCTTATCGGCGAGGCTGTTGTTGTCGAGCCACCTCATGGTTTCCTCACACCTGGCCCTTACTTTGCTCTTGTCCTCTTCGCTCAGTTTATCTCCGGCCTCGTCGGCCGCCTGCCTCACAGAGAAGACATAGCTCTCCAATTGGTTCCTGGCAGCTATCCTCTCCCTCTGAACGTCATCTTCTGCTTTGTACCTTTCGGCCTCGTTGACCATCCTCTCTATTTCCTCTTTAGAGAGTCGGCCTTTGTTGTTCTCTATCCTTATGTTCTTTGACTTTCCAGTGCTGTTCTCCTTGGCCGAGACATTGAGGATACCATTCGCGTCCAGGTCAAATGTGACTTCGATCTTGGGAACTCCACGGGGTGCGGGAGGGATACCTGTCAGGTCGAATGTACCCAGGAGATTGTTGTCCTTGGTCATGGCCCTCTCGCCTTCAAAAACTTGAATGGTGACTGCGGGTTGATTGTCGGAATACGTGGTGAACGTCTGAGCCTGCTTGCAAGGGATCCTGCTGTTTCTCTCTATTATCTTCGTCATGACTCCACCGGCAGTTTCGATGCCCAGGGAGAGTGGTGCCACATCGACCAGGAGCACGTCTTGGATCTGAGAGCTCTGATCTCCGCTGAGGATAGCTGCTTGGACGGCAGCCCCATAAGCAACTGCCTCATCCGGGTTGTTTGATAAATTGAGAGGTTTACCATTGAAAAAGTTCTGGAAACTTTGGTTCACTTTTAGGTATATGCTTAATAATTCAAATTATTAGAGGATTATTTCTTGCCATGCATTATACAGCTAATATTGAACTAGCTTTTAATAGAGTAATCCATATCTGTCGAGATGTAAATAATGGATGATTATTTTTATCGTAAGTCAACTTTCATTGTAAATATACAATTTAATTGTAGCCACACAGACATATAATCTGTATTCATAGTTTGTTCTTAAGGGACAACAGTCCCAGAATAATAAAACATTTTTTTCATTTCATTTTCATTTCATTTCATTAATACGTTATGCTCATGCAAATTATATTTGTCTTTATATACATATTGGACGAGGATTATATTACGGGTCTTATAAATTAATTATAACTTGATCAGTTGGAGTTGCCCTGCTATTATTAATTATATAGACAGCATTTTTAGGATATGTATTACCAAGAGGACCAACATCCCTATGAGGTGCAACAGTAGTTACTAGTTTGTTATTAAAATTATACCTTTTATTCATCTTATTTTTTATATAATATTAGTTATTCACTTATGAAATGGTGCAGCTCCTAATTTTATTAGAATTCTAATTGTAATTAATATATTAATAAAATTTGAATAATTTAATAATTTTAATAAATTAATTGTAATTATTATAAATAGGATAATTCTTCTAATTCTTTGAATTAGAAAGTAAATTATAGCTGCCTCAGATCTTGATTTACTATTTTTTTGTAAAATTAAAGGAATACACCTGTTAATTACAGATTTAATTATAATACATGATAATTCATGCCACTAGGGGATCCAAGATTTAATTTTGGGGGGACTTCAGTTGGATAGTTTTTTTTTCATATATATAAGGATAATTACTTTGAAAAAAAAAGAAAAGAAACTAACTAACTACACTAGTGGATCCAGGATTTAATTTTAGGGGGGGAAGCATCAGCCTGATAGGTTTTTTTTTTACTTTCACTTAAGTATATATGTAATATATAGTAAGGGTCCTTTATCACTTCTGTTAGGTTAAGTATAGGGAAGCAAGGGTGAAGGTGATGCTGCCCCATCTGATATAGAATGCTCTGTCAGCCTTAGTATACTGCTCAAGACTCATTACATGGAGATTTGGGTTAGCAATTATTATTACAGCTCTAGGCCTCCTTTCTCTACTCCCTAGAGCAATAACTCTCGATGTGAGTCCAAATCCTACAACTTTACTTCTACGGCAGCTCGGTTCTTGAACCGCCATGATAATGTTGAGTGAGAGCTGCAGCTCATCTGCTACAATATGCCGTCGGCCCATATCGAGCTGAATAATGGAGATCCTATTCATACTGGGTTCTTCACGCGATCCCTTGGGTCCTCTTGATGCATGCTGACCAGTTTCGGTCTCCTGACTTGTGTTTGCTCAGGTTTGATGGAGCTCTTTTACGAGAACAATTTGCACAAGTCGGGTATGCTCTTTCCTTCTTGCTTGGACACACTTTTGATACATGGCCACTAGCCGCGCACCATCTACAAATTTTGTTCCCGACAGTACATGACGCTATAATGTGGCCATACCTCAAGTAATTTGCGCAGGAAGTTGCATCTACGAAATCCCTGAAGAACATCGCCCACCATCCGCCATCGATGGTTCTCACTTCCAATCGGTGGAATCGGATGACTGGGTGGACCTCAACAACCCAGTTCCTTGTCAATCCACCTCTAGCCTCCAGTGAAAAACGTGCTTGGATATGCTCTTTGATGTTCAGTTGGGGAGCCGACTTCTCAGCTGTTATTCTCCAGATATATATTTCAAGGTCAGCACCTTTCCACGAACAGGAAACCCCTTTCACTTCTAGCCTGAGCCTTCTTTTCAAAGCCGTTCTGGCTTCGATACGTAATCCTTGAGGCCTGTCCATTGAATCAGCTTCGAGGCCTGGGCATCATTTTCAACTTTGATGAGGAAACCTCCAGCCTTGGTGGCCCTCACGAAATAAGCATTTACGCCTAGCTCCGCCGGAGAGGGTAGGTTTAGGAACATCTTTAGAAGGCTTTTGGGCAAGGGACTTCACAATGTCAGCTATTGTTCTCCCTTTTTCCTTTCAGCTGAATGAGTCTGGTTAGTTTCGGTCTGTGATGTTCCTTGAGTTTCTATTTTTTCTTTTTATTCTTTCTGAAAATCTTGTTTTGCAGAGGTGGTCACAGAATGAGGCTTCATCTCGTTTCTCACTTCTTGTCTAACTTCATATGGTCCCGCTCCTGAAGGTAGAAGAAGTTGTTTTGTTTTCTTATCATCGCGCAGACCTTCTTTGATGTTAGGTAAGGCAACCTCCATGACTTTCCTGGTGATAATTTCATATATTTCCGTAGATGCCAAGGTCTCCTTTACCATGTGCCTCACTATGTGGATCCTGGACCTATACTCTATAGCTTTATAACACAGGGTTTCCAGGATGTCTACAATATTATCAATATTATCAATTTTCCTCAATATTGCTTTCTGCTGAACTCTATTTATTTTCTTTGCAGCAAGATATTCTTTTAAGGAAGCCTCGATTTTCTTAGCCTCTTAGGCAAGGCTTTCTTCTGTTTCTTCGTCCTCAAGATCAGGAGTTTCTTCACGAGGCCTCTTTACTTGTTGTCTTTGTAATTTTTCCGTTGTACAGGGCCCTTCCGATAAACCTTGAGCTTCAATTGTATCTGAGGTCTCTAATGCACCCGGAGTCTTCGCAGTCTCCTCTACTATTAAGACTACGGCATCTTCTACGTTGTCCTCAAGGTCCATATTGAGTTGGTTCTCACTCATATTAACCACTTCCAGGAGAGATTTACAAATAAGTTATAAATTTACAACTAACAACAAACTTTCAAACTAACCAAAAATTTACAAACTAACTTATGATACAATAATAACAATTAACTAACTAACTAATTAACTATCTATATGAAATGGTGTTTAAGTGACACTTGAAGTTCTATTAAATGTAATTACAAGAACAATAATACTTTAAAAGATAATTTTAAAACATTTTTCTCCATAAAACAGTTACATTTTACCATTTTGGAGAGGGGTCCGAAAGCCTCTCCTCCCTATAGATCCGCCTGTGATTCATGTTACTATAAAATTTGACGATTTCAAAGAATAACGTATTTTAAAAAAATACGAAAACGTCGGATTCACCGTAAATAATTAAAAATAGTGGCTGTGAGTCGTCTTCTAATTTTTATCTAGGTTATCTAGGTATATAATTATGATTAGAAGTTTATATGTATTCTTTTATGTTACATAATATTCTTTTAATTATCAACAAGCCTTAATTTTTATTTTCGTGTAATAATTCCTTTACTGTTTTTTTTTTAAATAATTGTTTACTATATCTTGTCTTGAACACTATTAAAAATACAAAAATGAAGATATTTTTTCGTATTTGAAAATCATTCATATTTTAGAATAAAATTGTTGTAATGCTTAAGTCCATGCTCTTTGGAATAAGATTTGCATTGATCAGAGAAATCATTCATAACCTTTCATACTCTTTGTTTGTTTTCTGCAACTGTCAAAGTCAGCTGGTTGAGGTTTAAGGTCTTAGTATCTAAAAAAATTTATAGCCTTTGAGATAGTACCACATCATGTTTCTGTTCATGGTCTCTTGTTATTTTAAACTTTGTTAAATTGAAAACTAATTTTTTTAAGATGACTGCTGTCACAATTGTGGATAATCCAGATCTAAATAAGTAATCATCTATATTATAATATCAATATCAATTTTGTTTTCAATGGATTTAACTTAATTTTTCCATGTATTAGTTTTTTAAGTTGGTTATTTCATAGTTGTTATTTGTAGACTTGATTTCAAAGTTTAATTTACTTTTATGGTATCTATTATTCATTCAGTAATTATTAGTTTTCTTTTCAAAATTTATGAAGTTATCAAGCATTAGGAATCTTAGAAAGTGCTATTATAATTGTATTATTCAGGCAAATTATTAATCAGTAAGTTCACTTTTACATTTCTGCATTTGTAATGGAATTGAACTTTACCTTAATTTCCAATAATTACTTGCCTAATGGGACTCGGGAATGATTAAATATGATTTGATTGGTCTCCACTATTTTTTTTTTTGTATGTTTTAATACTAAATTCAATTTCTTGCAAAGTAACAACATTAATATTTTACTAAAACATATTTCAAATTTTCTAAAGAATTGAATTTTACATAAACCTATTAAGAGTTTCACATATTAATTATACATGTTAATCTGAGTAATGTATTCTTATGCATCTAATTTGTAAGTATGTTGTTCTCTGACAGTTATCTTATTTTAATTATTGTCTTGAGAATTCTATTCATGATAAATTTAATAAACTGTATTTAATTTTCAGTAACTTTTGATTTAAGTCTTTATAATGACTTAAAAGTTTGAATTTTGTTACAATTGGTTTATTTTTATTTTTTAAATGTTAGTAAACAAATAAAGTTAATGATTTTTTTTTTTAAGGGTGGAAGTAGTTTGTAAAAGACTAAGGTTATTTAAATAATTCAAATTTAATTTGGAGATTGAATTTCATGTGTAAAAGTAAATGATTTTCGATACTGCAATGGTCTCTTAATAGAATAAATTAAAAACACATCAAAACAATAAAAAAGAAATAGTTGATAAGTTTTACAAAATTATGAAAACATTTTAACTAGAAAAATATATGTATCTTAGGTTATGGTAAGATTCGGGAAAATATTTGGTCTTCAAAACTGCTTTTTATTTATTTATATTAAGAAGTTCTATGTATTAGATAAATTAAAAAATAATTGTTATCTCCAGTGTGTGAAACGATTCTGCAAAACTGCTTAGAGTTTAATATTTATTGCTCCTATTCCTTTTAATTTTGCTAATGGGGTCTAACTAAAGCTTCGGAAAAAATTAAAAAAAAAAAATCCATTTCATAGTATTTGCCCTTTATTTATGGATAAATATTATTATTGTTAATAATTTATTTAAGTAAGTTATCATCTAATTAATTTCTTCTATTTTTTATTTTATTTTTCTGTACTTCTATTTTCAATATTGTAAAATGTATTTAGCAACGTAAGAAAATAATGTATTTTATTAAATAGTTTGTTTTAGATAGTTAATTTTCTTAAATATTTTTCAGTGCTTTAAAAACTGATGATTTTCATTTGGAAACTGCTATAGAACATCGGAAAAGATGGTTATCTATCAGACTCATGTATTTTACTGTATTTTTAATGTCTTTGGGTTTTGGCATTGCCATAACTGGTATTTGGCCATACCTCCATAAGGTAATAATTGTTCAGACAATTGTATGTTAATATTGCTTTTATGTTTTTAAATCTGTAAATCGGAAAAAAAAAGGCAAAGTTTAAAATTTGAATGAACTGTATTAAAAAAATCAGTCATTAATTGCTAAAAGTGTCAACCTCCTCCAGCTTTCTTCTTTTTTTTCCCTCATCTTCCTTGCCTTTTAAGCTATACAGGATTTTTCCTGACCTAGGGGTAAGGGCAGGGAGTTAATGCCAGAATTGAAAGCCTCATTTCTTCTTCCCTCCGGCACTGAGACAATCTTGTAATTATTTTATTATATTAATTTCAGTTAATCAGGTTGCTGGACAATATGTATACAAAACGCTCGGCCATCCTGTTCTATAGTGTCCTCCAGTTATTAGCTATTGAGACTAACTAATAGTGGGAAAGTTTTAACAATTAATGTATTAAGCCCTTTTAACAATTAATGTGTATCTTACCCTGATTTATTCTTTCGTTTCACTCTAATTTCAAAGTTTTGAAGATTGATCCTTTTTGTTCCAAGGTACGGGAATATACCTCTCATTAAATAATTTGATTATTAATTAAGTTTTTTAAAAATTAATGATTGAATCTTATTTGTGATTGAACCAAAATTCTAATCAAGCTAATAAATTTAGCTCGAAAGTACTAAAATAAATTAATAAAGACTGTCATTATCAAACTAGTCCAAAAAAAATTTTGTGTGATTACTTCATTTAAATTATTTATTTTAATTGATGAAGTTTTCTTATTATGATTAATGTATCAGTTATTAGTTAAACACCAATCACCAATTATTATTGGATGTATTATGTTGATTCTTATTTTATGACTAATAATTGGGCTTGCCTTATATAGTTTTTGTGGCATCACATTATAAAAATAAATTATATTTGAAATATCTTCTGCAGTTTATATAATGAAAGAATCTTTTATAATCAGGTTTTAATCTTTACTGAAAATGTTTATTTTTAATATAATTAAAATTGCTGTTATTTTTAATATAATTAAAATTGGAGATTTATATTTTTCTGTTTAACCATTTAAATTACATCTTTATGTTATTGGTGAAGTTTAACAGTATATTTATTATATTCAGTTGGATAAAGATGCTGGAAAGGAATTCATGGGCTATATCATTGCAGCTAATCCATTTGGACAAATGCTGTTTTCTCCAGTAATTGGTCTTTGGGCTAACAAAATTAACTCTACAAAGAAGCCCTTCATTTTTACTTTAGTTTTATTTATTGTTTCAAATGCAATGTATTCTTCATTAGAGCTTATTGACTCTTATAGACGTTATTGGATGCTAGCTACACGCCTGTTGGTTGGAATAAGTGCAGGTAAATTTTATTAAAATTCTTATTTTTTTATGTTATTTTTAGTCTTAAGTGTAACACTGTTAATAATAATGATGTTATAATTTGTTATATTTTTAAGTTGTGAGAATGAGAAAAACTAAAACAAAAATTGAGAGAAAGGAGGTAATTAAGATTAGTAATTCTGTAAGGTCTTACAGAGCTGACAAGATGCGAAATTTTTAAAAATCTCTAGTGTGCTTAAGATGATATACAAACAACTGTGATAGAAACTTCATAATTATGGCATAGGGGAGGATTTGTCCTCTGGTTATCATGGTGGCTTCCAAATCTGAATCATGTAATAACCATTTCCGCTCTTTGAGAGTGAACCCCTATTTGTAGGATTTGCCTGAACACCTATTTGCTGAGAAATCCTAGAAGGAGGTTTCATGGCACTAATTGTGCTATCAAATTTTTTGAGGGAGGCGCATTTTGATGGGGTTTTGAATTTTTGTGGGAAGAACATCTTTAAAATTAACATCTTTCAAACCAGAGAACAAGAAGAAAATATGGAACAGATCACAGCAGGTGTAGTTGTATACGATCTAAGGTTTTTCTAATTCCACTTTCACTTACACAGAAATAGAAGAAGAGAAATAAAATATTACCCCTGACTATTTCTATGGTACGGCTGCTGATGGTTAGTTTGCGAACTTTGAACTTGTTATTATCAAATTTAATTCAAATACATTACCAGTATAACCTAGAGGTTATTATATGTTCAACAACAGTTTTTCAGTAATCATTCTGATGAGGTTTCTCACGAAATTCTGTATATTTTCCTATAAGTTATCTCCATTTCGAAGATTTGATCACATCAGCTTAATGTTTACTTCTTTTATTGAGCACGATTTGTGTTGAAAACTTTACCTTTTGATGAAATTTTCTATTCTTTAGCTCACGATGCTTCAGTGAATGGTCAAGAATGCTTTTCAATATAAATTAAAGTGAAAGATGCTTATTAGTATCTACTAGATATGTTAAGATAAATTCTGCAAACTCATTTGCTTCAACATATTGTTTTGAAAATGTATTCATCGTTATAGTATGTATTATCAATTATTAACTTTGTACTAAACTTGGTGATATCGCATGAAAGCCAGTGTTGTGAACAACAATATAACAAAGATAAAATTTTTTTTTTAATTAATTTAAATATGTTCCTTTCACTTATCCAGTATGCAAATTTAAGTCAAAATTTATTCTATATTCTTTTACAAAACCTCTGAGTTAAAGATGAAATAAATTCCTAAAGGATTAGTTATTTTAATTAGTACTACAGCAATCTTATTCTGTACCAGTTTTTTTAATGGATTTGTCGAATTAACATATGCAAGAGTAAAAGGAAAATGTTGCTTACCATGTAACATAAATATCGCTTATGTTAATGATAGTTTATTAATGATAGTTTTAAAAATTAAGATTGATCATTTATAACTAATATTTCATTTGATATATAATTTTTTTAACAATATCAGTGATTTCTTTATTTTTATTGAATAACTTTGTGTTTAGCTGTATAAATAGTAAATCTTCCATGTAATAATGACACTATTGCCTAAAATATTTTATTTTTTTGCATGCTTGTCAAGGATCTATTTTGAGGTATAATAAGATTATTTTACTTAAATCTCTTATTACTTGCACACAATGTTCTCTCTAAATATGCTTTTCTCTCTCCAAATTAAATGATTAGTTTTTAGGTATTCTACTTTAGAATATGAATCCGAGCATAGATTATTGTGGTTCATTCTTATTACTTGCACACAATGTTCTCTCTAAATATGCTTTTCTCCCTCCAAATTAAATGATTAGTTTTTAGGTATGCTACTTTAGAATCTGAATCCAAGCATAGATTATTGTAGTTCATTTAGATAAGCATTATAATTTCATTCAATATTTTTATTGTCTCTATATCTAAATAAATTGTAATAATGCATAAATACTAATTATGGGCGCAATACGATAAATGTTAAAATCTAAGCATTCCTACATACAGGTAGTTTACTGTTGAAAAATCCTATTGAGACTTTATTCTATCTTTTGAAATTATTGCTTTGTTTTGGTTTTGTATTTATTGTAGGCATGGAAAGTATAATAAGAAATTAAAACTGTAATATATTCTACCAGTAAGAATACTGTAGTTGAAATGCATGTTTTTTTAATCCATTACAGGTGCATTGAAATGTTACGGGAAAAGTTATTATGTTGATTCATTATCTCCATTAATATTATGATATTATATTTATATTATTACTGTATAATTTAGGTAGTATTTTTATATTAACTAATATTTTTAAGATTGGGTTATTTTCTATAGTTTTCCGAGGATCAGTTTGTCCTTATGTGTCACTTAGTTGAAACTCACTTTTTATTTTTTTTTCTAAACCTCCAATTAAATTCACTTATATATTCCCATATTAAATCGTCATCTTTTAATTATATGATTTTAGAAAGTTATGGAAAAAACAAAATGTTAGAACTTAGTTTAGTGCCACACCAGTTGGCCCTTGGGCTGAATTATGGTCAAACTATGATACTATTTCAACTCAAAATATAGATTGGGTTATTATTATGACAAATCAAAAATTATCAATAGTAATTTTGTAAAAAAAAAAAAAAGACCTACATCCTGAAATTTCTTATATTCTTTTGATTTAATTTGTTTGCAAAAATAAGTATAGCTATTTGTTTATTAGTCTATTATTGTTTGTTAGTCGTTAACAAATGATTTTATGGTTTATTGAAATAAGAATCTTTTTAAAAGTAATTTTCAGATTTCTTCATAGTTTAATCTGGTTGCTATTTTTAGTCCACATATCTCTGTGTTGAGATTTGTGACAGAATCTGCTTAAACAAAAGGACCCAAAGAAAAAAAAAAAATTGAAAAGCTATATTCTCACTGGGAAGGCTCATTGAATTTTGATTAGGCTTAGTTTCAGTCGAGTTTTTATTTACAATAAGGGTTGATTTCTGAGTTAATACAGTCTTGAATTTGTTCTTAACTAACTTTTCTGAGACAGAATATATGTATTATTCATCTTCTCTTAGTCTTGAAGTACCCTCCTTTAAGTACTTTAAGACTTTATTCCAGCGATAAACATATCCGATGATTATGATCTGGTTACAGAAAACTCAGTTGTGAAGTTGGCCTATAATTTAGCTTCTAACCTCCTAGTTATAACAAAATATTTTCTGTAATAATGTTGTAAAAAGAAAATTTACAAGATTTTGTTCTATAAACAGAATGGAATGGTTATAATTATTACTAAATTGAATCAAACTAATACTTCATTTAATCAATGCATTTTGTTGTCCTATTTGTGAATTATATGTAAAGATATACCCTCTTATCAGTTGCCGGAATTAACACGGCTTTGATTATTAAAAAGAAATAATTAATGAAAAAGATGTAACATTAGAAATTGCTAAGATTACAAAGGATTATGATACAATTGATAAAATTTAATTCGATCTTAATTTTGAATATTATTTTTATTTATGTGAAAGCTAATGCTTGTTAATGAGAGAAAATTAGATAATATATTAATAAATATATATGCTAAATTTAGCAATCACTATATTCCTTCCTTAATGTAATATGAAGTTGTCCAAAATATTAAACAAAATTATGACTTTTGTGAATAATACAAATAAATAAATTGTTAAATTTGTGGATACTTTATAGTGTTCGTTTACTGAGAAAGTTCACTGTATTGGATTTTGTTAATTATTTTTGTATTTTCCTTTATTTTGTTTTGTTTTTTCAGTATATTCTGGTAGCTGTTATTTTTTGTATCTATTATTAAATTACAAGTTATTTTATTAGTTGTTTTAATTTTCTAGCAAATATTGCTATATGTCGATCATATTTATCTGCTGCTACCAAACTTCAGGAAAGAACTGGAGCTGTCTCAATGATATCACTTGCACAAGTTCTTGGATTCATTGTTGGTCCAGGTAATATGTTAATAAATACTTTTCCTTGTTTATGTTAGGTGTTCTAATGGAAGCAGAAGTATAAATATTAAATATTGTTTTTCTGTTGTTGATTTAATTACAATTTGATTCTGTAGGAATTTTTTACTTTCACTTTTCTATATATGTAATATATATTGAGTTGGCAAATATGTCCTTTCGGTTTTTCTGGGTGAAATAAAACTCATTGTATTATAGACATAACATTTATTTTAATCAACAATATACTTACCTTATTATTTAATATGACTTTTTCCCTTCTTTCCACTAACTGCATAATGCCATGTTCATAGAATGTCTGGAGTTTATTGTTAAAAAAACTGATCCAAGTGGTTTTTGATGTCCTCTTCCTTTTGGAATTTCTTTCCATTCATGGAGTTCTGCAGAGACTGGAATAAGTGGTAGTCACTTGGAGCTAGGTCTGGTGAATAGGGAAGGTGGGGCAAAAGGCTCAATAATTTATTGAGTGACCAATAAGGCGTGGGACCTATCGTTGTCTTGGTAAAACACAATACCATTCCAATCATTCATAACTCTTCAGGATGTTCTCCAAATTTGATGTTACTATATCCGTTGGAAAGCTGAATTATTGCTCTTCAAAGCCTCATGGACGGTTTTTTGATTTAATGCCTATATAAGGAATAAGTTAACAAAAACTCCTTATAGGTTTTTATTTTTTATCTCCATTAGTAGTTTGTTTACAAATGGTCCTGTTAATATCATTTTGTGTAGTTTATGTGGCCCTAAATTCCTGCTAAATTTCTTGTTGATAGCTAAAGTCGTATTGGAGTTATAACATTTTTTGTGATTTTTGAAAAAAAAAAAGTTTTCTATGCTTGTGTGAGACACATTTAGGGTCATAGCAATCTTCTCGCACTGATTGGATGGGATTTTTATCAACAATGGCCTTAGCATTACTTGTTTCAATTTCTTGTGGGCAACCAGACCATTGAACATCATTGATGTCAAAATTTCCCGAATGAAATTTGGCGAACCAATTTTGATTTATGCATTCGGTCAAGGCATCATCCCCATAAACACTGCAAATTTTTTTATGAGCTTCTGCAGTGCGCTTACCTTTTTTAAAATAATACAACAAAATATGCCGATAATGGATGATATTTTCTTCCATATTCACAGTGAAATAGCAAACACAATACTAAGCTAGTTTCAACAAGATTTAACAGATATAGTGAAGAGAAGAATAGTTGGGATGATCAGTCAAATAAGAAGGCAAAAATAAATGATTATATTTATTTTGACATTTGTCGACGTTTCGATCTGAAGTTCAGGCCTTCATCAGGGCTGTCTCAACCAGTGTTGAACGGAAAAGCAAACTTTGGCAGAGGAAGCAAAATTTTTGGCTTCTCCATTCAACACGGGTTGAGACAGCCCTCATGAAGGCCTGAACTTCAGGTCGAAATGTCGACAAATGTCAAAATAAGTATTATCATTTATTTTTGCCTTCTTATTTGACTGATCACCCCAACTATTCTTCTCTTCATTATTTACGACAGTCAACCATTTTACCCACAGTTAACAGATGTAGTTGTCGACATATTACTAACAGGATAAACAACCCACCTTAGAGATTAATTCGTCAAATAAGAAGTGTATCATAGTGACATAAAAAAATCAGAAAAACTGAAAGAACTTATTTGCCAACTCAATAGTAAGGGAAAATAATGCAATCATGAAAATTTTCAAATCTGAGTTTATAACAAAAAAAACAATTTGAAGTTCCTACAAAATAGTTTGTTTTTGTAAACAGTTTAGCTCAAAAAACGAAAAGACGTACGAAACTGAGATTACGTATTTAAGATAGGTGTATGACTGAGATGTTACAGCCACTTTTTCCTTAAAATCTGCTAACCAGAAGTGCCACTTTATATCAACGGTGATACACAGTTTTTATGTATTACAAATAAAAATGGAAAATGATGTGGAGATGGTTGACCATCGGTTCTAATTTCAGAAGTCAGTCAGGGATGTGGTCAATATATAAAATACAATTATGTATTAACTTCTTGAGAAAAAAAAATTAAAATAATTATTGGCAGCCATTTTTTGAGAAAGAGTAATATAGTTTATTGTATTCATCCATCAATTATTTTTGTTTGTAAACAAAAATCCTATGTAATAAGCCGTCATTATAAACTTCAACTTTCTCATTATTGATATTTCAAACTGTAATAATCATTTCTTCATTCCATTTCAAAGCCAGTTCAGATCTAATAAATATTAGTTGCAGATATTTGGTGAACACTTTCATTAAACTTTCTATTCTCAATATAAAACGTATGAAAGTAAAAGCCTATTCTTTTCCTTATCTCCTCCTTCAAAAGCATTCTTTGCTTTATTGTCCTCTAACAAAGCTTCTGGACATGACTTTTTAAATTGTTTTTTCACTTGTTCCTTAAGCGTGATACTTCTTCTGGAGAATGTAGTATTATTTCTTACATGGTTATTATATTTTGCCTCAAATAACCCACTTTTGTGATAGTCAATTTCCTGCCACAATTCGTTCCTAAATATACAAATTCTATTTTTTTAATATAAAATGAAAAATAAAGTAGTTCCTCTTGTTGGGTGACAATATTCTCCAGTAAGTGTTAAACTGAATTTCATTTGTATATGAAGAGTGCTGTTGAAATTGACTCTACAAGAAGAAGGTATTGGAGGTGAACGTTTATCAATGATTGCTTACCAAATCCAGTCATCCCTTGGGCACTTCAATTGATATTACTCAGAATCAGCCCATGTTAGCAAAATATTTCACTCTACTTTTGTCTGAAATCGTTCGAGATTCGGGATAAGAGAATAATTTATGCTAATCGGAGGTTTCTAAAGAAAAATAAGGCAAAAATTTTGGCCTTACCAAGAAATTAGTTTATATTGTCCAAAGTTTCATATCGTGTGAGTTCATGTTAAAGGGAGAGATTACTACAGTGGGAAAACTTTATGAGATGATGGCTTATGGTCTTTCATTTTCTACATTTAAAAGAACTAAATTTTTGCAGGTTTGCAATCTCTAGTTACTCCCCTAGGAGACGAAGGTTTTCCCTTGATTAAAGGGAAGCTTTCAATGAACATGTACACAGCAGCTGGATGGATTAATGTATTACTTGGCATCATAAATCTTATCCTGTTTGCATTTTTCAAAGAGAGACCCATTGCAGCTAAAGAGGCTATGGTTCTGTGTGGTGCTACTTCAGGTAATTTATTTAATTTATATTATTCATTGTATTTTATTTTTTTGCTGTTCAATAATATAATTCTATGATTAATAAGGAAGAGCTTTGTTATTTAAATAAATGTAAATATGTTTACTATTTATTGCTTGGGTATTCGTTTAATTTAGAGATAATGGCATTTATTTTTACTCTTTGTACTTGGATTGGTTTATTTTAGTTGTGCTGGTTTAATTTTAGCTTTCCAAAAGTCTTATTAGAATTTATTTGGTGTTATAAGTCATTGTATTAACGAGTCCCACTATTTCCTTAATTACTAATCACATTCTCGGGAAATATCTGAGAGTTTCATTTTAACTAACTATTCAACAAAAAAATTTCTGTCCAGTAAATCAGTACTTATTTGTTCCTAGATGTCCAAAACATAAAATACGATTAGAAATCTTCAATTTTGAGCATAAAAACTTTTAACCCTCCTACACTAATATAAAGCTTTCCTACAGTAGTGAGGCAGCTTACTACTAATTACATAACATTGACTAAACAACATCCTTTGTATTGCATTTAATCATATCAAAAGGGAGATTGTTTAGAAAATTAACCAGGCAACTATACCTTAAATATTTAGACGAATTTTACCTGTCACACCGCAAACTTATGGCGAATATGAATGAAAAATTAATTTTTTTCTGAAATTAAAGTCCTCTTAGAATAATAACAGAGTTCAGAAAATATATACTTCAGTCTGACATGTGGATATGATACAGATATATCCAAAAAATACTAAGAGAAGATACAGATATACAGAAATAAAAATAAAATGGCTCTTATCATGGTGAGCAATTGTATTTACATAGCCTAAAAATTCTTATAAGCTGGCGGAAGTTTGAATGTGTAATAGGTGGTGGAATAGGAGTCGTTTGAAGGAATTTATGGAATTCCCAAATTTAACTATAGTTCCAACCTTCTGAGATGCCAGAGACTAGCCGAAAACTGCAAGAGAATATTGACTGTATCCACAGGTGAGCAGAAAAAGATGAACTGAAGCTGAACACAGAACTAAGGCTATCCTCATTGGTTCCAGGCATCTCATTAGTTCCCTTCTTTTCTCTCCGACAGTCAAAAACTTTGGAGTAATCTTTGATCAGAACCTCTCTTGGAATAACCATATTTTCCAGATCACCCGAAAATCCAGAACTATCCTCAAACAATTCCTATGATATTTTGCATATGCTGTGAAATCATCATCATCATCATAATCACATTCCTTTGTGATTGACCATCCTTATAATGGTTTAACCTTCGTAAAAAAAAAATTATACCAAATAGCAATTACTATGTTTTTAATTAAAGATACTGTATTACATGATAGAATTATAAAATTAATAGTTCTTAAATTGAACCTAATTTCACAACACATTGTGACAATACATTACTTGGGTAAAACAGCACTCTCAGTCAAGTTACGATATTGCCACACTTAGCTGCAAATATACCAGGAAAAGTGTTTCTCGCATATCAACTGTCCACGTGGAGAGGTACCTCTAGAACAAACATGTGCATCTCACTGGCATCGTCATCATTTGGAGCACAGGGATTGCTGTGTTGGTTCTTGTATTCCATTTCAAAACAGTGTTCCAGCTAAATGGAGATGTCTGCCACCCTGCCGATGTTCCAAACGTGGGCGATGTCAAGGCGATCTCAACAACAATGACTTCATAGAATTGGCTTTGTCCAAATCACGTCCAGTTTGAAGAACTTTTTACAGTGTATTGATAGATAGAGAGGTTACTCATGTTTATTTAAAACTTATAATCATCACATGTGAACAATAACACTATCTATGCTATATTAATTACCTGTTGGGTGCAACTTATGCAACCATGGGCTTGGAATAAAATAAAAAATAAATAAATCGTATATCATGCTGAAATTATCCTTGTTCTACACTTTGAAGACAAACAAATTTATTACATTATAATCTTAGGTTATTAGCTGAAACGAACCCATAGCTGAAAAGTACGAACTCTTCAGCCTTTGATTTCAATAGGTTTTTCATTAAATAAAAAAGTAACTGTAATTTTAGATGTCAGAATTATCTGTTTCTTGTCATTCATAAAAGTTATATATTAAAAACAATAACCATTTTATTCTGCCATAGCAGATTAAATATACAGATATTTCATTGAAGGAAGCTAGTCGACTGTTCTACATATCTTGGGTGATAAATATTCCGGACGCAGTCTTTTTAAAAAAAATTTTAATTTTTTATTTGTAAACGTTGGCACGAATAAAAAATTTAATTTTTTGTTAAAAAAGACTGGTGCATGAATATTTATCACCCATAATACAGATATTTCAAAGTTTTTTGAAGAATGCATTTTTACCAAGAACCACAGATTGAGATCAACGGAGTTATATTCTCAATTCATAAAAATATTATATATTTTTCTTAATAAACACGTTTATAATGCTATTGCATGTTTGTTGTCTTACAATTTATTTCAATTTTTAAAATCTAAACTTGATACCAGTTTTTTGTCTGTAGTAGATTGGTAACCCATACCCATAGAATCCTTCCTGCTTTAGTGAGAGTATATAACCATGTTAACTTAATGTAAAATAAAAATTCTAATCCTTTTTCTGCTTTTATTTTTTTATTTATAACTGTTAATAGTTTATTAAATATAGTTAGTTAACTGTATACACTATTTTTATATTAAAGTTTAATTCATACTTTTAAGATTTCTTTTTGTTTTATGTTATTTAACTTTTTTTAGCAATCATGAATGAACATACTTTTAGATGTAACAATAATCTCTCCCTCTCTCTTTCTCTCTCTCTCTCTTTATATATATACATGATCTGCATGGATTCTAAGTCATTCCCGAAAGTAGACAGATTCAAATACCTCGGCTCCACAATAACGTCAATAAATGATCAACCAACAGAGATAGACCAGTGAATAACAAGTGCGAACAGATCTTTCTTCTATCTTTCAAAGGTACTGAAATCCAGAAAAATCTCCATAAATCTAAAACTAAGGGTGTACAATGCCGTGATTAAGCCAGTTCTGCTATACGGTTGTGAAACCTGGGCTCTAACCAGCACACTAGAAGCCAGAATTGAGTGATTTAAAAGAAAAGTTCTACGTAGGATAACAGGACCTATATGGAACCAGAACTTTGACACATAAAGGAGAAGGAACATATATATATACTTTTTTTTTTTTTTCCTGTTGGCGCTACAGACAATAAAGATTTTTGACCGTGAGTGTGGTCTCCTAGACTACATCCCGATTCCCGATTTAAAGTACGGGGTAGGGTCATCAATCCTACGCCCGGTCGGTTTGAGTTGCCTCCAGTATGCTGACAGGCCTCACCTACCCGAGGGGGAGGGAGGGAGGGAGGGAGAGGAATCTCGTGCTGCGTGGCTTTCCTTGATGGACGGTCACCCATCCAAGTGGTAGCCACGCTCGGCATTGCTTAACTTTGATTACCTATTGCAAGCGCCCTAGCCCACAAGGCTACCCCAGCTCCGCATATATATATTTTTTCTTATTTTATTTATTTATTCTTTCCGTCCAAGACTCCCACTGAAGTCCTATACTGTATATATATATATATATATATATATATATATATATATATATATATATATATATATATATATATATATATATATATATTTTTTTTTTTTTTTTTTTTTAATCATAAATTCAAGTTACCAAAAGAGAAAAAAAAATTGTGGTTGACTTCATCAATAGATAGTCAATTTAAATTTTGTCATTTTATTCAAGTAAGTCACTAAGTACACTTTTGAAAGGAAACTTTCAAGTACTCTTCTACATCTTTATCTTTCTCTTAGAGCCGTTATTAGTGTCGAGGGGCCTCGATCTAGTGGAGCCAGTTGGTCCAGGTCCGACACATCCTCTTTATTTGAGCAAGATGTTTCCCCTTATATTCTTATTGCATACGTGATCTCTCTTTGTTTTACCAACCAATCTCTGCAGGTACTTCATTTTCCCATCCATGATTTTGCTGATGTGTTTGTTTAGTATACTTTCAGATATTTATTAGTGAATCTTCATTTTATAAACACATTAAGAGCTCACTATTCTGGTTTCATGGATAGAAAATTGATCACATTACTTAGTGGTTTCATTTTATAAAGTTTTATTCTGATTTAGCATGAAATACACTCACATTTGTGTGTAAATGATTAGATACCTATAAAGTTATTGTATATGGTTATTACATTAGTTATTTATGTATGTAGTCAGAGACAGTGAGGTTATTTGTAAAAATTTCAGTACCTTTATCTCACAATATCTTAAATTATTTTTTCAAGTTTATAAACCAGTAATTTTGGAATTCATTCTTTCATTAAAACACCAAGCTGCCACCTTCTGAAATATAAGTGGCTATAAATCACCTCAACATTCATTTCAATAAAGATATATAAAATTTAAAATTAACCTTTGGTAAATATGTGAAGCTGAGTATTGAATTGAACAAAAGATTGATTAAAATTGAAAAGCACCTGTAGGCCCAATAGGAGCATCTACAAGAGGATGTGATTAAAAATAAAGTTCGCAAATCCAGAGTGGGCAAGAAGTCTGTTCACCTGAATAAAGCAGAACAGAGCTTATTATGCAAATCGCTTGTGATCCATGGCATCCCAGCAAGACTCCTGCTGCCCTAGTGACTACTTTTGGAGCAAGTATGGACATGAAGCTTAACGTCAAAAACCTGGACATAGTACCAGGAAAGACGATCCATGACCGCCAACTGTTATTTTGCCAGGCAATTAGTGGGAGTATCTGACTTAGAAATGAAAAGTTAAGAGACAATTTTCACCACTATATATTTGTAGACAGGAGAATAATTGCCATCTGATTTATCTGAGCTAGGAAATGAACCCCTGGATCTATACTAGGTTGCCTAGAGAGCTGAAGAAAAATTAAATATGTGTGGTTTGCTGGTGGCAGAGTTCTTGCTGGAATGAGGATAGTCATCGGTTAATCTTGATTAACCAGGCTTCAGATCTTTTATTTATTTTATCTTTTATGCATTTTTTTTATTTATAATCAATATTTTTTATATGGATTACCATTTTTTAAAATATATTTTTCATTTTATTATTTTTTTTTTTTAAATGTATGATTATATTATGTGTATTTATTTAAACTAGTGTCCGCCCAATGGTTGCAATTCAATCATAAACATCACTGAACATTTAAGGAGACCATTAATGAATTTGCATGTTTCCAACATTTTTTTTGTCGCCTTATTTATCCGTACATTCACATTTACATGTACCTCTAAAAGAATAAATGCAGTACATACCATTTGCGAACCAATCGGTGAACAACTTTCGGAGATTAGCTTTTTTTGAGCAAACTAACATTTATATTCTTATTTATATTTCCTATTTCCAATTTTTATTTATTGATAACACTAAAGCTCATCTATAGCTACTAAACAAAAAAAGAAAATAGGTTGGGAAATAGAGGAGAAAGAGACTGGTCTGTTTTGCCTTTGCCTATTTTTATAATGATATTTTTAAATAAAAGATATAATTATCATTTAGTATTATTATTCCGTGAGCGGGGTAGTCGAATGGGCTAACGCATGTGCACAGCACCGCCGTTTCCCGGCAACCTGATATATCAATCAAATGATATAAAATAGTCACGAGTTCGCGTCCCGGTGCCGAGGGAGTCTTTTAAATCCCCGCCCACACTCTCTGGTCTGTGAAAACCCCGTATAGCCTTAATGGCGAGGAAGGGGAGGGCCCAAAAAAAAAAAGTATTATTATTTACTTTTTTCAAATTTTAAAATATATTTTTGATTATTAAGGTTATGATTAAGGTTTTTAATTTTTATTTATTCAATGTACAATAGTAGGTCTTCTGGCAAGAAATTTTTTTTTGTTATTTAAATTGCAAGAATTTCTTGCTTCTTATGTTACTTTATTTTTTTTTTCTCAATAATTAATTTTTATTGAAATAGAATATTATCTTCATTTAAATAAATATTAGTTAGTTTTTCCTGTTCAAATTGTATATTTTAATTTTGTATGAAATAATGTTTTATTGGCCAATTCATTTCACTAATTTGTATTATTCTTTTGCATACTTACAAATTTTTCTAAAATTGGCCTCATATAAAATTAATTTTAGACCTCTAGAGATTATATATATTCTAACATATGCATACAACCTTTACAGAATGCTTCTGTCGACTTTAGAGACTCCTGTTTTAATCAATTGATTTTACTTTATCTATTTTAGTAAATTGATTTTATTAAGTAAATTTACTATCTGAAATATAATGAATTGTTTTAAAACTGTGATAACTTCATCATAGAATTGCATTATAGCGCAGTGAAATTAGGTATGTTACCTTGCAAAAGGTCAGGTATTTCAAATTTCTTTTTTATATTGTTAGGTATGCAGTGACTTTAAAAATCCAAGTTTTTGCCCTTGAAAGCCTTGTAGGTTCACTGTAGTGCTCCCAAAACCATTGAAGTTTTTTTGTTTATGTTAAATAACTCCTTTTTAAAGCAGCATGGATAAAAAATGGTTATATTCAATCTTAAACAACTTAAAATTATCTAACATTTCCGTATATAACATTTTTTTTTAAAACCAACAGTGTTACAAAGGAAAATGTATTCTCCAGATGCTTTATTTTGGGGAATTTTTTTGTTATTGTTGACCATTTATTTGCAAAAGACATTTGATTTTCAACTTTAGTTTTGAACGATTTGAAAATACTGACTTCAATGGTGTTTTTTATTGCCAAGGCAATAATTTAATATTAAAATTTTTTCATGTTTTATTTTTCTCTAACTGCCCAGCTTTAATAAAAGGCCAATCATAGTGAAATTAAGCCAAATGCTGAATCTCAGTGACCAAAAAACTAACTCAAGTAAAAGACGTCAATCTGCTATGTTTGAGTGCCATTATAGGAATATGCGGCCACTTTTTTTGTGGGAACATTGGCTGTTTTTAAATAAATAGTTGCAAGGAATGCAACTATATATAATTTATTGGGATGTGGGCGGAGGGTCCACGGTAGGGGGGTCGGGTTCATGGTAGGCGGTTTGGGTCCTCCGTGTTCATACTTTTCAAAACACCTCCTGACTACCGTCTACCTTTCCAGTCAATAGCCCATTATCTTCAAGGAAAACCTCCAAATTCTCTGAACGAGGTTCAAATTGGAGTTATACATTTCTTCTGTTCAAAACTGAAAGAGCACTATTGTGAAGAAATCAATATCGGTAAATTTTGGAAGCTCGATAGTTCACTTCCTGTTGTATTTAGATAAAAATTTTATGTTCAAATATGTTAGATAATTTTAAGCTGTTTCTGATCGGAAACTTGGATTTTTTGTATTCACTGCATACCTAACAAAATAAAAAAGAAATTTGAATTACCCGATATTTTGCAAGGTAACATATCTAATTTGACTGAGCTATTAGTAAGCTTCTTAAAATTTTACTTGATATCCGATCTGCTCATGCTCTAAATACTGCATTACTAACAGCTTAAGTAACATTGCGTATCTGGTAGTACTCTTATGAATTCTCTTCCTTATATTTTTTCCTAATAATTTGTTCTTCTTTTCCTTTTTTTATGTAATGCTAAACTTACAATTAAAACCAAACAATTGTTGTTTGTTTTGGCAGAGAAGGCAGCCTGGAAGGGTCTAAAACCTGATTATCTTTCTGCATGGACTCTCATCGTTGCATTTTTCGTCTTAACACTTAACTTTGTGCTTCTTGAAACGTAAATACCTAGCAGTATTGTTATTTTAATTTCAATGTCTGTTGTTACAAAGTTTCATTTTAAATATTTATATTAACATTTTCTCCCTACTTGGTTTTAGAATTGGAGTAATGTTGACAATGGATCAGTTTGCCTGGACTGATAAACAAGCTGTCTCCTATCTTGGAATCTTATTGTCTATAGGAGGAGTTCTTGCTTGTATCACAATGGCTGTTTTAAAGTCCATCTCAAAGTGGTAATGAAAGCATTTTTTATTATGCTAAATGTCAGTTTAAACATTTCAACTTAAACTTAAATGATTACTAACAAAATGAGAATTTTTACAATTTAATAATCTCAATTCAACTGTTGAGGGAATTAGTTCAATTTTAATGAATTGTACAAATTTATCATGTGTCATATTTTTCCCATGTTATTTGAATTGCAAAACTTTGATTTGCAAGACTCAAAATATGAACAATAATAGTTTTGATGATAAGCTGGGTTGACTGAGCCGTTAAGAACCACATGGGTTTGAAGACTATGAGATGTCAATCTATTATTTTCTTTATGTTTATATTTTCTACAGCTTAGCATGTTCTTTAGGCTGTTTTACACCGTCAAGCTTCTGGACCAGTTCCTTGTATGAACTCATTTTAGTGGTAAAATTTGTACCATGTAAAAGGGTTGTGTAAAGTCGCGGGTCCAAATTATTTGAAAATGTTGGAAAAACACATGCTACATCAGCACTCCTTACAAGAAATGTACTGTGCTGGTTATACCGCCATTTCCATTGTTATTTTTTGTGTCTGCGGCGTGAAAATGTTTGTATGTTCACATGAGCAAGTTTTAAAGTTAATAGAACTTATAAAGGCCATTTTACATGGTCAAGCTCCTTGACCAGAGCTTTCTAAGAATTCAATGTAGTTTACTTAGTCTCAATCCGAAATGATACAAAATACGTAATTCAAGTTCCCTTTCTCATTGATAGGAATGAGAGGAGAATGCGGAACAGAGAAAATACCTATACTATATAATAAAATATACACAGAAAAATATCCATAATAAAATAATATGATACATATAACTTTTTGATTGATACGAAAATTTGTATTGTCTTAATTATTGTTATTTGTAGTTAAGAATCCAATTATCAGATTGGAATCCTACAAGTTATATTCATATCTATAATAATAATAGTAATAAAAGGCTTAGTGAACCCAAAGGTTTTATGCCGACACTACCAATTGCCGCTGTCTACACACCTCCCTCCACCAGTTGCCATCCAAACCCAGTCCCTTCAGATCGGCCATAATGCAATCTTCCCACCCTCGCTTCGGTCTACCCCTTGGACGTTTACCAGTTGGCACAGCAAATATTAACCTTTTAGGAATTCTTTTGTTACTAAGTCCAACAATTTTACAAGCCAATTTAATTCGCTGTGATGTAATCATCTCAATTATATTAACCTATTCAGGTCTATTAAGTTTGTGATGTTCTCCCCCAGTGGTTAAAAATTTAATTGCTTAATTTCAAGTTCTGGACAAAGCTTTGGCTGTGTAAAACGGCCTTTAGGCTATGCTGATGATCTGGTCATCAATGCAAAGTCATGTAGTACCATCTTAGAGACATTTCTGGCATCGGAAACTTAAAAGCTATTTTTGTTAATTCTTTAGATCATGGCAAGAAAGTCCAGATTGGCTCATTTACATATAATAATGAATGGATTATTGTCTTTAAGAATAGAAAGGCTAACTTCACTTTCAAGATGACAATTCCTCATTCCAAGTGAGCTAAGTAGCTCTGACTTCATGTTCTCCATTCTAGCCATTTTGTTATTCTCTTATACTAATAGCATCTTTGAGCTTATCTTCATCTTATCTTTGTCTGAGAAGATTTCTATCTTTGTTTTTGTAACATGCAACATTGGACTTGACATAATGTATTCATTATCATACGTTTTGTGGTGAATACATATTCTCCGCCTAATTTAAAATTCTAAACACTTTTTAAATAACGTTTTTCATCTCTTGTAATTTACCAACTCTAATTTTATTCCAATCCAATAAAAATTCAAACTTAGGTTGTGACACAAAACATGCTTATACCAATTTGTATCTCCAAGTAATCGAACTATTTTGTCATAATATGATGCATTTATTCTTAAATTAACCGTCATGAAATATTGTTATTAATTAGAATTGTTACATTCACTTTAGGTTGTTGTCATAAATATCAAATCTAGTTGCAGGCATTTGGATCAAACATAATATTAAAATTAAATCTTTATTTTATAATACTATCATTTTTTAAAATTATAATTTATAATCATTAAAAAAAAAAACACTGGATTTATATTTTGTTTTTATCTCTTCTTTTTCGTTTATTTTTTTTTAATATAAAATAAAATAGAAATCTGTAATATGTAATGACACTTTTTTTTAGGTTGAATGAAGTTTTATTACTGCTTTGGGGAGGATTTCTTCTAATGGTGATTGGTAGAGCAATTTATATTCCGTGGGGTCCAGACCCTCCTGTTATTGCTTATGTATCCAATGGTAATTTTTTTAAAATAATTAATAATTTTTAACTATATTAGGTTTGTTTAAAATTTTTGTGAGCATTTGTGTGTTTAATCTTGAATAAGTTAATTTGTTGTTTTAGCTATTTTTCCTTTTAAGCTTAAACAAATGAGTTTAATAACAATGGAATAATCATAAGTTTTAAGTCCACTGAGGATTATCTTACTAAAGATGGATATTGATTTTTAAAATGTCTCTTCCATACTTAAGTAGTTCTAAGTCATGTTTACCTAGCTCCTATAAAAGCTGCTAGTCGCCAGATTTATACAGCCTTTTTTGATTAATCAGCACAGAATAAAAAAAAATAAATTGTAATTAATGGATATTAATAAACAACTAACTACTGGCCCATCCAATTGGTCCAACTTTGATCAAATAATTTTTTTAAACAAATTCTATCTTTTAAGTGCCTTTAGTTTTTTCAAATTCATCTTGATTTGATCACACACAACATAATATGTAATATGACAATGTCCATGATAATTATGTATTAAATATTTCTAGATTTACTTGATAAATGAAAAATAAGTTTGCTGATAAAACAGAGTCAATTCTGATACACACAAAATAAAACAACTCTTTTCATATGACTCTGTTGGCCTTTGCTGTTGTCATAAATGGGAGTTCGTAGCTACCCTTAGCAATAGCTGCATTCTTTAGTTATTAGCTAACAACAGTGTTAGTTAGGCAAGACTGAAATACTTCGACTCATCTTTCTCAGAAAAATAAACAAAATATGATTTGTATTGTTAGAATTATTTTGTTTGATATTGACTAGTAGTTATCATTATATAGCGATGCAGATTAGTGAGTAAAGCACTGTGATGCTATGGTTAAGATCTTGCGCTGTGGGAGGTAATTTTATTCTGTTACATCAGCTTTCGATCAACCCTAGGATCAGGAGATCCTCCTGGGGCACACACAGCCTCTATAAAGTACTCTTAGTTAAATAATTAGGGAAAACCTGGTATTTGAACATGGTCACCTCTCTTCATAATCTTTGATTTAATTAGTAATGGTTTTAGTGGTACAGATTTAATTTTAGTAGTATGTACTTTCATTTATTAAATAAATATGAGGTGCACATTGTTGCACACTACATTGCATTAATTCTTGAAACTTTTCTTATGAATGTATTATATTCAATAATAATATCATTGAAATTATGATTATTTTTTTAAAATGTAGCTACAAATTCGACAGAAGACATACTAGGCTGCCCAGATATTCAAGAATGGTGCCTGTACACTCCTGCTTTGACCCTTACACAGTTCCTGATTGGTTTTCTTCTGACTTGTATCGGTTATCCACTTGGGATAACTTTAATTCAGACCATTTTTTCAAAAGTGCTTGGTCCCAGACCTCAGGTAATTATTATCGTTTTAAAGATTTAGCTGAAAGTTTTATTAGTTTCTTTTTAAACATATTAAATATATACAGAGTGTCCCGTAAGTAGAGAAAAATTTTAATAGGAGTGATAGCAGACTTTAAGAGCTACAAAAAAAGTACGTACAAACAATGGGCCAATTTTCAGCAGGATTGTAGGAATTCCATATTTGGTGTATTTTTAGGTGTCGTGTTTTTTGTTGATAACTAAAGAATTATTTAATTTAAGTAATTAATAACTGCTTCACTAAACTGGAAAAAAATTAATATAAATTCAAATAATGTTTGTCATTGTTAAAATCATTTAAGAGGACTTTTGAGCGGCTAAACTAAGCCAAGTTCTGTTTTTTAAAAATTATAAATTATTCGTAATTTTTTTTTTTTTTTTATCATCCAACTATATTACAGATAGCTAGCTCACTTTTGGAAAAACTTTCTTGTTTAATAAGCTTGAATTCCATATTAAGCAAGTTGAGGTTTATTAGGAAAAAACTTAAGATTTACCTCAAGTTGTATAAAAAAAATGATGTGATCTTTTATCCTATCACGTAAAAATACTGGTGTTTTCAGCTAAAATGACTACAATTGATTGTTGTAAAGCTTTTATTTCTTGCTTTTCTATGATCTGGAATGTATTATAATAAACATGATTTCCTGAATACAATTTTTATTTATAAATATTTTTTATTTTAAATGACGATTTTTCCTATATTTTTCAGACAGTGTGTATGAAACTGTGTTTTTCACCCAGATACCTCTTATAGAAATTGATCCATATTTATAAGTGACAAACTAAATGTTTCTAGTCCTAAAATTTACGTTTAAGATGAAGAAATCTGCTGATCGATTCAATTATGTTCATGATAACATAAATATTAGAGGACGGTATGGCCAAGTATGTTGGGGTGTGTTTCTCAGAGTGCCCAGGTCTGAACGTTGTGGGTTCGATTTCCACCTCGGTTGATTACTTTTCATTTCTTGGCGGCTCTGGGAAATAGATCGTGACATTTCCACTCCGATAAGTCCGGGGCAGCAACCTCAAGGTAGCTGTCAGGGTTGGGAAAACAGTACCAGTAACATAAATATTAGGATCAGAAACATTTAGTTTGTCACTTATAAATATGGATGAATTTCTGTAATAGAGATCTGGGTGAAAAACACAGTTTCATAACCAGTTTGCCTGAAAAATATTTGAAAAATCTACAGTGTGTTTAGGAAATTATTTATATAATAATACATCCCAGATCATAGAAAACAACAAATAAAAACTTTGCAACAATTAATTTTAGTGATTTTTGCTGAAAACATGTACTTTTACGTGGCAAGATAAAAGATAACATCATTTTTTTACTCAACTTGAGATGAATCTCAATTTTTTTCCCTAATAAACCTCAACTCAATTAATATGTACCTAAAGCTTATTAAACAAGAAAGTTTTTTTTTCTAAAAGTGGGATATCTGTATTAGAACTGGATGGTGATAAAAAAAAAATCTTGAATATTTTATGATTTTTTTTTATAACACATTTTAGATAGATTTAGCCGCTCAATAGTTCTCTTTAAATGATTTTGACAATTATAAAATCTATTGGCATTTAAAGTAAATTTTGTCCAGTTTACTGTGAAGCAATTGTTAATTACTTAAATTAAATAATTTTGTGGTTATTGCTTCCTATTCAACATAAAACACGACACCTATCATCAAAATACATGGAACTTAGATTTCCTATTTTCTGCTGAAAATTGACCCATCGTTTATATGAACTTTTTTGTAGCTCTTGAAATCTGCTATTACTGCTATAATAACTTCCTTCTACTTACGGGACACCTTGCATCATAGGGGTTATTTGACTTATCATAGGGATTGTTATGAACAGTTAATTACAAAGGTTATTGATATACTTCTGCAAAATTTATTATATAGTAACAATGTTATTTTATGCAGGGAGTATGGATGGGCTGGATGACTGGTTCAGGCTGTTTTTCAAGGGTTGTTGGACCTGTCATGGTGTCATATTTATATACAAGAATGGGTACTATATGGACCTTTGGCCTTACAACTGTTATGATGGTGGCTGCGATGATATGGCTTCGTATAGTTTTGCGGAGACTTCAGAAAGCCTGTCTTAAAAATTATCAAATTGGTAATTCTTCATATTATCATTTTTTCTTTATTTAGTTTAACAACTTATTGAATTGAACATACCTTCAGAGGAAAATTTTTTATTGTTTTGAGGTCCTTAGTTCATTTTTGCAGTTTCGCCACTTAACCCTGAAACACTCTGTATATGATTCATATTAAATTTTTTTTATTTTTCGACTTTTTGATGATTCCAACTACCAAAGTACGGAAATAGTCCTATTGTGTGCAAGGTACCCGATTCAGTTTGTAGGAATCGGGTGCAGAAACCATAAAAAACTTAAAAAGCGGTCTACCCGTTCATAATAATTATTATGGCATATAAACATAGACCAATCGGTGAAAATGTGTTTTTGAATTTAGGTTGCAATAGGTACATATTCTCAAATTTCATTAAAAGATAAATTTATTTACAAAATTTTCTTAGCTTAATTTCCAGTTAAGGCTTTTCTCTTTTCTAACACTGTTGTTGGTCAATTCAAAAGTGAACATTAAAAATGCTAGTTGTTTTCTTGCGACAAGAGTCTAATGGTTTATAATTTTACTATGTTGAAGTTGATAATTATTATTCTGAAATTGAAATAATATCGGGCCTTATGGTATTTTTTATCAATCGATGATGGCCATCTAGGTATAACCACCCAGAGTTGGAGTGTCAATTCATTTCAGGCTGATGTCATGAAATTTATATTAACTGATCCAAGTGGGAAATGCACCCACATCACAACAAGGAACTCTGTGATTCTTCTTCAAATCACTTCTATTAAGACTTCTAACATGATGTCTGTTCTCTAAATAATTATTTTTAAAATAAAGCTGTCTTCCTTCGGCATTCTATGAAAATGATGACAAACACAAACTGGCGCCATGTTTTAAGATACCTATAAGGAAAACAGATTCTGAGAAGAAAAGAAGGAACTGAAAATTTAATGAACTGTATCATGTAATTGTTTACTCATGAGATTTAAATACTTGAAACTAATTTATCAAAATGTTACAGATGGGAACGATGCTCCAAGTCCAGAGATGGAAATAGTCGACACAACAAGAGATAGTTGACACTTTTATTTTAATCATATTACTTATTGCAGTCAGAACCAATTTTTATGCTCAATTATTTTCGTAAGCTAAATATTGCCAGGTAATTAGTTAAAAGATAGTTTGTTGAATTGTAAAGATATATTTTAATTTTTTAACTATATGGCATTGGCCATTATTGTAACTATTTTTACTTAAAATTATGTTTTCCACTCTTGATATTGAGGTATAAAAGCACAATCATCTTATGCCCGAATACCTATTTTTTCAGTACAAGCATAAAAAACTTTATCATTTATATTTGTAATTTTGTAGTTATTCTAAGATTAGCTCTGATTTTTGTACGTTTTGTCCTGAATAACAGATTTGAAATTAGAGGGGGGAAAACTTTTACTTCTTATCAGATTATAGTATTTATAGAGTATTTCATTTTCAAGGCACTACTTCTAGAAGTGCTAAAAAAAAGTGACATTTATAATAAGCAGACACAGGGGTGCCCATTCTCCCCAAGGTCAATGGCCTAAGAACCTATCTCTCCCTCCTCCTTCCAAGATATTTTAGTAGTCATTTTTGCTTAAAAACAAAGCAAGCTTTAGCTGTTAAGTCCTAATCTTAATAGAATTAGAAAAATCGTAGATCATATACAATTACACTTGCTGCGGTCTGTTCCACGCAACTTGCGCCAAGAAACCCCCTTTTGAGCACCCCTGAGTGGACATATAATAATTGTGCTTTTAGCCTTCAATACGTACTATTGTTTGTTTTTTTTAATTTTACAAATTTTCTTTCAGTTGTTATTAAGAGGTATTATATTATTATATTTTTAAAAATTGAACAAGATGCTAAGTGATAATTTTTAATGTTTATTCTTTTTAAAGTGGGTATCTGGTTCTTTTGTGGATAGAGAGATAAAACTAATAGTTGAGCTTGATTATTGGCCAGATAGATCACCTCCTTGCATAACATTGGTCAAGAAACAGTTCTTCCTTACTAAGCTTGAACCCAAGACTCTTCATGAGTTGTAATGGAACAGTTCTTTTTTTTTTTCTTTTTCATTCACATAAAATAAATACTTGATTGAGACATCTGGGGGCATATCACTTTCTCATAATTGAAAATGAGATTGTAAAAACGTTTAACAGATATTCTAGCTCACAAACAATATAATTGAGAAGTTTTTATTTATGTAATTAATTTGATGTATATGCTATGAATTCGGTAGGCAAAAATACTAAATTAAACAGAAATATGTGAAAACAAACTTAAATAAGTTATCTGTTTTTCTTTTTTTTTTGGTATGATGGGCTATTTTTATTATTTAAAATTCTAACCTCCAGTTTCTTTCCCATCCCTTCAGTCTTTCTATTCAATTTAGATGCAGATACATAATTGGCTCTTTCTATGACAAATTGAGTATACTATAGCTTTAATTATTATATATTAAATCTTACATTTAACATTTCTTACAGATGCTGAATAGAAATGGCCAGGTATTCTTTAACGATTTCTGAGGTGGGAAAAACAATTTTGCCTGTCTAATTGTTTATTTTCAAGACATTTAGGTTATCAGACCATCGTCAGTCGGTTTGATAGTGTAAAGGGTGGTTGTCCTAAGTAGCCATGTTCCTCTCCACTTTACACCACCAAACTTTCCCCCCCCCCCTTCATCCCTACCTTGTCTTTTAGGCTATACGGGGTTCTCCCGGGCCGGGGGGTGAGGGCGGGGAATCCAAAATCGCCTCCAGCACCAGGAAGCGAACTCGTACTTTTTAATCATTAATACAACTTCTGTTATCTGGTTGCTGGGCAACTCGCGGTGCTGTGCACACCCATTAGCCCATTCGTCCACCCTGCCCCGCTTACACCACCAAACTGACTGATGATGACCTCACAGCCAAAACGTCTTAAAAATAAAAAAAAATTGGTTTTCCGTTCTTAGGAATCCCTAGTAAATTGTTTACCCTCACCATAAGCACAAATATAATATCCTGATTTTATTTCATAAACCAAAACCCATTTTGAACCCACAAATTTTTTAAATGGCTCAAAACCCCACTAATTTAAAAATTTAGTATTTTTTTTTTTTTTTTTTTTTTTTTTTTCAATTTCTGATGAATAGTATTAATTTTTATTAAACTAGTTTTGTAGTTTTAAGGACTGGAGAGAGATGTGCTTCCAAAATTGTCTGATTCCCTATATATATTTATATTTTTACATAAATTTAATTTTTAATGTTTCTAATATTTCTCAGAGTTTTATTTATTCTCATATAACAGAAGCATTCGCATCATCACAGTTTATGGGCCTTTTAAAACTTTTTAATTTATTAAGAAACTTTTGAAAATATTGTTATTTAATATTTTTTATTATTATTTCGTAGTAACCAATTTTAATGACAGGAAAAAATTTAAGTTATTAATGTACTATATTTTATTTTATTGTCTTGTTTACTAGGCAAGGTTAATGAAAATTAGATTAAAAAAAAATAAGAACAAGTTTTCTTCATAAATATTTTTTTAAATATAAGAAAGTACAAAATCCTTCTCTGGGAAGAAACTGATTTGTTTTTTCACATTATTATAAATGTAAAACCATTCTATTATTAATACTAATTTAATATCCAAAACAAAACAAACAAAAAAATTGGCAATTTCATTCTAAAAGTCACCAAATTCAGATTAAAATATTTTTGAAAAAATCTACTCTGTTTTATTATAATTCACTACTATTAAAAAGAAAAAAAAATTGAAGTTAATTTTAAATATGTTACTCCTTTGGATTAGCCAAGATTTTATTATAAGGAACTCTATTATATATATATATATATATATATATATATATATATATATATATATATATATAATAGAGAAAGGACATATCTTGGGTTCAGTATAAATCTGATAGGTTTCACATGGTCAGGATCCAGAATGAATGCACCGACCAAGCCACTATTCAAATGGTGGACTTGCCCCTGCCTCTTTAAGTGGCGACAGCCAAGGCGGACAGGCATACATCCCTGCACCACCAGTGACCCAATTCCTAATGATAAGACATGGCCGTCCGCAGTCAAAGGGTAAACAAAATAATAATATGTCTTTTTCCTTTGTTACATCCATCCTCAATCCAGGCCTCACAATACCGAGTCAGCGCTTTTATTGAATTCATAGGTTTTCTCTTCTTTTCACCAATCCTGGAGATGTGGTCAATCCATAGCATTATAGGTCTTCCTCGAGAACAGTGTCCGGTAGACCTGGCCTCAAAAACCTTCTTTGATCACGGTCCTCATACATTCTACATAGATGACCAAACCATCCCAACTGCCTCTTTCTCTCAAAGATGCCACTCCCAGGTTTCTCTATATCCTTTAATTCCTAACTCTGTCTCTTCTTGTTTTGTCTGCTATTCTCCGAAGGTGCTTCATTTCTGCCCCAGTAGCTCTACTCCAGTGCCTGTCCAGTGGGACCCAGCTCTAACTTCCATAAATAAGGGTAGGTAAGTATATGGACTTAAAGATATGTAATTTTACACTTTTTTCCACCACTGCATAGCGGGTAGTATATGCTGTTAGCTTTCTTAATTTTGTTTGACAGCTCTTAGTCCATTTTCCCGCTTCTGCTGAGCACTACTCTGAGATAAGTGTACTCATGGGCTGTCTACAAGGTTTCTCCTCTGCAGCGAACCAAAACTTTAATTATATAGCTAACCTCTTCACGACCAATGTGCATCACCTTGCTCTATCCAACATTTAATATCATGTCCTTTCTTTCTAGCTCAGCCTCCCACTCAGTAACTGCCTGCTGTAGATTTTCTTTGTAATTGGAGATGAGGACAATATCATCTGTGAAAACCATCACTCGAGCAAGGACTGTCCTCATGTTCCACCTTCCCTTGACCGTCCGTGTTGTCTAACCCTTGCACATTCTTAATATTTCATCCATAAATATTATGAACAGAAGAGGACTAAGGCTGTCACCCTGTCTAACACCCCTTCTCATTGCGAAGGCCTCGGGCATTCTTCCGTTAATTTTAACTAATTCTGTGGGAACATTTTTAGTGGCTGAAGCTGTCCATATCTGGGGACGGAATCGAATGCTCCCTTTATGTCCCAAAAGGTTTTTCAACTGTATATATTCTTGACTATGTTCTCCTATCATTTTTTAGAAATTATGATTTCTCATTCTTTTACTGGTTTGTTATTAATTACTGATTCTGTAAAAAGTGATCCAAGTAGATTTTGGTATATGTTGTGTTATAAACATATGCATTTTATACAAAGAATTAGAGATTAAATGTTAATAATAGAATTTTTTTTAAAGTTCAAAGAATCTATTTAAAGAATAGCTTTTATATTCTGAGTATTTTTTTTTTTTTTTTTTGCCAACTCTATGTAGTTATCTAGAAAATAAATGTTTCCTAACCAGAGTGGGAATGCTAAGATTAATTTTATGAGCCCTCTCTAAAATCATTATTAACTGACCCTTCATGAGTGTTCAAGTGTCAAAATTTAAATTTTAATTAAGTCATAATTTACATCTCTTTTGCTTTAGTTAAATAAAAAAGTTAATTTATTTAAACAAAATAATTAGTCGCACTGAGTACTATTTATTCCTAGTAAATAACAATTTTTATTTTTTGAAATAGAATATTATATATATATGATTTATTTTTTTAGTGTTAACATAGATTTTTTTGGTTCATGCATATTAATTATAAATTGTACTGTTGAATTATATCATTTTTATTGATACTTATTAAGATTATGTATTTTTAATTGTTATGATTTATATATAAATATTTTAGTTTTTGGTTTATCTCGTATTTTTAATTAAATATTGTTGTTACGGGTATAGTTACTTATTGTTATATTAGCTTTTTACTATAGAGTAATGTGAATTCACATCCATTTTTTGTTAAACTATATAATCATAAACATTATGAACTTATGCTCGTAAAGCCTAGTCAGAGTTTTAGAAATATTTTATTTTTATTGACTAATTTCACCATTATTATAAAAGCACAATTGAATTATAAAATATTACTGCCATAATACCAATTGATATTTTTTTACTCTCTGATAAATAAATAAATAAATATATATATATATATATATATATATATATATATATATATATATATATATATATATATATATATATATATATATTTATATATACATATATAAATTTCACGTATTGTATTTCTTTTATGTTAGGTAGTAGAAAATATTGGACGAAGTTCTGCTCATACAGAGCAGGGCAAGGAAATAGTGTTTTTGAAATAGTCAAAACCTGCTGATAATTCTTCTGTTAAAAAATAATTATATAAAAAATATCATTGCTAGAATTATATTTACTGGAACCTTGCCTTGAAGAAATATTTGGAAACAAATCTGTGTAGTTTCTATCAATTGGTGCAGAGAAGCCTAGCAAAAGAAAAGAGATTGAGAGAGCGTCATGGAATTTACTTTCAGTGGCCAGCGTGGAGCTGTGGATGCTTGAACGCCAGTTATGAATACGGAGTCTATCTAGTAAAAAATCAGTAGGCACGCTGAAAAGAGAGAGTGGATGCCAATTTCCATGATGTTTGAATGATTTTGGACCTCACTTGCCTGCTAAAATTGTTGGCACATATTTCTTAAATGCTGTCTGTGTTGTGTTTGTAATATGATTCTAGTTATAAAATTTTTTTACAGATGTGATTATTTCAAAAACACAATATTTTCTGCCTTGCTTTGTACATGGGAAAATTTTCCTCTTTATAATCATCATTTATGTATTATTAAATAACAAGAAAAGAAATAATAGAAGTGTCTAGTCTGTAAAATATTAAATGTTTTTTAACAGTGATTTTAAATTTTAATATATTTCAATAAATCAGTTATCCACGAGTGATATCTTGTTTTTTTTTTAAGCCTTGTTGTTATATTACAGCATTGCAACTGGAAGTGATATGATACTATTTATAATATAGTTTCCTCGATTTCTAACGAAAGTTAAGCAGTTGTGATGACTAATAATGTCTGGTAGACTCTAACTAAGATAAGTTTGAGGGTGGGTGGGTAGAGGGAAAGAGAGGCAAAACATTTTCCCGCTTATTCCCCACTCTTTTGTCTTCTCTACTCATTCAAACGTACTTCTAAATTTTTGTTTACAATTAGAAAATTCTTTTATCATTTTTTTTTCCCATTTCTTTTCCTATTTCCTACGTTGATCTACAGGAAGATTGACTGTTTACATACTGCGATTCATTTGATTCAAGCTAATACAGTACAGTCTAAAATAATACATAATATGGAAAATTCTCTTTATTTACATTCAGAAGTAAATGAAAAAGGCTCCTCTCCATTATTGAATAATAATGATAACATAGTATCGGATTCTTTTCTGTTCTATATTTTCCTTCTATTTCTTGGTAAATTTTGACCTACAGATCCTAGTAATAACATCGAGTTCTGTGAACAGTAGACTTTGCGAATTTATATATATATTTTTTTCATTTTGATTATTTAACCGTCCTTTTCATTGTTTTATTTTATTTTTAAATTAAAATCCCTACCTTTAATAAACATTTGTGTGACATTTGAAGAAAATGGAATAATGATTTCCCGGTATAAGGTGGTTGCTATGGTGAAGAAGTGAAGAGGAGCTGGATAGATGTCTTGGGGAGGTGGAACTTGAGTAGGGAAAAGCTGCGCGAGCTTCCTTCCCCTACACTCAAACTTAACTTAGATACACTATACCTCAACAAGAATGTCAGAAAAGTAGAAGAGTAAGAATATTCAGATAATTTCTCTTGTTTTTAAGGAATAATTTTTTTATTCAGAAAAGATGAAACTGTTTTTACATTGGTGACTCTGAGGTATGATGGTGGAACTTATATTATTTTAATTACATTCATAAAAAACCATAATGATGTCCAGCATCTCAAGATTTATGCACTAAACACATTCTCATGACGAACAGCAACCTGGGTAATTTCTATTAATAATGATCCAATTCTGGAAGAAAAGATTTTGTTATAAATTTTTTTTCCTCTAGCATTTTTCACTCAGACCAACAGTTTTTTAGTAAAAGGCATTTGATCCGTCTTCATGAATGAAATAAACATCTTGTATATTGTTTTTGGACTATCTATTATACATTTTCTGCTAGAGTTAACTAGTCTAGTTTATTTAGTCTGCTTTAAAAATGGCGGTTATAGAATATTAACCAGTAACTCATAACCAGAGACCAGATTTTTATACAATTGCATATTCTTTTTTTTTAACCACTGATCAAATATCTATACAAATTAGAACACGGAAATGCAATTAGCCAAATTTTTTTGTACATATTTGAGGATAAATGCCTATTTTGATTAATTTAATGAAATAAACTATATATATGTAGAATTTTAATTAGTATATATAAATAAATAAATATTCATATATACAGCTTTTTTTTTTTTGGTTGGCGCTATAGACCATGAAGGTCTTTGGCTGTGAGATGTGGTCTCCTTACAGACGTATATTGCTTTCGGGAGCACAGATAATCTGCAGAGGGGAGGTACCCAACTTCACATTGTTACGAACCATGGTCTCCATAGCTCCATAGCCAATTCCTTTGGGACCAATCTGGTAGTGTCCCACCGACTCACTCTAGTTCAAGGACAGTGACAAATTGGTCTGGGTCCAAAGATTATGGCTGCTCAGAGTCAGCAGGCGCACGAGGTCGTATATTTCTTTCCTTGAAACAAACCATCCATGGACCAAACATCAGAGAGGCAACTGACATCTTGGTGCGCCACATCTGGATACCCGATTTAAGTACACGGGTTAGGGTCATCAGTCTCAAGCCCAGTTGGAGTGAGTTGTCTCCAGTAGACTGACGGACCACATACATATCTGGAGGGAGATCAGTCTCGGACAGCATGGCTTTCCCTGGTGGACGGTCACCCATCCAATTATTAACCAGGCTCCGAAGGATCCTGCGTTTTTAAGCCGAAAAATGTACTATTTTCGAGATAACGCAAGGCATAGGGTTCTCATCCGCACTACCTTACATTAATTGTAGTACTGTCATTGAATACATGTCTCATTTAGTCGACTTGAGGTCTCTATGATCGAGAGAGGTGGAGTTTATATTATTCATCGATGGTGTTTTTGATCGGCAAGCCATATCATCGTTAATTTTTCACCAAATCTCAAGATTGAGCCACCAATTTCGAAGGCTTCCTTCTTCTTCAGGCTGGAAAAATAGTCCAATCACCCAGAAAATTCAGGCAAACAAGTTATGAAAGAAAATAAACTTTATTTGCGAATAACTGAAAAATTACACTTTTCCCTTGGAAAAAAAATCATTGAAAACGGACAATTTTTAGCAAAGATACAGCTTATTGAAATTTGTAAACATGTTGGTTCCAAACAAAAATGTAGATTTAAATTAATTTTTGTTTTCTTTGTCGATTATATTCATCGATAAAGTAACATTTGGTTTCTTTATCTTTTGATACGTTGCATTATTTTCTTTTCTTATTAATCTGGCATTTGATAACAATATGCTGTGCGAATTTTTCACACGGGCCTAGTAGTTCAAGATTACTATCATAGGTTAATTTGAAATGAACTAGAAAAAAAAAAAAATTGCCTGCCTCCTGCTATACACTTTAATAATTCTCTTTATAGGTGCTCACCAATTCCTGGAAATCCATTTTCCGTTGATGTCTCAAGTAAACATCATACTAAGTTTCTATTTTAGTTGGTTGCCTTTGTTCTTTGCAAGAGATTATATTTCTGTTGACCATTTTCATCAAAATTGAAGTTTTGGATTGAATCTATATTTTGGTATCAGGCCAAGTGTGTGTTAAACTTTAGATGAAAAAATGGAAAAAGATTTTTATAAAAAATTCAGGCCTCAAAATACTGGAAGGTATTAATAAAATTTTAAATGGTAAAGATTTAATTGTTTCCATGGACCTTGACCTCAACCCGGTAATTTTAATTGTATATAAATTTACCTCTCATCATGTTTGTTGATATAGAAAGATCATTTTATAATTATAAAAATATTTTAAATGATAAAAGGTTTCACAGAAGCAAATTTAGAAATGCATCTGGTGATTAATTTTAATGCAGAACGTGTCTGCAAAACTGACTAATTCAAATGTTTTATCTATTTTACGTTACTTATTCCACAATTTGTTAATTATTTTAATGTTTCAACAAAGACTCAAGTTAGATTTTTATCTGAGGACTTGGTCGGGGAGTGCGGTCAAATAAATACTATAAATTAGAATAGTATTTTATTAGTTATAAAGTTTTGACCCACTTTGCAGGTCTTTATCAGGCACTGCAGGAAGCAGTTGCTAGACTGGTCGGATTAGATTTGTATCCATTAACATATATAATTTTGATGGGTTTGAACATACTTATTGTTTTTTTCGTTTTTATATACCATAGGTGGGAAACCTTTTTATCATTAGAGGCCGCAGTAAGGTTAGGGAGTGCTAATGGAGGCAGCAATAATTCTTTTTATTTTACCATTTCTATTTTTCTTTAAGATTAAATACACACACCCACATAATATTGTTATTTAAATAGTTAAAATATTAATTAATTCTAGCATTAGATTAATAAATATTGTGCAAAAACGTTTGGAGGCTGCATTTGGCACCCAAGGCCACGGCGTCACAGAAGCCATGGTTCACCACCCATGTTATATACTTTGTATTATTTTTACTTGTTTTAATGTGGTTTATGTTATGTTTTCAACCGTTATAATGTGTTTATATATATATATATATATATATATATATATATATATATATATATATATATATATATATATATATATATATATATATATATATATATATACTTATATATATATATTTAGCATATTTAGAGATTAAAAACTGTATTTTTCATGTTGTTTTTTTTGCTGCATACTTCAGGTTTTTTTTACTGCATATTATATGGGATATTCCGTAGGTTTTTACTGCATAAAAATCAGGGCCTTGCTCATAAAACCCGAATTGAGAGAAATAATTGACCTGCATTAAAAATGTTAGTATATTTCCTGTTTTGATTCTCATTTTATGGGCCTAATATTCTTTAAACCTACCGCCATTTTTGAGATTAGCGGCTGTGTAATGGTAGACTAAGTTCATTTTACTTGTATAACATACACTTTCATAATTTACATCCAAACTTATGCATTCAATGAGGTCGATTTTTGGGTTCTTGCACCAGGTTTCTATCCGGATTAGAAACTTTTATTTTGAGGCACTCACAAATCTCCTTTCTTATTTTGGCAAGAATAGATTAATAATCTGTAGGATAATCCATCCTTCCATACATAGATAAAGCGCAAATGGATTTTACAAAAAAAAATAACAATGATTTAATTGAATCTCAAAATTAATTTATAAATTCTTAGATATTACTTGATAAAGTATATGCACATATACTTTTTAAAAATATAAAATACATAAAATTGTTAGTTGAGGAGGATAGGTAATCTTGGCCAATTGATTTCTTTTTCATTAAGCATGATGAAATGTATTGTACCTCAACTAGGTCATGAAGGGTGAGTTATATTGGTTACCAACTTGTCTATCCAGAATTGAAAAAGAGAAAATTAAAATTTAAGATATAAATAACAAAATGTATATTATAATTAGCGTTTAATGTTAATATCTGACTACAAAAAGTAAAAAAATAAATAATATTTAGCGAAATATACAAGATTTAAATAAATACATGCAATAACAATTAAGGAACAAGATTAAAACACATATACATTTTAGGTTAACTACATAAAAAAGCATACATTTTACATTTCAGTCTGCTTACATAAATAATATAATAGATATTACAGATCTGTTCTATTGTTGGTTACATTTTTAACCTCTATAACCTAGCCACTAGTAAAGCTCTAAAAATGATATAGTTTATTTGTGCCAACTTAGGAATACTATCAATTTTCACATATAATTGAAACATGACATATTTAGCTATTAAATCATTATAACATATTATTGTATTCATCAAAAGAACTAATGTAAATAATTAATTAGGAATGGATCACAGAGAAAAAGTATCAAAGGAATACAAATATTTTTATTTTTATTATTTAGCTTCAATTCACCTTAGTTAGGGACTTTGATGACATTTTCGCTAAATATTCAAAATGTAAAAAATAAACGGGCTGAAAAATAAAAATATCCTTTTTTTTTATTAGTCATAAATTAAAAGTCCTTTTTTGAGCGATACTAGTTCTAAGTTTTACACACATGTATTTTAAACAATACCATAAAAAAAAAAAAAAACAGTAAAATAATTAATAATTCAATAAGCACTTAATAACACAAACCATCCTATGAAATTGAAAATTATTTTAACCAAAGATGGCCACAATCATAATCAATGATTACATGATTAAAACTTAATGATTTTATATTTGATTCAATAGCACTAAAAATACAGCAAAAATGTGACATGATTACCTGATTACAATTATAACAGTAATCGTCGTTTATGATTATGCCCATCTATGATTTTAACATATGATTTAAATGGAAATAGATAGTTCCATTAAAAAAATGTAAGAGAACATTTTTTAAAAAGAAATCGATAACTTTTGATACAAAATGACTAGGGATTTGTTCACTAATGACTGATTTCCATAATTATAGAAACCGACTTTACCAATAAAAGTGTATCTAACAGTGTTTTAACTAACAACTGTTATATATACTTCTAGTTACAGTTAAAATCTGTATATATTATATACAGCATTTAATAGTGTATGTTAAAAATGTTGAATATTACAGTTAGAAACTGTCATACTCCAATAGATATTTGATAACACTAAGTTTGTCTATTATCATATAAGGCACTAAGTTCAATATTTTCATTATTATCATTACAATGAAAAAATTTCAGATCTTATATAAGTTAAATTATAAATTCCTTTCTCTTTTCAATATTAATATCCGCATGAGGGAAGACTGAACACACTGTTCGGAAGCATCACTCAAGTCATGTGAAATATTAAAATATTTCATATAACTTGAAAAAAATTAATAATTACATAGTCATTATCACTGGTATAAATGTTTTTAAAGAAGAAAAGCTTGATTTTAAAACCAAAATTAGTAATTTTAAAAATAGTAACAAGAAAATGAAAAATCTAAAAATGATATCAACTAATCTCCTTCTAATTTGTTATGTTAATATTCTTCAATATTATATACCAAAAAAATGAATCTTTTCATTAAAAAATACATGGCTAAATTTTGATAATTTAATATGCATAATTTCTTCATTTAAAAAAGATAGTTGTGAATATATTTCACAATTTTTCGTTTCTATTAACCTTTTTCCTTGATGAAAAGTAAACTGATTGAACTGAACATCAAATCGACAAACCAATTTAAGTAGAATAAAATAGTTTAAGTACAACTGTATAAAAGAATAAAATAAATTTAAAAAAAAACAACAACTTTTAACACAGCATAATATAAAAATTATAAATTTAATTAAAAACTCGTTTAAAATGCTTCTTTTAGAATAAACACAGGGTTATACAACATAATTCAATATTAGTAAAAGAATGAGAATAATAAATAATTACTTAGATATAATAGATTTTAAGTTTTAAATTTTCAATATGGGGAAAAATTCAGTTTTGCTAGTTTGATATTGAATACTCAATAGTTGATTATAGTATATTGAGGAAAGAGATGGTGGTCATCAACAAAAACTTAAATAGTCGAAACTATTTTATCAAGCCGTATAAATAAATAGTTTTAAATAAAACTATTTTATTTATTTTTACTGGTTTTTATTAAATGCAAGAAAAAAATAAATGATTGATGAAAGTAACACTACCCCTCGACATCACTTGAAATTAGCCACAAATTTCTATTTAGCAAAGACTTTTTGTGTAAAAAATAGGGTAGTAGAATATATCATTAGTAGGTTGTAAAAAGTTGCAAAGTACATTTCTGACTGAGTGAAAATTTTGTGAATTTCGACCTTATTTATTGATACGAAAACACACCAAGTGCATCATAATGACACAAACTCTTTTAAGCATATAAAATAATTACAAAAAGTTAACTCTAATTCACAGAAATAAAATTATCATAATACTTAATGATGTAACTCTATGAAATGTTAACTTAACGACTTTTTGCAATAAACCAATGATATTTTAATTGAATAACATTCAGTACTTAGTCAATTAAATAACAATAGTCAGAGATTGGAAGATTTCTTTTTCTCTAAAGGCACATGGAGTTTTTTAATATCACATTTATTTGTTTTTTATTTTCAGAGTAATAAAAAATATGAGTTAACATTGAGAATTTTTTTGTTATAATTTTCCACACATGGAATATTGAAAACTTTTTAGGGTTTAAGTACTTTTCCTATATTAATAATTTGATCAGAAATATTTTTTGAGATTCTTCTTATGCAGTATAAGTATATATAAATACAATAACAACATACAATTCCTTTGAAAAACGTGATATCTTTGATATTTAATAATCAGAAATTTCTTATGAACCATATATATATATATTTTTTTTGCTCCTATAAATATTCTCAATATTAATTCATATAAAATAAAAAAATCAATACTAATAATAGGGGATATAGTATAGTCATCATGAAATCTTTAAATTAAATTACTTAAATATTGATGACAATTTAGAACTGATCATACATATTGGCACTTAATTTAAATATGGCATACATAAACAATAAAATTTGGGATCCATAAAGTAATTAATGGCGAGCCTTTAAAAATTTTCATGCTTTGTAACCTTTTTTAATAGAATAACGCAGAAAAATAGAAAATGTTAATGCAATTAACTGAGAAATGATGAGTATGACATTCAAAAGGATCAGCCAAAATGCAAAGTTTGAGAGATGTGGCAGTATTTTATCAGTACATCCCTTAAACATAAAAAAAATAAATAAATAAATAAAAACAAAAGTTGATATAGTTAAATAATATCCAGAATAGTTGAATAAATTTAAAACTTGCAAGTATAAAGATTAAATCACAAAATGAACTACCAATTCTCCTATATTTTTTCTTCTTTTAAGCTGTTTTTTTTATTTTATCATTTTCTAAACTCTTATTTATTGACACTATAATATAAATAGTTGTCATTGAAAATTACTTTCATTTTATATAATTAAATTTACTTAAGTGTAACTTTTAATGAATCAAGACAAATCGGATGAATATTTATCTCATTGTATATGAAACAATTTAACTTATTCTGTATATTCTTTATGGGCTAAGACTAGATAATACTCTTCCTCACTTTCCATTCACACTAGTCTATCAAGGAAAGTGGAGGAAAGAAGAGCTGAGATACATAACATTTTTTTGTTGTCATTGAGAATCTTCTGACATGAGATCTCTACTTCCCTGCATTAGAAAAGGCTTATTTTCTGATATATTCTTTACACTGAATATCAAGGTAAAATATGAATATCAAAATCCTTTTTTTAAATTTTATTTGGAATTTCTTTAATCACTCAAACGTGAAGAATAGTCAAATATTCCAAAACATATTGTATACTACCTAGTTCTGCCATACATACTGTTACAAAAGATGAACTTTGTTTACATCCTTGGGTATTATTTAGATAGTCCTTACCTCTATCAGGTTATTTTCTTTAACTGTAAGGATAATAATCCCAATTAGTTGGTATTTTCCTTTCGCTCAGTTAACATTGAGTAGGGTGATAAAGAAAACCAAATAGATGTAATCGCCTTAAATAAAGTTGGAAAATGTAGGTCAGAGAATTTCAACACTTTGAAACCTTGGGATATCAGCCGTATGTTTGTGTACAGCACTATAAATAGATAAAAAGAGACCCTATCTGTATGTGACAGACCTCGACCGGGCTCAAATGCAGTGAGAGCAGTGGCTGCTCAAATCAGAAAAAATCCCATTCGAAAACAACAAATCATGTCTCGGGAAATGGGAATCTCAGTCAAATCAATGTCTCGCATAATAAAACGTGTCCTTAGGATGGGTGCATTTCAAAGAATGATAGGATAAAGGCTTACCACTTCCCTAAAAAAAAAAATTGTAGTGAATAGATGCAAATTGCTCCTTGGCCGTTACACCAATGGTCTTCATCAAAAGATTTTGTTTAGTGATAAGAAAATTTTTACAATTGAAGAAAAATTTAATCCCCAAAATGATCGTGTGTACGCACACAGCAATAAAGAAGCTCAGGAAGTCATTGCAAGAGTAGAAAGAGGTCATCACCCTTCCTCAGTGATGGTTTGGTGGGGGAGTTTGCTTTGATGGTACCACAAAGTTCCATTTTTGTGAAAAAAGGTTAAAAGAGCCGCTAAAAACTATTAGGACAATATTTTGGAGCCTGTTGTCAAGCCTGTAAATGATACTGTTTGCTGGAAGTCATTGGGTTTTCCAGCATGATTCCGCTCCAGCTCACAAGAGCAGGTCAACTCAACAGTGGCTGCTGAAGATCATTTATTTTTCTATTACTAATGTAACATTTATTTTTTTATAAGAGCTCAAATGACTGGTGTGATGAAAAACTTTTGTTTTTTATGAAGTTGCTTTCCATATTACTATTTATTTATATATAGTTATTTACAGGCACAGCTGTTCTATATTTTCTATGGTATAGACTTTCAAAGGATTTATATCAGTCTCTAAGATATTTATTTTAAATAACAGAGTCTTCAGTTTTATCTTAACAATATTCCGAGCAACCTCATTTTGTGCACTTTATTTTTATCAACCATTTTCAGCTTTTAGTATGTTCAGATTCTCATTATAAAATGAGGGACTTCTCTTCATCATCCCTTAGTACTACTTCACCTTAAATTTGAAGAATAGCTTTATAGTCTGCTTAGGGAAGGTTGAAGTAGTCCTTGAGTTAGCGTGAGCGGGGTGGCCAAATGGGCTAACGTGTGTGAACAGCATTGCCGTAGTCCGGCAACCTGATGTATTACTCAATTGATATAAAAATAGGAGTCTTTTCCCGTCCCGCCAAAGGAGTCTTTTAAAATCCCAGTCCACACCTCCTGGCCTGGGAAAACACTGCACAGCCTAAACGGCGAGGAAGGGGAGGACTAATATAAGTCCTTGAGTTAGCTTTATAAGTCCTTATAAATTCCTTTGGTGACTGTGCTCTCCCCATTTAGCTTTTCATTTAAACTTGTTGCTTTGAATTTTATCTTCTGTCTTTTCATTGAATTCTATTGTAAGGACATTGTGGCGAGTGTTATCATAGTATTATTCATCAATAATAACCAGCTAAATATGACTCCAAAAGCCATCACTTGTTCAAAATAGAAATACTTATAAAATATAACAATATTTACATTATAAAAATGTTTCAACAAAAATAAACGAAAAATACTCACATCTTGATAGATAACATCTGAAATCTTTGCAGCAGGTTTTGGTTTTATAGCGCTAATACACTTTGGATCAGCACTGTCATCAGTAGCACAGCAGGATGGTGGTATCTTATATTCTGGTTCTGCGAGAGTTAAATACATCCTCAATTCCTGAAATTCGGTACTTATCCAATCTGATGGTCCATCAGCACCACAACAATGTAGCTTGAAAAAAATTATTTATTCAAAAACTGATAATACTGAGCTTAATTATTAGCTTAAAGTAATTACGACTGAAATAAATGATTTAATAAAAAATAAAGATGCAAATTATGAAAGCTCTGAATCATTAACACTGTAGTGATTGGCCTGATCGGAAAGGTGGTCTACATTTAACCAAAGTCAATTTCGTTACAGGACTATATAATTTATTTATAAATTTAATTAGAAGAGTGCCACAATTTTTTTTAGCCTAAGGGTAAATGTTTATATTATAACAAAATTGAGAACTACTGGACAATAATATAACACAGAGGCTTCAACAGTTACACAGTGATAATAAAAATATATAGACAGTGATAAAAATAGCTAGACAGTGATAAAGGAAGATGTTGTATTTAGTTATATTTCATTGCAGGAATTTTTATTTGTTTAAACATAAATATGTATTCAATTATTAATTTTTAAAGTTACCCGCTTTAACATTCTTCGAGCCTAACAGCACCAGTTCAAATGGGTGGGTTGAAATAATTTCATGACATACCCATAGAGTAAATTTTAATTATACCACTCTGGCTAGAATAGGTTTGGTTGGACCTTTAGATTAACCCCTCTCCCCTTCTCCAGTATTTCAGAAATAGTGAGGTAGGGGGTAACCGAAAAAAAAGAAGAAAAAGTTCTTTTTTGAGTAAACTCAAAAACTGTATTTTAAAATTTTTATCAGTGTATATTGGCAGAGGTAGTATCTAGATGCATCTATGATGCTACTGTCTCCGAAACCTCTGATGTCCTAAGTGCAACCGAATTCACTAAATAAAACATAAAGACTAATAAGTTGATACTAATTTGAAACCAAAAGCATTTTATTTTGAAATTTATGTAAATACAACTTAATCAGAAAAAGGTTGTGGTAAGTTTGACGATTAGATAAAAAAATTACCTCTGTTTGAACTGAGTCAAAAGCTTGAGTACGACTTTCAATTTTACCATAATCATTGATAACTGTATCTTTGACACTTCTTTTAATAAGGTCCTTCAATTCATCTTGATAACTGTAGCTCCAAACACCAGCAGAGACTTCAGCAACAAGTACCAATAATAATACGCAGAAATACTGAAAATGGAAAAGATGATATAAATTATAGCAAAAAGAATATAAACATTAATTTAAAAAAGTTACTCACAAGAACTAATAAAAGGGGAGATTCTGAAACAATTCCACAGCAGCCAAAAGACCCAGCAATAAATAAGAGAATGCCAAGAGTAATCAATAAATAAGCTGATACATCATAACTGAACTGAGATTGTGGCATACTAATGTAAAAAACAGGGTCTGTGAATAACCATACTGCTAAAACAATAAGTGCAAGCCCTGAAATCTGAAAAAAACCAACATTTTCATTGATAAATAAAATTATTGTTAAATAATAAAAAATGTAAATATACATTTATATAATTTTACAGATCTAATTGCTGATTACTTCACAATAATAAGAATAAAATAGACTAATCATTTAAAAAAACTAAAAGAGGAAACATTAGGTACATTGATTGACATGTCACCTACCCAAAATAAAAGATTAATAATAAAAACAGTATATTTCATGAAGGAGTAACAACCACCAAAACCCATTTTTAAAAAAATAACTACACACTTAATAAAATAAAAGTCTGACTAATTTTCGATGATTTGTTTATGTGATTACAAATGTGTGACGCACCCCTCCCTTGAAGTTCTGGCACAAAAAATCCGATTACCTTGTAAGGTAATTTTTAGTACAATGTTTCCTTTAAACTTCAACAAATATTCAATTAAACAATAATAATTTCAGAAATCATTTTTAATTTAACTTGTTTTTTTTTTTAATAAATAATTAAGCAATATTTGAAATTTCGTAGTTACAACATTTGAATAGCGCCCTCTACTGTTAACCGTTAAAAGCGTCAGGAGTTTGTAACTTTTTTTTTAACTATTAGCTTGATATATGCTTGTTATTAAAAAATTGTGCTTGTCTTTAAAATTATTCTTTCCTTTCGTTATTGCGAATGGTATTTTACCGAAGTGTGCATTTTTAATGTGATTGGATGTGTTATCGAGTTGAACCAATAAAAATAGGGTCAGTAACTGTAGGTTTGTTTATTGTGTTTGGTAATCGTTTAATTAGGTTCTTAGGAAGTTTTACAGGAGTTCAAGAAAATATTTGTAAAAGAGTGCAAATGTTATTTTTAGTAACTATAAAGCTGTTCAAAATACATTGACAGCTCAAGTGTTATCAGTTTCTTTTTATTGTGGGGGATTGTCATGGCTCCATGAGAATTGATCACTGCTGAACTCGTCTATTTGTGTTTCCCTGAAGAGTAAGTTTAATGTTATTATTTCTGGATTGATTACGAAGTCTTATATTTGATGGTTTATTCTTTTATAAATTATTACTTCATAATTTTTATTCCTAGATTTTCTGTGTTTAACAAGCTTTATTATCTGATGTCAGTGCCTAAAAGTAAATTTTATATATTCTACTCCTACTTGTGACTACTGGATTATTAATATTGTGCCCTATGCTGTTGATACTAACTTGAAAGTTTGTTTTCTTTTCATCATAATGTTTACTCTAAATTTTAACTGATGTTACTAACTATATGGCTGAAGGTTGTAAAGCTTATGCCTCAACTAGGTTAAAAGCTTTTAGTGTTCTGAAACTGCATAGGATACATTATACATATGTCAGAAATACATCAAAGGAAAGCCAAATACAGTTTTGTGTACTAATCCTTGAGTTTCACATCTGAATGATGTAAGCTAAGAATTCAACGATCACGGAGGAAATCGATCTTGACTATTATTGTACCCATTATAGAACCATGGTTCATGGAGGTATAATTTTCATCATTCATGCCTTCATTTATTCATATTAATAAGTTAAAATGTACACTGTCTCAAAAAAGTTTCTGTACAGTTAGTTTTTCTTTAACATTGCTAATAATCTATTTATTATATTATTTTTATTAATCAGAGAGGGTAGTAGAGGCAAAGGTGTACCAACATGGTAACAAGTTCATGCTGGATCACTAATCTCATAGCAGGAAGAGATACAACTTTAATCTGAAGGTCAAAAAAGTTTCCATACATCTTTATTATCTTGATTCCGTTTCTATTCAATGCCATTATTTCACTCAAATGAATTATGTGAACACTACATTTAAGGTTCAGCCTACTTCAAATCATCATTATGCCTTTAGAGCAGTGCATTCGTGACCAAATTGTGTGGTTGATAAGTCAAGGATTTTCTCTCTGAAAAATTAGAATTTTACAAAATAAATTGCATACAACTTTGCAGTATGTGTTAAACAGACAGTGAATTAAAATCGTTGGAGGGCAGGTCTCTTTGAGACTGCCCAAGAAAATTAGGTAGAGTTCATAGTAGGACTGTTATGAACTAGATTTGTCTAATCCCGGTACAAGTACAATATTCTTAGCCAGTGGGCTTGAAAGAGATTACGAGGTATGCGTAAATCCAGAAACTGTTAGGAATGTTCTGAAAAAGAAAGGTTTTCATTCGCGAATTGTATGAATAAAGCTAAACAAATAAGAAGAGGCTTTCATTTTCTATGGATTAATTTTTTAACAGGACAACGTTCCTAAGAAAAACCTTAAGAAAGTAAAACATCGTCTCAAAATAGTTGCATACTCTTCCCCAATCACTGGACATGAATCCACTACAACATATGTGGGATGAATTAGTACAGTGCATGAAAAATCATGGTGTTTGAATTGAAGAAGATCCCAAAGCAGCTCTATCTATTGGCAGAATGGAATTCAATGAGCATGATGATTTGAAGTTGATTGAATCTTAACTACACCTTGTATGTAGTGTACAGATGTAAATCTGAGCAAAATAATGGCATTGAATAGAAATAGAGTTAGAATAACATAATGATGTAGAGATGGTTGACCGTTGATATAATATGAGAAGGAGTTGATTGGGGGGTGCGGTCAAATAAATACTAAATTAAAATATATTAGGCCAAAATTAAATAACTACTATATTTTAATTTAGTATTTATTTGACAGCACCCCCCCAATTAACTCCTCATAGAATAATATAAATGTATGGAAACTTTTTTGATCTTCAGATTAAAGTTGTATCTCTTCCTTCCATGGGATTAGTGATCCAACGTGAACAGTGATCATGTTCACACACATTTTGGTACTTGTCTAGTATGTGGTCTGGACGATTGCTATCTGGCAATGTTTATAACCTAAATACTCATTATTCTGATAAGGAACTGATATTATATCCCTATCTTCGTATTCATATTTATTGTATTATATTCATATTATTGAAATTGTAAACAAAAACAAATTAATAAAAAAAACTTTTATTTTTCAACATATATATGAAATAGACAAAAACAAATGTAATAATAAAACAGTTTGATTTAAAATTGAATTATTTTTCTGATTCAATTGTAAGTCATCTATGTTGTTCAGAGTAAGTATGGTTAGACCTTAATCCAACCTAGATATTGCAATATGAATTCTTGTTTCAACTATCAATAATTGCACCTCAGTAGACCTTCATTGGTTACGGTATTGCCCCTGCGCAGTATATTAAATAAAAATATATTAATAAATGAACAATTTGGATTCCGACATTTCCACTCAACCACCAGCCAACTAGCTTGCATTATAGATAATATAACCGAAAATTTCAACAAATAAACATACAAGAATGAACCTCATCGACATTGAAAGTGTTTGACACTTTAAAACTAATTTGTTACTTTTTAAGCTAATAAACCTCAATATCTCTAGATATCCGATATTACTGATAAAGTCATTTTTATCTAATAGATCCTTTTTGTCTTAGCCAATAATGTTTCTTCACCAATATATAATACTATTACTGACCTCCCTCAAGTATCTTGCCTTAGTCAAGTATTATGTAATATATTCATAAATGACCACTTAAATAAAAAATGTTAATATAGAACTATATGCCGATGATTCAGTATTATTCTCGTCCTCATACCGTCATAGATGCCATTATCAATAGACTCACTCATTCTTTCGATCAAACATCTAAATACCCTAAAAAATGGGGATTAAAACTTAACAGAAAAACTGAAGCCATTATTTTAACAAAATCTCGTCGAACGTAATCTTAAATACTACAATTCCGCTAGCCAAGTCAGTTAAATATTTAGGTGTAACTCTCGACAGTAAACAACTATTTAATCAGTACATCAATTCAAAATTAGAAAACTCCTGACAAATAATGTATAAAATGTTTCCATATATTAAGCAAAAATCAAAACTTTCTCCCAAAAACAAATTAATCCTATATAAATCTGTATTAAGACCAATTTTAACATACGTCTGCCCCGTATGAAGCTTTACTAATAGAGCGATGATAAAAAAACTACAAATTTTTCAAAATAAATGCCTTAGAATTATCAATAATTATCTCTATTATACCAAAATAACTAAGATGGGCACAGACATTCCCTACGTACAAGATTACATTTACAAAACAACCCTAGCTTTCTTTCAATCTCATAAACTACCTTTAAATCCCTTAATTACTGAAATAGGAAATCGTACAAAAACATCAACATCCATACGAAGCATATTCTACTCTAAATTAGTATATATTTTATGTTAATCTAAATAGCATTGGTTTTTTTTTTTTTCCTCATGGTGTTAATATTTTAACAATAAATGTAATATGTTTTAATTGTGCATATTGTATATTTATAAAACTTTATTGTTCAAGGGTACAGAACCCACTGCAATTGTTAACTTGTAGCTGGAAAATATGAAAAAACTAATCATATATGAAAAAAAAAAAATTGTTTTTGATAATATCGATGTAGGACCAATTAGTGCTTGTTGCACATTTCTTCCATATAATAAGTTCACATCTTCCATTTTTCATGGGTAAATATTGTCGCACTTAAGAGCATTGGACCGTTCTGGTTTAAGTTCGTACTAGGCGATCTGTCTTTTGTAGGAGACTGGTGCTTGAGACAATTGTGGTATGTCAAAGATATAACTCAGGGCATGTATAGCCCATATGTTGAAGTCTTTGATTTTTGTCTTCCCAGTTAGTTGAATCTTGAGTAGTTTGATTATTATTATTTGATGTCGTGTTTTTGGACTGAAAATGTCCTCCTAGAGCACATTGACCAAAGACACATGAATAATTTACCAGCAGTTCAATTTTATAATCATTTTAATTTGGGTGTTCAACATACTACCAGTTTTGTGTTGTCAGATTATTTGTACCAGAAAGGGATATTGTTTATTCCACATCATCTTGCTGAAATGTAATTATAAAAACAGAAATTTTAATAATAATATACTTACTTACGTACTCCATGGCACTACAGCCCTACAAGAGCCTAGGCCTCCTCTACAATCCTACTCCACTCTTCCCTATCCTGGGCGAGTCTCTTCCATCCTCCGATTCCCATCTCTCTCAATACTCTCTCCATACCTTCTGACCATCTTAATCGTGGACGTCCTCTAACTCTTTCTCCTCCAGGCTTACCATCCAGTAATTTTTTGGGTATCCTGTTCACTGGCATCCGCTCTACATGTCCCAGCCACCTCAACTGATTCTTTCTAACAAAAGAAATCATATCTGGTTCTTGGACTATTTCTTTCAGCTCCTCATTCTGTCTTATTCTTCAGTTGCCGTTCTCGCAAACAGGTCTATATATTCTTCTGAGTACTTTTCTTTCCCAAACTTTTAACATTCTTTCACTTTCTTTGGAAAGTACACAAGTCTCACAGCCATAAGACACAACTGGTCTAATGAATTGTTTTATATAACATGGCCATTGCTCTGTTGGTCAGGCCTCTGGATTTTAAGGGTTTTTGAAGAGAGTAATAGCACCTGTTTCCACCAGCTACTCTTGCCTTTATTTATTCTTGGTGCTCATTCTTTGATGTGACAAGATCATTCAAATACTTAAAACTGGTTTGCTATCCTGAAGGTGTGGCTTCCAAATTTGATCTATTCTTCCATTCTTTCTGGTGGGTTTCTTGTTGACTTAATATAAACTGTCTTTTCGTCGTTTACATGGAGGCCTAACTTTTTTGCAGCATTTTCGAACTCTTCAAACGCCCCCAATAAAGATGCTCTTGATCTAGCTGATATTACCAAGTCGTCTGCATAGCCTAGATGCTGTGACAGTCTATTATATATTCTGCCATAAAGACTTGTCCGAATCGCACGTACTGCATATTCCAAGGCTAAATTGAAATGATTTGGGGGTAAGGGATCTCCCTGTCTTATGGCGTCTTAACTGCAAACTTTTGTGATAGTTCCTTGTATCTTGACTTTACAGCAACTATCAGTCAGTGTCGTCCTTATTAGTCCAACTAACTTTTTTGGTACAACTAAAGTGACCATTACTATTAATAATTCGCTTCTATTCATACTATCTTAAGCCTGTTTAAAATCGATGAAAAGATGATGAAGATCTACATTATATTCATTATATTTTTCCAATATCTGTTTGACGGAAAATATTTGTTCAATTGTAGATCTGTTTGGTCTGAAACTGCATTGATACTCACCAAGAATACGTTCGGACCATACTTGTAACTTTTTATTTAGGAGTGAGGAAAATGCTCAAGTCTCCAAACTACGACCCGCAAGTACATCCAATCCAACCTATGAAATTTTTTTTGATTGCATGATAAAATTTTTAACTATTTAAAAACATGAAATTTAACAAATTACTGTAACAAGAGGTTACTAAAACATTTATTGCATGTGTTTTGTTTTCCTCTTAGAAAGCTCATTTCACAACTAAAGTGTCAGTTATAGAACAAGATTTTTCTTTTCATCACAAACCATGGTC